TAATTATCTTCTAACGATTATTAAGTATAAAGAGTTTTAAAAATATCGCCGCGATATAGTAATTAAAGAGATTAAGCGTTTAAAAATATAGAGAAAAATAAAACTACGTTATCTAAAGCTAAAAATAACTAAACGTACTAAGATTCGAAAGTATAAATATATTATAAAACAATTACGTATACTAAGAATAGAGGCTACTATAAAGAAATAAGCGACTCTATTATCTTTAAAAACTAATATAAAAAAAATAGCTCTCGATTCCGCTATTTAGCTTAAATATAAATAGAATATTATTACTAATATCTTAACTAAGCTATTAAATAAGACTACGAAGAATATTTTAACTATTAATTATAAGAAATAGCTAGCAATACCTTAAAAGTAATAATTTAATAGAAGTTTATTAAATATTAAAGAGACGCGAGATTATATATATCGTAGTTCGACTATTCGCTTCGCTTATAGTAATTCTTAACTTAAAGACGTACTAGTCTTAAAGACGCGAAAATCTATTATTTCTTTCTAATTCTATATAGATCTTATTCTATAACTCGAATTCTAATAAATACGTCTTAATATATATATACTAGCTTCTATAGATTATAATTTAGCTTTTAAATATAAGCCTTAATAGCCTTATCGGCCTTTTTTTACTAAATTTCCTTAGTTCGAGTAGCTCGCTTTAGAGCCTTCTCCGCCTTTTCTATAGCTATTTCTTCTATTACAGTTAGAGATTTACGTATTTAATCTATTAATATTTATTCTCTCTTCTAGATAATTATTCTAGAAAGTATCTTATATACTCGCTTAATTATAGTCTCTTTATAAATAGTTTTAATATCTCGCTTAGTAATTTATCTCGAGTAGTTATTAGTAATAGATTCTTTTATAAATCGAGCTAATAACTATTATATATTTTTTAAAATAATAAAAGTCTAAGTAGCAAGTAGTTCTTTAAATCATTAATCGTATTTAATAATATCTTCGACTTTATAGAGGATTCTAGTAAGTATAAGAGATATAGACTCGTCTAGAGTTATAGCGCGAGGTATTAGATTTCTAATTTTTTTAAATATTACTTTAGAGTTATAGGATATAAAACTAATCTTTTAAAAGATCGAATATATAATATTAGACGTAAAGGTTTAGATTCTTATTTAATTAAATATTACGAGAAAGTCGAGCCTATCTATCTATTAAAGTCGCTACTTCTAAGATATATAGTTAAATTTATAATCTTTATATAATAATATTTAAATAGTTAAAAGTATCTTATATCTAATAGCTATATAATATATATAAAATATAAGAGAAGTATAAATAAGTCGATCTTCAATTATTAGATAAATGTATGAAATTCGTAGGTGTAGTAGAATTCGAAGTCGTCTAGAATTAAGATTCTTTATTCTCTTACTTAACGATAATAAGAAAATGTATTAAAATATAGTAGTTAGTCGTATGCTAATTAATTATTTAAATATTTAATAGATGAAACGACTAATATAGTATTCGAAGATAAGTCGTTTTTACTTCATTTATATAGAATATAAGTATCTTTTAGAATTATAAATAAAGGTATACTCTAGTCTATAACGTTAATATATTCTATAGATATAATATAATTACGATTATCTAGATCTACGAATTATAGAGACTTACTTTTATTTAAAGTAATAATATAATAAATAATTCTATAGTTAATTCGAAAGCTAGTTTTATTTATATTTCAAATATCTTAATATTATATACTCTTCTCTTTATAGTTCTATCGAAATTTCTTATATATTACGCGTATACTCTTAATATCGTACGTATTCTTATATTTAGCACTAAGAGATTTTTACTTTCATTTATAATATTTAAAATATCGTTTTATAAATTATATAGTCTAATCTTTATCGAGTAGTTTAAGGGGATAATACGGATTTAAAGCGATTTTAAGAATATATTTAATAGTACTTTAAATGTAATTTAGTCGAAGTAAATACTCGATATTATTTAGACGATTAATATAGTTATATAGTAATTATTCTTAAGTTATAATAAGACGTATATAAGTAGATATTCGAGTACTTCTAGAAGCTTATCCCCGAAGTCGTCTTTATACTTATCGCGGTTTAAGACTATAATACTCTACGGCCGCTATAGCGCTGCGAAAATAATTATTCTTATACTTATTAATAGTCTTCTAGATAAGTTTCTCTTACTTAGAATAAGATATAGATATAATATAGTAAAATAATAGTAAATTATAATATAGAGTATTAAATCGCGAAAAAACGCGTCTTTGAGACTAGTACGTCTTTAAGTTATAAACTACTATAAGCGAAGCGAATAGTCGAACTACGATTATATTTAATAGATCTAGATTAGCTATAATATACTTATTTTAGAGTAAAAATATAGGCGTAATCGCTTACTAAAGTCTATTTAATATATATAATCTTCGTATATCTCTCTTTATTAGAAAAGTACTAGAGAGAGTTATCTTAGAGTCTTTTTTAAAAGTATTACGAGTAAATAAAGTTAGCGCGATATTATATTTACTTCGATAAATTATAATAATTAACTCGAAATCTAGTAAAAAGCGCTAAATACTACGGGAACTTTTTTAAATATACTTATTCTCGTATTATACTAAGTATTTAGTTACTATAAAAATATTAATCCTTCTCCGTTCGCGTATTTTAACTTATTTTCAAGATTTCGTTCTCTATAGCCTACTTTCAAATTTTTATATATTAGATCTAGAAGTACTAGTAAATTTATAAATCTATATTACCCCTCGCGTAAGTATAAAATATAATATTTATCATCTAAAATTAGCGTAAGTTATAGACTATAGGGGCTTATTTAATTAATATCTTCTCCGTACCCTTTTTAAATAATTAAATTACGAAATATTCGAATTTAATAGCTTATTCTTTAAGTATTTACGTATATTCTTCTCTTATTATAGAGTTACCCTTCTTATTACGATAATATACTTCGATATAATTATTATTAATTTATATACTCCTTAATCTCTATTCTTATTTAATTATTATTCGAAATTAATCCTATTCTAGTTAGTCTTATTATATCTTTAATTTATCGTTAAGATAGAAAGAATATAGAACGATATAGGCGTTAACCTAGATTATAATAAATATTATATCTTTTAATCTATAGATCTAAATACGAAGCTCTTTTAGCGACTAAAAACGTTCTTTAAGATAACTAATTGCATACTCGCTTTTAATACGAATCCTCGATAGATTTAAATTAAAAATACGATTCTCGCGTACATCGCTAAAAGGCTTCTTATAAGAAATTATATATTATATTTTAATAAAATATTTAACGTCTATTTAGATTTATTCCCCCTTCGTTAGCAGCTTTATATAATTCTAAGCGAGTCGTATAGCGATAAAGTAATATATATTATAACGACTTTCTACGAAACCCGAGACATAATCGATAATCTTAAGATTCGGAGTGTTGATTATTTAGATATTTATAGAGTAGTTACTCTTACGATCGAATTAGATATTATTATATTAATAAGACCTCTAAAATATAGATATAAGAGTCTTATCGACTATATATCATCCTTCTCGCTATACTTCTTTATCTAATTATTCTTCTATTTAATCCTTTATATACTCTCTTTCTAATTCTTTCGCTAGCTATTAAATATAATCTCGTTATAGATTACTATTAAGAATTACTATAATCACTCGACGAGTAATAATATCTATTATTCTATATTCGATTCCTGCCTATATAGCCACTCGCTAAATCGATACTTTATTTCTATATATTTTAAATCTATCGAAAGTAATAAATAACTGCCGTTCCACGGGTATTTACTTCGATTTATATTTAGAGTTATTATAAAACACCGCTATTAAGTCGAATCGCTCTATTAATTTATCGAATATCTAAGAATTTATATAAGCGTACTATCGAAAGAGATTCGATCGCTTATACTTTCATTTTAAGTAGATATCTAGATTCGCTAATATTTTAACTATAGAACGACGAGACTTTAGAGTACGTTTTCTAGTCGTATTTAATAATATCTATATCACGAAATCCGTCTCTAAGTTAGACGGGCTAAAATCGCTACTATTTAAAGTATTATTAATTATCTTCTTAATAAGTAGATAGCTAATATAGGCGTCTATTAAAGCGCGTTTAGACTTCTTTCTAGTTATAACGCCTATAGAATCAGGCTTAATAAGAGATAGCGTATTATATATATAGAAGGCTACTCTAGAACGTATAATAGAATACGTAATAAGTAGCTTATAAAGTTGAATAGCAGGTCCGGAGTTGCTATTCAAAAGTCGTTTTTTTTCTGCTTATCATAGGGCTGAAATAGGGCTGCAGGGGTAAATAAGTGACTTATTTCATAAGTAGAAGTAACTTGATAGCCCCTAATGTCAATTGAAAAATTTGCATCTTTGCTTCCTTCCTGTCGCTTCCTATCCTCGCCTACTTTCTTTGCTACTTTCTTCGCCTCTTCTCATGTCTCAGAGCGCTTTAGGAAGTCTGGCACTCCCCGGCGTGTTTGCCTTGATCTCATATCTCGCCTATGGATCGCAATTCCTTTTTCGCCACATTGAGCCCCACGCATTGGAACAGAAACAGGCATTCATCTTCAATGCGCTGGTTGCTTGCGTATGGATCACCTACGCTCGAGCATGTTTCACTAATCCTGGATGGGTACCGCCTGCCTGGAATTCCAATCACTCGGCTTCTGAGCAATCACCGCCGTCTAAGAAGACGCTAAGATGGTGTAGAAAGTGTGAAGCGTTGAAGCCGCCCCGAGCACATCACTGCAAAATTTGTCAAAGGTGTTCAAGGGTCTCATCTCCTGCAAATGATGCCGACATCTGATGGAAGCCTGCAGATGTATCCCGAAGATGGATCACCACTGCCCATGGACTATCAATTGTGTCTCTCATCGTACCTTTCCTCATTTCCTCCGCTTCCTATGCTATGCAACGGCATCAATGGTATACCTCGAGTACTTCATCTACCTCCGAGTAGCTGTGGTCTGGACAGGACGTAATCTTCCAAGCGTATGTCGGTATAGCTGATCATGCTCTGGTCATTACTTATCAGACCTTCTCAGTATCTCGGTCCTACTCCCACGCAGCTAGTCTTCCTGTTCATATTCCTGATTGTAAACTCGCTCACTTTGTTCGCTCTTGCTATCCTTCTGGCTCGTAATATCTGGTGCTTGGGTGGCAATGTAACAACAATTGAAGGATGGGAGATTGAACGACATCAGACGCTCGTTCGCCGAGCTCGGGTCCTGGGAGGATATCTAGATGGCCCAGACGGCATGAGAATCAAGATTAGGAAACAGGAATTCCCTTATGATATTGGAATACTTCAAAATATGAGGCAAGGAATGGGCGGTACTCCTTTGCTTTGGCTATGGCCGTTCACGGCAACACCATCAATCGAGTCTGGCCTGGACTTTGAGACCAATGGCTTTGAAGGTACTGTGTGCTCTGAAAAATATAATAATGCTAACATGCTATTGACAGATCCCTCTATGTCGTGGCCACCCCCAGACCCTGACCGGATGCCAAGGCTTAGCAATCGGCCACCTTACGAACAACCGTTTGTCTACGATGAAGACTTGTCGACGACTCAAAACAACGTTGACGCATTTCGTAGAAGACAAGAGGAAGACCTAAAGCGATATGACGGAGGAGCCACTACTTCAATTCGGCGCCGACCTTTCCATGAGCGCTACAGGAATGGAGGCCATGATGAGGCGTCCTTTGCTTCCCAGGCAGTTGGATCCGATGATTTGGCAGGCGGTGAAGAGGTTTGGCGAGATTCAGAGGGAGACAGGTTGGATGACTTCGGCGTTGACGAGGATGCCGAGTTCCATGACGAGGATGACATACCGTTGGCCGAGTTGCTCCGCAGACGACATGAGCCTGCCCATTATAGTGACGGTAACTGAGGAGTCGACAGTTGCCTGAATGAAGACCAAGCCACTTGCGGCCTTAGATACGGAATTGAAAGATGCTACGTTGCGGGTGGCAAGCTATCTCACGCCTAAATCATGCGGGGCACGGAAAGCATCAAATCATCTTCGTTACAAACGAAGCTTATGGCCGTTAAGCCTTCACTATTTGCATCATGCGGGGTAGCGACTATGTACTTGTTGGGTAGCATCGATTGCATCGGCAGCAACCCTGACGCACGGACGCTCATGCGTGTCCCCTGCTTATTAGTTCTAGAAGATCAATGGCTGCCACGCGAGCATGTGCATCGATATGCAGGTCATATACGGACTACATTAGCCTGTCTCCTTCGTCGATCCGTGCCGAAGCCCGACAAGAGGATGAGTGAAGGCCCGACTGTCTCCGAATAACATAACACCCCCCGATGCAGGTTGCTCAATCGGTGAATCCAGTCCTCAGACAGCGCTCAACACAATTTTCCGTTTTCTAGCGTGGGGCCCGAACAGATAGGCACCTGCTAATTCTTCGGAACGAAGCAGGCACGAGGTCCAATGCTCCCCCAATCAGGGCTTTGAAAGCTTTCAAGTCGGACTGTTTTACTTTTGCCAATTTGCATTGAAGCCCGAATATTTCCCTCCTCGCATGCTCACAGTCTTCAATTGTCCATGATCCCAATTCGTACTTCCGTCGGGTCCAGACCCAGACCATTGGATCTTCTTATGAGTCAAATGACCGACGTTCTCGCGAATGGACGGTGACGGTCAATTCAATTGCCCTGATGGCCACGGCATTTTTTTGGGGGGGGGGAAATCAAAGATTTTTTTTTCCCCGAGATCACAGCTAGGCACAGGTGACAGGTGGCGTTCCTGCCTCAACAGCGGAAGGTCCCGCCGCAGACCCCCACGCTCGGCCAGTGGTTTCGCCTCATGAGCCCGGCAGAAGGGAGTCGAGAAGCCCATGCGACCCTTGGGGCTCTCCCATCTGCGGTGCTATCTCGTATCTCAGTCCCTTTCTTCCGGCAGGATCAATATCTCTTCAGTGCAAAAAGTAGCTTACATGTACCTAGCAGATTCCCAGACTAGCCGATAGTGCGGTACTTTAGTATTCGCCTGGCTTGACAGCTAAGCAGCTTGCAGAGTAAAGTAATAAATGCCCTGGAAATGCAGGAGACTACGAGTAGTAGTTGGCGATCAATCACCAAATTCTCCGTTGATGGTAAGGCTTAATTCCCACAGCGCCCCTTTCCCGGTGAGAATAATGGAAATATAACCAATCAAGTGAAAGGATTGTGTAGGCTATGTGTGGGATGCATGTGGGGTCCGAAGCGTTCCTGGGATTTCCGTGGAACGGTTGGGGAAAGAAAAGAAAGAAAAGAGAGAAAAAGAAAAGAATTGCTCCCCACAAGACTTTCACCTCACTCAGATGTGACAATTGGAATTTAACCGCCTGAAAATCAAGCTGACGTTCCAAGGACTCTGCTCCGAGCTCTCTCTCTCCTCTCCTCTCCTCTCCCTTCCCTTTGATGTGTATCAGCTTATTACTGCATTCCATTTCAATTCCCACCAGACTTCACCTTCTTAGCCTGTTGGACCCCCACTCTATCCTAGGGCTTTATCCTTGTGCTCGGACCTCTTTGCTGATCTCCATAGTCTTTCTCGACCACAAAAACCTGACCATCGTGTATGGATAATTATGGAACGTCTCTTTAGCTTTGTACATGTCATGGATTCCGATTTCTTCCCCGTCCTTTGCAAATATCTAGTTCCCAATCAACCTCCGCTCCTTTTCTTCTCATTTTCGTCTTTTTTCCTTCACCCAAAATGTCTCCTCACAAAACTGCTTCGCCTGCCGGCAGTTGTCATCAAGACGATCTGCAACTTCCTTCTGTCTCTCTTCTTGCCCGACCAGCGACACTGACCCACTCAATTTCTTCCGAATCATCCTACAACCCATCTCCCCGGAGCGCATCTGTTTCCTCGCTGGACGACATGCCCATCATGAATAGACCGTTGAGACCAGGTGTATACGTGCCGACGGTGGCATTTTTCAAGAACAACGAGGATCTCAACCCCGATGCGATAGGAAAACATGCTGTGAGACTCGCCAAGGCTGGTGTGGCTGCGATTGCAACGCAAGGTTCCAACGGCGAAGCAGTACATCTCACCCATCAAGAAAGACAACAGGTCACTCGCATCACACGCAAGGCTTTGAACGATGAAGGATTTGACTCCCTGCCAGTCATCGTGGGCTGTGGCTCGCAGTCGACTCGCGAAACGATCGAGCTTTGTCAAGACGCCCTAGCTTCTGGAGGCGACTATGCCCTAGTTCTTCCTCCGTCCTACTACAAGCCATCCCACAAGCCAGACACGATAGTCGGATTCTTCAGAGATGTTGCCAACGCATCTCCCATCCCCATCATCATTTACAACTACCCAGCAGCGGTGGCTGGCATCGACCTCAGCTCGGACGTAATCAGCGAGCTCTCCAAGCATCCCAACATCGTTGGCTGCAAGCTCACATGCGGAAACACCGGCAAGCTGACTCGGATCGCCGCAGCCACAAATGCAGCCACACCCGCAGATGCCGGCTCCAGTTTCATGTGCATGGGCGGTTCTGCAGACTTCACTTTGCAGACGCTGATTGTCGGTGGATCTGGAGTCATCTGCGGGATCGGCAACGTTGCGCCCAAAGCCTGCGTCAAGATCGTGGACCTGTTTGCGGCCGGGAAGCTGGCGGAGGCTAAAAAGCTGCAAGCTGTTGTGGCCCGTGGTGACTGGGCCGCTATTTCTGGAGGCATCGTAGGCACGAAGAGCGCGTTGGATACGTACTTCGGGTACGGAGGCATCGCACGCAGGCCTTTGCCTCGAGTGACCAAGTCAGAGGCTATAAAATTTGCCAGTGATTTCAAGGAAATTGTGGAGTTGGAGAAAAGTCTGTCATGATGAACGTGGGCGGTATTCTGTGTCCTTGTTCTCGCAAGCGCTTTTCGTAAAATGGCGTACGAATGTTTAGCGATAGCCAGCCATGCTTAGATGAACTTGACCTGTCAGACCATGCTGTTTTTTTTCTCTTTTTCTTTTCATCATATCAATTCCAAAGTATCTATATCTATTCTAGGATCTGCGAGGAAGTACTCGTAGGTGGTCTGCGCGTAGTCGGTTCGGCCCTGTCAAACTTGCATATTTACCCCAGACTACCTTCTTTTGCCGCAGCTCTTCACCACTCACTGGGCGGCACACACACACCACCTTCCCCACCATAATCAATCACCGTCCCCACACTAGTCAGGTACCATCTCCACGCTTGACCACAGCTGTGCGCTTCGATCGAGCTTTCCCGCCCAACAAAGGGATTGATCTATCAAAAGATCAAGACAGTCTAAAGTTCTCAAGAAGCGCGCCTTCATGACGAGCCCAACCAGAATTGAACGGTTCACAAAGATGCCGCTCGCTTCTAGTGCGTCTTAGCCCTACGCAACATCGAGGCAGCGACTATACACGCCATGCAGCATGAGCGCTGACCCTCTTGCGATGCCCGTCCTAAACTGGTGCAATCTTTCCTGCTGCAGCTTTCTGCGTCGCAGATGCGTACGGCGATGCTATAATCCAGGTCCCACCCTCTTCAAGCACGTGTTTTACAGGAGAATAGAAAGAGTAGGAATACAGCGAAGGACCAGGGTTTCCCGGCAAATTCCGCGAGAATGCGTCACTGGCTCCTACGCGCCGCTCCATTGCTGGCTGCCCTTCTCGGGATATGGACTCCGCTGTCTTTTGCTACGCCAACGCTTCGCAGTAGCATTGACCCAGCCATTCCTATCGTTTCCCAGCAGCAGCAGCAGCAGCAGCAAAGCGGACCTCAAGCACTTTCACTGTCTCCCGCTTACAGACGTTCTTCTCCCTCAGTAACTCCTACTGCCATAGGAAAGCGCGATGGCATCCACATCCAGGAGCTAAGTTCCAGCTTCCTCCTCCATTACCATGTTTTCACGGTAAGTGTTCTCTACAGATCTCCTCGTCACAAGACATCCCTTCAGGAAACGAGCGAAGCCACTTGCTCCTTCGTCTTCCCATACATCCAAAGGATGCTGAATACCGAAACTAATTCCTCCAGACATTTGCCCCTTCCTGGCCCACCGCATCCCGGCTCGCAAACTTCTGGTTCCAACTCGGAATCCAGCTCCTCGAGGTCCCGGACCACTATTTCCTCTCAAAGGTTATACAATTCAGCTCGGGACCGCTGCAGCTGGAACTGTTCAATGCGAGTGATGACACCGGTGGTATCCCGAGGGAATTTATCATTGCGTTGGCGAATGCGATGGTGGGGTATACTGAAAGGGGCTTTTGTGGGGTGTTCAATGCGAGGATTAGCAGTAGGGGGAATGGAGAGGGAGGGCCGAGTGAGGTGGCGAAGTTGTGGATTACTTTTAGGATTGTTGAGGGATTGGGGGAGGTGATTGGGGTGTGATGGTGGGGTATGTAAGACAGTGTGGAGGGTTGGCGTTGTTCTGCATATGGAGATCGGCTATTGACGGCTGACAGCGGAGGAGATATTGTGGTAGAGCAGCTTCCTTACCAAACATTCTCGTATTGTAATCATATTCATCTGAACTTGCGCTTCAAATTGGACATATTCACCTCCCTTGCCCACTTTCTTGAGCACCTCCAACAGATCCCCAGCTACTCTTCATCTCAGCGATTGATAACCAAAGCCCCACCTTCCGCCTCGCCCAGCTGGCTTCATCCCTCACCATGGGCGGTGGTCCCGACTCGAAGCCCGAGCATCTGCTCGTCATCCTGCCCTTTAAAGAACCGACCGAGATATTCGACAGGATCAGGAAGAACCATCCGAATATCAAGATTACGTTCAAGAGCTTGCTCTTCACCAGCACGCCGTGGATGGGCGAGGAGGATATACCGAAAGGTTTGATTGACCTCCCCCTCTCTTTCTCTTCCGCCTCCGCCTCCTGCTCCTCTCAGTAGCTGGGTGTGATGGATGATTGCTGAATGCTATGCCCGCTGTAGAAATATACAAGGATGCTACCATCCTCGTCACACTGTCCGCTCTCCCTCCGAGTCCCGAAGCCTGCCCCAACCTCCGACTCATCCATTTCTTCTCCGCCGGCACGAATCACATCGCGAATTCTCCAATCTATACAAGCACCTCGATCCCGTTGACCACCTCGTCGGGCATTCACGGCCCCCAAATTGCGGAATGGGTCATCCTGACCGCGCTGGCCCACTCGCATCACTACTCCTTCCTCCACACACTGCAAAAGAATCGCGAATGGGACAGAGCCAAGAACATAAAGGCCTTGCAGAGTTTGAAGGATAAAGCAGGCCAGCGACTAGGCGTCCTCGGCTACGGCAGCATAGGTCGCCAAGTTGCCCGCGTAGCTCGCGGCATGGGCATGGATGTCATCGCGTACACAGCCTCTCCACGCACCACGCCAGAATCGAAACACGACAAAGGTTTCATCGTCCCCGGAACCGGCGACCCAGACGGCTCGATCCCGGAAGCCTGGTTCAGCGGCCTGGATAAGGTTTCTCTACGCAATTTCCTCGCGCAAGACATCGATCACCTCCTCATCAGCGTTCCTTTGACGAAAGAGACAACCCACTTCATCGGCGCCGAAGAATTCGCAATCCTAGGCAAGAAGAAGAACGCTTTCATATCCAACATCTCCCGCGGACAAATCATCGTGCAATCCGACCTCATCGCCTCCCTCAAAGCCTACGACGACAACGACCCATTAGACGGAGGCGATGGCGGAGGCGGATTGCGAGGCGCGGCGCTGGATGTGACGGACCCGGAACCGCTGCCCAAGGACGACCCGTTGTGGGAAGCACCGAACTGTATCATCACGCCGCATATCAGCGGGCTCGGGGAAGCGTATGTGGATCGCGCGTTCCAGGTGTTGGAGGTGAATCTGGACAGGAGGGAGAAGGGGGAAAGGATGATCAACGTTGTCGATAGGAAGAGGGGCTATTGAGATGCTGCTCTCGGATCAAAGTGCGAAGCACGGGTGATTGAATGGTCTGGACCGTAGTGGAAATCATCTAATGAATCATGACTCTCTCTCTCTCTCTCTCTCTCTCTCTCTCTCTCTCTCTCTCTCTCTCTCTCTCTCTCTCTCTCTCTCACACACATCTACCTACAACGCTCCCCAGAACCCGCGTCCCACAGGCTCACCACCCCCAGACCATCGCCGTCAACGCCATCCAATCGCCTCGCACACACACACACACACACACACACACACACACACACACGCCAGGGCAACGAAAACTCCACCCCTCTCCTCCAACCACCCGACCCACCTTAAAATATACACGTACATGTCACCATAAAATATATACATGTCACCATAAAATATCCACATACATGTCACCATAAAATATCCACATACACGTCACCATAAAATATCCACGTACATGTCACCATAAAATATAAGTACACGTCACCATAAAATATCCACGTACATGTCACCATAAAATATCCACAAACATGTCACCATAAAATATCCACGTACATGTCACCATAAAATATCCACATACATGTCACCATAAAATATCCACATACATGTCACCATAAAATATCCACCTACATACCATAAAATATATACACGTACATGTATTCCACCAAAACCCTACCCCCAACATGCCACGTGTACAACTTTCCATGCGCGAGGGTTGTAACGGGGGTGTGGAAAAATCCGGGATACCTCTTCGTGGGGGAAGGGGGGGATGCTAGATTGCTGGTTGCCTCTGTCTGAGAAACGAGGGGTGAGGGCAAGACGGGACGGGAGCGAGGCGGTTCTTCTTTACGCACGTGGGGGGTTTTGAAGGGGACGTGTCCCGCGGTGTCGGTGGCAATGCGGTTGATTGCCTTCTGTAAGGAAACATCTGAGCTGAGCAGAAGAAGAGCAACACTTCCCTTCTTTTCCGGGGGTCCAAGGGCAATGGTCCCATAGCATTGCCACGAATATGGCCTACTCTTTCTGCACACTTGGACACTTTCAAGTATTCAAAGGGTGCAAATCCCAAAATGCTATGGCTAACTTCGGTATTTACCGTCCGTACAGGAAGAACCAAGCAGAACGAGCCACCAGCGCCAACCACAACGCTACTTGTACTGCGTCTTCTTGCGAGCTTTTAGCGTGATTTCACTACTCGCATTGCGCACTAACTCCCTCCGTGGCTCAAATCGATTGACGTCTTCCTCCGGCGAGGTGACCCGACTAGTCGACCCATCGCTGTCTGATTCATCATCATTGGCCGTATTAAAGGTGAGGAGATCGAAAGGATTGACCTCAAATTCGCGACTCAGACGGGCCACATTCTCGACAGTAAGCGCAGGGATTGGGGGCTTGATTCGCATTGATGAGGGAGTTGGAGGCATGGAGATGCTCAGCTGGCGTGGGTTGGGATGGCTGGCTACCATGAGTTTTTGATCGCGAAGGATGATGGCTTGTTCGTTGGGGGCCAGACGCTGCATCATGATTTTGCTCTTTCCAGGATCTGTTGCTTTGGGGTCTTTCGAGACCGCAAGTTTTTGATCATGCTCGCTACTTTCATAAGGATCGATTAGCTCACTGGTAGAGGCAGAGCTGGACGCAGTACAGATGCTATCATTGTCGATGTGAGGGGTTGGAAACGCTTCTCGGATGCGCGATCTTCGTTTGCCTTCGACGGCCCATTTAAGAAGCATCTTTTCCAGCGTCTTGCCTCTGACAGGCTTGGCGAGGTAGTCATCCTATATCGAGTCTGACATCAGCATCTCTTCTCCGAAGCAAAAGTTTCAGATACAAGACAGGCTTAGGGAACATAATAAGGTTCTTCCTCGCGATGCAGGTCTTGCGACCCAGACTGCTGTGTCAAGGAGGGGACAGCGCGCCTAGTGCTTCCAAATGAACATACCATGCCTGCTTGGGTGCACTTTTCCTTGTCGCCTTGAATAGCGGAGGCCGTCATAGCTACTATGGGAAGGGTCCGTATGCTAGCAATCGCTGAGTAAGGGCTATGATGACGGATGAGATGGGTGGTTCGATAGCCGTCGAGGATGGGCATCTGGCAGTCCATGAGGATAATATCCGGTTTTGGGTGAGTCGTGCTGGGAGCTTCTAGCAGATAATCGAGAGCTTCCTTGCCATTCCACACCGCGTTCACGGAGAATCCGAATTTTCTGACTGTCTTGAGAGCGATCTGTTGGTTGATAGCACTGTAACAGGCAAGTAAGCAAGTTGATTCATGAGCACAATACAGCACGCGCGAGATGGAAATTACAACATACTTGTCCTCCACGACCAGAACATGAACATGCCCACGGTCGATCTCCCGCTGGACCGATTCCTCGTTTGGATCTTCTCCAGGATGCATCGGTCCTAAGCCAGTGCCAGTCCTACTATTGAGATGATCTGGTGGAGCCACGTTTTGCTGGAGACCTCCATCAACACTTTGCGCGTCAGAAAGGCATCCGGGTATTGAGGTATCCCAACGAAAGCTCTCTGGCACAAGTCTTGCATCCCTAAGGGGCGAGCCAAGCGTTGAAGATCGCGGCTTGTTGAATGGTATCCAGAATGTGGTTGTTGTACCCAAGCCGAACTCCGATTTCAAGTTGATATCGCCATGCATTAACTCGACGAGCTAAAACTTGTCAGCGATTTCATGCTTTAGCTACCGAGAGCAACATCATTCGTACATTTTTGCTGATGGTCAATCCGAGCCCGGTCCCTCCAAAATTCCGAGCCGTGCTGGAATCGGCTTGACTGAAAGGTTTGAAGAGCCGTTGCTGCACTTCCTTTTCAATTCCAATCCCCGTGTCCTCCACAGTAAAGAGAATCTCAATCAAGTCACTCGTCTCCTTTTGACTTTCGACCGTCAACTTGACGTAACCCTCCGACGTGAACTTGATGCTATTGGTCAGTAGGTTGGTGAGTATCTGCCGTACGCGGCCTGGATCTCCCATCACTACCAGATCCTGCTCAATATCTCCTTGAACATCGCTTTCGAAGTGGATGTTTCTTCTCTCCGCGGCAAAAGACAGCATTTTGCATACGTCTTGAACCACGACTGACAGAGAAAAGGGGATTTCTTCGATGTCCAATCTCCCAGACTCGACTTTGGAGAGATCCAAAACGTCGTTGATGACGGTCAAGAGACCATTCGCTGATCGTTGAATGCTCTCAGTAAATTCTCGCTGCTCTTTGTCAAGATATGTATCCAGGAGAAGCTCTGACATGCCGATGACCCCTGCTATTGGTGTCCGGATCTCGTGTGACATGTTGGCCAAGAACTGACTCTTGAGTTTGCTTGCCTCTTTGGCAGCATTTTCAGCGGTGGACAACCTGATATTCTCCGTTCCCTGGGACTGTAGCTTGTTATCTCTTTCCTTGAGTTCGGTAACATCCATGCTGATTGCAATCAGCCCATCAATGTATTTTTCATCGCTTCCTCCGCTGTCTCCCTTCTTCATACCTAGAATCGGGGAAAATTGTGTGCGATACCATCGATTCTTATCGTCTACCTGGTGCTCATCGCTCCACTCCTTGACTCTACCGTCCAAAATTGACCGAATCAAATCCGCAAATATATCCCTATCCTTCTTCTCTTTGTGTTCGCCGAAGTACTGGACGACGTTTTTCCCAATGGCTTCTTTCATAAATTCTGGGCTTTGATCCTGCCACATGAGCTCGCCTTCAAGGAATGTGATAGTACAATCCCGGTCGATCGCCCAAATGGTGACCCTTGAATGTTTGATCACGTTGAGGAATTGTTCTCGGGTTTTCTTTGCTTCCTGACGGGCTTCGACCAGGTCATTGATGTCTGTATAGGATCCGAACCATTTTATGATCTTCCCAGATTTATCCCGCAATGGCGAGCCCCTGGACTGCATCCTGTGAAGTTTTCGGCGTCAGCCTTTCGTTGTTCAGATAAGAGGACCTGGATTTTGGCATCGACGAGAGTCATACGTACCAGCGCCATGCACCATCATGGTTTCTGAGACGGAATTCCATCACGTAATCATGACCTGTTCTTAGGCAATGAACCCACTCTTTGAGGTACTGAGTCAGATCATCTGGATGACACGGGATCCGATCCCCAGGCATCCCGATCGATTGATCCGTGGTCAGACCTGTATAATCGTACCATGAGGGAGAAAAGTAGTCTTATGACGCGTAAGCGCAGGAATCTAACGAAGGGTCTGAATTCCATACCTATAAGTCCCCCTGGAGTGGTAGTCCATAGCTATTGTCAGAGATTAGCATCTTTCTCAAGTACCTAGGCAATAACTAGCTCAGATTACATACCATTTGAGGTAATGTTTCACATATTAGTTGGAATTGCTGTTCGTTCTGTTCATTTTGTTCGCTCTGTGCCTTAAGCAACTCTGTGTACCAAGTCACATCCTTGAATGCACAGACGGCAGCTTGGAAGTCTCCAGTCTTCTCGTCGTAAACGCATCGGCCGACAGTCTCAAAGACTTTTTGCCTCGCTTGAGAGTCTATGATTCCAATCCTGAGCCTGCTAAAGGGTTGCTGAGTCCGACAAAGCTTCACAATTGGCCATTCGTGTTGTTCCAATTCTCGATCAAAATCCTCCGTGAAAACGATGTAGCGAGAAAGAACATCACCTGCGTCATCGGAGACTGGATCTGTATCGAAGCGCATCATCCGGGCCACTGCTTTGTTGGGTACGGCTATACTTTGATCTTGCCACAGAGCAAGGACAGGTATGTCTGTTGCATCAAGCATAGCATCTTTCATCCGCATGAGCTTGTCGTTTTGGGAAAGACCAGGTGTGATGTCTGGTTTTCCAGGCGTATCAGGATCGTTGTTGGCAGATACTGGGAGTACTTGCGGTTCAATAGGTCCCAGTTGGGAAAGCAAAGACAGGCGGGAAGTGGACGATAATGGTGGAGCTTCATCCTGAAACGGGACAGTCGAGGAGAGCAGAGCAGCACCACATTGCCAGCAATGAGTGCTTATGGGAAGATGTGCGTCACCATCATGTCGGAAGCCGGTGGGGGTCTGAGCCCAGGTATCAGATCGGCTCCGAGTTCGAGGGAGAACAGGTCGCCCTTCAAGTCCGGCCCCTGACAGAGACTTCTTTAAGGTAGGGTAGGAAAGCAACCCTTTTGAATGCGCAGATGGTGATTTCGGTGGAGATGTAGAGGGAGGGTTCGACGGCATGTCTATGACAGTGGGTGAATGCCTCCTCTGTGGTCTCCAAGAGCCATACAAGGCTGTGCGTAGGTGTATGCTGCCTAGGTAATAGCCAAAGCTTAGTAGCGGGCGTGGTTATGATCGCAGCGCAGCTTAAGAATTGCAGGAAAAAACGAGCGTCTTAAGAAATAGAAAATGTCCCATTACACATCCGTAGTGTCTTCAAGGAAGCTTTTGTGGAAATAGAAAATGTTACCGGCGAAGGGCCGCTACTGCTGTGTTCTCTACACAGCAGTACATATAGCTCCTGCCTGCCATAAGCTCTTACATACTCGGGATTCTCGCTTGATATTAGTTTTAATTCCAAGAATTTGTTGCGATTTCCTCATACTCGAATACCGACATCTTACCTTATATCCTTAATCTCCGAAGCACTTTATCTTAGCGTGATTTGGCGCGAAAGGTCGCGAAGCGCGGACAAACACCAAAAACAAAGTACTCCACTCTGACAGCGACCTGCTTTTCCAACCTGCCTCACCATCTTCAAGGTAGCGTATTGCGTGAGTATCTGTTCGAGCGTCTGCTAGCCCATCGAGACTAATTTATCAATTAGAGCAAAGTGACCCTCCGTCTCGAGCAAGGAATCCTCAGCTATCCACCAAGAGTATGCGGCTTTACGGCACAATCGTCTATCCCTCCGTATGCTGACGATGAACCATAGTGCTTGAAGCACGGTTGGAGCAGGCCAACCTGCTGAAGAAGGTAGGCCATACTTGTCTAGACTCTGAATATATACTCAAGCGGCCTCTAGGTCGTCGACGCCATCAAAGACCTCGTACAAGACTGCAACTTCGACTGCAATGACTCCGGCGTTGCCCTCCAAGCCATGGACAATTCCCACGTCGCCCTCGTCTCCATGATGCTCAAAGCCGAATCCTTCTCTCCTTTCCGCTGCGACCGCAACATCGCGCTAGGCATCAATCTCACCTCGCTCATGAAGGTGCTGCGATGCGCGCAAAACGAGGATATTCTAACATTGAAGGCGGAAGATGCGCCAGATGTCGTAAACTTAGTATTCGAAAGCAGCGAGAGTGATAGGCTGAGCGAGTATGACATTAAGCTTATGGATATCGATCAAGAGCACTTGGGCATACCTGAGACTGAGTACGCGGCTACAATTACGATGCCTTCGGCGGAATTTCAGAGGATCTGTAGGGATCTGATGGCCTTGTCGGAATCAGGTTTGGTGACACTTGCAGCAAGACGTGTATCATCCTGCTAAATTGTCTCAAAGTTGCCATTGAAGCTACAAAGGACGGCGTCAAATTCTCCTGCTCCGGCGATATTGGCAATGGAGCTGTCACCCTTCGAAGCCATACCAATGTCGAAAAACCAGACCTCAATGTCGAGATCGCCCTCTCGGAACCCGTCGCTCTGACCTTCTCCCTCAAGTACCTTGTCAATTTCTGCAAAGCCAGCGGCCTCTCAAGCACAGTCAAGTTGTGTCTGTCCAATGAGGTGCCGTTGCTCGTTGAGTACGGTTTGGCATCCAATAGCTATTTGAGATTCTACCTAGCTCCGAAGGTAAGATACTGTGTCCTACCCACTCCCGGAACCTGCTGATCCGGTGTTTAGATTGGTGACGAGGAGTGAAGGCTGGATCTGGGATGGAAAATAAGACAACGCTGTGGCATAGACTAGAAGTCTGCGTGGCCGTATGATGATGAGGATCCGCCTAGGATAGGTATTTGATGTATCAACAATTTGTGGAGGACTTCTAGTGCATGCAGAGCTAAGGGATGCTGCCTCGCGAATTCAAGTATTCAAATGCACAATCTGACCTTTTAGCCTCACATTTCGCAAACGAGCAAGAAATCTTCAGTCATCCAAGGCCTCGGGCTCTTTGCTTTATTATGCACAGATATTTGAGACCTCCTTGAGCCGTTTGGCACTCTGGGCGGCTGTCTTGGTAGTAGGCGCTTACTCGTACCACCGGCACCACCGGCAATCATCCCTGCTACCAACACCCCCTCGACACTCAATCTGCTGTTTCATGTTTACTATTTCCCATTACGTACGATGCTATCGCATTCCCGACTTACGTCAGTAGGACTAGGAGACATGACGGTCAACCAAGGATTCGTACGAGCATGAATTGCTCGTTCACTCCTCTCGAACACTACCTACCGTATTTATTGATGCTGAGAAGCCTGCGGCCTGGGACCACAATAGGGAGCCTCTATGTGCAGTTGTTTCAGATGATCATTCGCTGGTGCCATCGCCGCTCACCAACGCTCCAGATGCCCACCCTATTTCCAGCAGTGAAACAGGACGATGTTGTACCCAAACCAACATCTCCAGGCTAATCGGATAATAGTGCCGAAATGCTTCGGAGTTTCCGGAATATGCTCGTCAACAGATACTCTCAATGAGAATGATACCTCCTTTGCCCACGCTAGGTTCCGTTCATCTCGGACACGATGAGGCCATGTTTTGCTGGCCCGAGCCGATGGTAGTGTGTATCAGAATAAATTCTCCTTTGTGTACGATTTAGTTGAAACGAAACCATCAATATTGGTACTCGATGGCATCGCATCTAGACCGCAATTGAAAGGGACACCATACTCATTCGAGGAAAGCATTTACTACCATGGTGCGTTCTAGGACAGTCAAGGTACTACTGCTGCTCCAACACCGGTACTTCGAGCGACAAGGAGGACTCTAACCCGACCATATTGCCGGACTTCCATGGTGCATCCCCACGGCTTGTGGGATCTAAGGATAGTGTGTCAATACGAGCATGTCCATGCCGTCTATATAATCCAATGTACCCCCTGGTGCCCGAGTATGTAGATACACAACCTCAGTGAGGAGATCCCAATCATTCTTTGACAGTCATCAAATATTCCCTTCTTGATCGAAACAGCTAGACGCTGCCATTGACCTCTCACATTCTCTTCTTTCAGACCCCAAAAGCTTGATCATTCTCTCGATATGAAAACTGTTCACCATTTTACCCTGCTACTAGTTGCTCTCGCAGCTCCGTCCCAAGTCTTCGCCGCGCACCGTCCCTCCAACTTGGGTTCCCCTTACTACAATCCTCCAAACGGTCAACCAAATGGTGGCTGGACACCTCATGGCTGGAGCCCCTCCTCAACAACAACAACTACCTCAACCCCAACCACATCGACGACCACGACCACATCATCCGCCACCGCCATCGCTGCCGCCACCGCGACCGGCACCTCCTCCGGCGACTCCAGCTGTGACGGCTTCGCTCTCAACTTCTCAGGCGATCTCAGCTACGATTATTGGCTCGGCGGATCCTTTGGAAACGAAACCGGCAGCCTGAGCGACACGAGCAGTTTCTGCTTCCCGAACGGAAACTCGGGTGGCAGGGTCAACATCGGCCAATTTCCCGACCCTGGCGACGGGGCAATGTTGACCGGCAACAGCCTCGTAGAATGCGACCCGGTGACCGCCGGCACTCCGGGTTGCGACGTCTCTTACGGTACATCCTTCCCTCCGCTTTTCACCCCCTTCCCTTCCCTTCCCTTCCCTTCCCCTTCCCCCTTCTCCAAATCCAACATGCTGCACGCTGACCACAATCTTCGCCGCCCTCAGTCGACGGCTTCTCGGTCGGCATCACCTGCACCATGGCCAACGGCGCCAACTTCCTCGGCGCCCCCGGCCCCATCGGCTGCGCGTCCAACATCCTCGCCGCCTGCCCCTCCGACCAGCAAGACTCCACCTACAACGTCTGCGGCAACCCGGGCTTCGACTCCGACGCCGCGGTCACGGACCCGTGGACGGACTGTCTGGGCACCCCGACCAGCGGGGCGATCGTGTGGCCGGACGGAGACGGGTATTTCTATCTCGATCCCGACTTGTTCCCCGTCGAGTGTACGGTTCACGGCGCGGGGACGGTGGGGAAGAGGGCGGTGGATGGATTACCCGTTGCCGGGAGAGGTGCGGGGGATGTCGCCGTTCGAGCGAGGGATGGCGCGCGTGGGCATGCGCGTAAGCATGCTGAGGCTCATGTTGAACGGTCGAGGAGATCGGGTGGGCATGCGAGGGGGTTGATGGATGTGACTGGTGAAACGAAGCTTTGAGAGCTTTGGACCGGTGTATTTGTGCGAGTTTGTATATATACATGTGATCTTTTTTTGAAATAGAAGGCTAGGCTGGATGTATCCGCGGGGCTGGATCGCTATCTCTACGATGAGGAAGATGTTGCAGTCATGGATTAGACGTTTCTGCAATCATCGCATTACCTAGCCTTGGAATTGCTTTCTGCGCCGCGAAAGGTTGCTTTGTCTGCGAATGGCTCGACAAGCTGAATTAGGAATTTTGAGCAGGGTAATATCACCCCTGCATCTTTGGGAACGTCCGATCGCTCGAACGACAACATTAATTTCATTAGCTATGCCACAAAAGCCATATATACCACACCATTGCGCCAACCCCCACATTCAACACGCTTGATCTGAACTCGTCGTACACGACCATCAGGCCTTTTCTCCGCTTTCGTCTCGAAGGCTCGTCTAACGCACTATCATTCCATGTCCTGTTCACTGCAACTCCTTGCGGACTCTCATCCTCAGCCTCGTCCTCGACGGTAGGAGGCTGATAGCCGTAACCGCTTCCGGGAGTCACATTTCTTGGCCCGGCTGATGGTCTGACTGCAAGGCCATTTTGGGAAGAGGTACTTGATGAGCTGGCGTGGGATGGTGTGTCTTGCTGTTTCGTAGGGGCTGGCTTGATCTTAGAGAGGGGCAGAAGGGAGCCATTGGTGTTACTGGTAGCTGGCGTTGGACCATAGGCGATTCTGACTGCTCGAACGAACAGCACGACGAGCGTAAATGCTAACAACAAACCATAGCGGATGAAAATCGAAAGCTGGTCTGGTAGTAAGCAAAGGTGACTCTGTATCGTAGACGATTTCGAAGCATCCTGGCTGTTAGCCTTCCCCTCCTCATCCACAGGGTTCCATAAGCTCAAGAGCAGGAACCCAGGCTTGCGAACACCCATGGCCCAAGATATCGACTTGACGGTGACTTCTCGTATACCGCCATTTTTTGAGGTGTAGCCTCGATGAATGACATCGCAATAGTCGTGATCGTCTCCCGAGAAAATGTGAGATACGTCTCCTACAAGCTCCACCAGCTCCTTTGATATTTCGTGGGTGAGGACGTTCTGATACTGTACGCCTTGCTGTATAGCGATCGCATTTGCATCATCCTTCTCTGGCGCTTCGCCACTGTCGGTTCTGGATGGAGGATAGCGCTCACGGAGAGGTCCGCAGGGTGTTCCTGGAGCTCGGTATAGTGGTACATGGGTCAGGATGATCGAGGGTATATCTGTACTCTTCAAGGGGTCAAAGTCCAGGGGTATAGTCCAGGCGCGAGGCTCTTCAAGATCTATGACGTCTTTATTCATGATTTCGTTCTCATTCTTCCCATACCGCACTCTTAGTTCTCGAGCAATGGTTCGAGCTTTCTCCCCTTGAGCAGTATGTAGGAACTGTTCCACGGGGCCCCAGATGTCTTTGTTCGATTCATCTATCCCCTGGCTGCCAGTAGCTGGATCGGGTTGTCCCTTTGCGCTCAGTGAGACGGTGTCCAGAGACACGAATGTGTGGTTCCCAACAATATCTATTCTGTTCCCATTTCCGAAATAGGCCTGGAATCTCTTTCTCACGGGTAATCGTATACCATTTCCAAGCCCAAGGTCATGATTGCCGGGAAGTCCGGCCACCATCTTTCGACCATTCTGACCCTGTCCACCTCGTAGCCAGGTGTTGAAGAAAATACGGGCGAATCTTTTATACTCCTTCAACCAGAACCTATTGTCGTACTTTCTCCATCTCTTGTCCACGCTTTTTCCCCCTTCGGCTTCACCTGTCGACCACTCTCGTCCTCCATCGAAGAGATCACCTAGAAAGAAGACGGAGCCTGGAGCCAGTATACTCTGGATCTGCTGGAAGGACTTGCGAATGTAGAGATCAGTGTAGCGGACTGTGAGCGTAGAAAGTGGCCAGGGGCGTCCGGGGTAGGTGTGGGGATCGACGAGTTGAGGATCAGCGATGAGCGCGACGTGGTGGGGAGTGGATGTAGCGGGCTAATGATTCGGTCAGCGCCAATTCTTCTGCTCGAATTTTGGGGAAGGAATCTGGCATACCCAGCTTTCCCAGTTGCTCCAGGCGCAATTTTCCACGCTGTGCCTGAAGACGACCTCTTCGCCCCACCAAAGCACCACCCACCAGATGATGATCAAGGCAAGTGGTATGCCGAGCAGGTCCCTGGGCCTCCATGACCGTAGCATCCCTACTATTCCCAGAGATCGTCTCCATATTTCGTTCCAATTCACGCGCCTCGGCAGCCTCGAGCTTGAAGGGTGCCCTTGAACGGGACCATTCGGTAAGACGGGTATGTAATTACCCAAAAACGAAGGCAGCTCGTCCGAAGTGCGACGCTTCTTGCCCGCTTGGTTGATCAAACCATTGCGCAACGGGTGCCCGTTCTGGTGAGAGGTCATACTGCAATCGTCGTCGTACGAGTAATACCGGTCATTGTGAGATTTGAGGCTCACAAAGTGCCTGAAGAAAAGGACTTCGAATAGATTGCCAGTTCGACGCCCTGTAATTCAATGAGCCCGAGGACACTAAGCTAGATGTTGGTCGCGAGTAAATACGAATTCAGCCCTACGAAGCGACAAATTGGTATGTCAGATCCTAATACTATACTCGTAGGTGGAGTTCTTGAATTCCAATGGAGATTCGCAGAGGGAATTTCCCACAGATTGATCGGGTACTTAAGAGTGTAGAGTGAGTAAGATGCATGATGCTAATTGAATGAAAGAGCTCGTGAGTCCAGCCAAATGGAATCATAAGTATGTACATCTTCTGAAGCAAAGCAAAACCCCACTTCTAACTCGCCGAAACGATATGATACATCAATGCGAATGATCCTCCTCGTTATGCATGTCGGCCTCGACCGTGCTCGGTGCACAGCACTGACCGCCTTGGTCACATTCATCGCCGCAATCAAGCAGGCAGGCCTCGGGCTCACTACGCATGCTGGCTGCTTTACTGCCACCTTTGCTTCCTGCTTTCGGTTTGGGCAAGCTAGAGTCTTCGTTGTCTGAGTGCTGTGCGGAAGTATGCCGGTGTTCGCTGTCCAAGCAAAACTCTGGTTGTATGGTAGAGGAGTGAATGCCGTATTCATGGAGGCAGCGACGGACTTGCCTGGCAAGCAACATATACCGTTTCGAGCCTTCGCCTTTAAAATCGAATTCGACCTGTACATGTAGCGAGGCGACCACTTTGGCGTCGCTCAACTGCCATACGTGTAGATGGTGACAACTCAAGATTCCCGGAAGCTCTTCAATGTCCTCCTTGATGTTATCGACACTGATGCCTGCCGGGACGGCTTGGAGCAGAATCCGTGATGCCGCTTTACATAGCGGAATGGCTGATCCGAGGATGATAAGGGTGATGATAAGGGAGATGGCTGGATCTGAATAAAATCTCCACGTATAGTCCGTGAGCCAAATGATGAGAGCAGACCCAATAACACCAATATTCCCAAGAGCATCCCCCATGACGTGTAGGAAGACACCACGCATGTTGAGATCTCCATGCGATTGTCCGCCACTACTCGTCTCCTTTGGCTGGTTGTGATTATGGTTATCGTGCCACGAGTCGTGACGGTCGTCAGATTTGTGCTTGTGAGAATGTCCGTTATTGTCTGCATGCTTGGCCGAGCCGTTGCTCTTAGCATGCTTAAGAAGTGGCGAGCCCTCTGTCGGCTCGTGCTCATCCTCGTCAACTGCTTCTTCTCCTCCGGACACACTACTCCCCTCCCTGGATTCAATGTCTTCCAATCGACTTTGCGCAATGATATCCTGCCTGAAGCTCGCAGGATGGATATGAATGTCGTCGACACTGGAAAATCTATTTCTCGATCCTCCGCTGTTCTGACGGCGACGGTGTCGCGTGCTGCTAGCACGTGATTTTCGGGTGGACAGAGGCGACGTGGACCCTTTGACAGTTGAATCGTCCTCATCGCTAGGTGTAAACCCATTGGAGCTTCGGCTTAGCTGATCTTGAGGCCCTTCTCTTGCTGCCCCCGCGGACTTTGGCCACCCAGCAATTGTACTTTGCGGCAATACGTCTGCCACGTTCCCGCTCTCATCTGCTACCGCTTGAGTATGCTTCCCACCAACAGTATGGCTATGTCCTTCCTCAGCAGTAGCAAGCTTATCGGCTCCACCGTGTGAGTGGCCATGACCGCCTCCGTGACTGTGACCATGCTCATGGAAGAGGAACAGGCCGAGGATATTGGATAGGAGGCCAAAGCAACCAACGATGAAGACTAGTCTGGGATTTGAGACGGTCTGCGGTTCGACAAATCTCTGAATGGCTTCCAGGAAGATAGATAGACACAGAGCGACAAGGAAGACTCCATTTACAAGAGCACCTAGTGTTTCGGCACGTTGCCACTGAACACCTGTTAGATGCTTTGTAGAACAAAGGCCAATGGAGCTAACCATACCCCATATGTGTACATCTTCGAGCTTGCTTTTTGATGTGCCACTTTGACCGCCCACAATCCGACACAAAGCGAGAGGACATCGTTGAGCTGCAGCACCTCGGAGATTAGTGAAGAGTTCCGTACGTGATGTGAACATGATAAAAGTTGTAGCATGACCGACCATATGAAAGGAATCTGCAACGAGGGCCAGTGAGTGTACGGCATAGCCTAAGACTTCATTAGCTTTGCCATAAGCAGAAGCGCCCGATTTCGCCAGGACCCAAGCTCACCAACGATGAGCTCCAACAGGAAGAAAGCCGAGTCGATTGCCAGCAGTATGATGATTCTTGTAGACTTTGATAAAGCCATGGTGACAGATGCCGTTCGCCAAAAAGCGCCTTACTCAGGTCTGAATAGGTTCTGGCGGCAGTGACTTGTCGCTCCTCTCAATACGGTCTCAGCGTGCTCGTAATCTTGTGTTCGGTGCGCGGGGCATTGAAATCATATCACGTACACGCTGTCGCAACCAAAATATGATGGCTGGCTGATTGAATGGAAGTTTGATGACGAAGGTTGGTGTTTTACAGGAGAGCCTCACATTGCGCTAGGAAATACTCCGCTTTTAGAGTTTAGACACAAACATCACAATCACTTTCCTGGGACCTGCAGCATTCATCACCCTCTCTTTGCCCACAGGCGTCAACCGACTTAGACGAAAACAATGGCTTCTTCTCCACCAGCTTCGCCCCTGGAGCAGTGCCTGGAGCACGGCGGCGACTCGAATCGAGAAGCCACCGAGATGGGAGACTATGCCGAAGTGTTGCGCAGAAGCAGTGTCTACATTAATTCTTCTGCACAAGGGCAAGGTGCTGGTGATACTATACCGAACGGGGCCTACTTTACGTCTACGCGGAGATCACTGGCAAAGCTGTGGCACCGACAAGTCAGCGCCACCGTGCCACACGACGCATGTAGAGATCATCTTGGTACGCATATCTTTTCTTTCGCCAGGCTCGAGGCCAGCCGCTCAATAATCAAAGAGCTTTGACATGTACATATCGTAAGATTACGCGTCTACCAGTACTCGTCGAAGTTGTCATGTCGCTTCCTTCGCAATCTGCTTTCAACAAGCGTTTGGTGGAAACGTCGGCCAAAAATTTACTTACTACCCCCTTCACCAGCCCTCGAACGCACTTTTCTTGGATACCTGAGAACCTCGTTGGCTCTGTCAATGATTTCTGTGATCATTGCTCAGCTTTTCAGGCTTGAACACGCGCAGAATCCAAATAAAGTATTTGGTTACTTTACTTTGAGTCTTCCTTTGGCATGTGTCTGCATTGGAGCAGCAATCGTTGTCCTGCTACTGGGAGCATATAGATTCTGGCGGCAGCAGAACGCTATCCTGCGGGGGAAGGTGCATGCGGGAGGTTGGGAGTTGAATGCGATTGGCTTGACGATAGCTTTGGTATGACTGCCCCTCGGCCGCGGCAGCAGGTGACTGATACGATCCTTAGCTCGTGCTCACCTTGTTCGTGCTTCTTGTCGCTGTCGACTCAAGGAAGGATTCTCTGGATGCAACTTGACTAGGTGCATTCAAGCGAGCGATTGCCGGCTTACGAGGTACTCCGCGCGTGTGCCGATATTCAAAGCCATCAAAACACACGCTGCCCCGCATTATGCAAGTGGTGCTGTCTCGTACCAATGGCGATCCCCGAAGAAGCCCGAATACCGCTCATTCAGACCAGACTCCTCCGTCTTTCTTGCCATGTTGAAGACGGAACAGACGAAGAATAGAGAGGCCTTCAAGTTGCCTTCGATGACGGCGAATTGTATTCTTGCATGGCGGAAGCATGGGAAACAAGGCCATTGCTGCCAGGACACGCCTGAATGAAGCCGCATGCAGATGCAGGTACAGGCAGCTAGCGTGTAGAAAATCGGAGGTATTGTGGGGCATCATCAGTGAGGCTTGCATTTACTTAGATCAATTTGGCTCCACCGAGAATTCATTGGTACTAAGGAACGAGAATTAACTGTGAGGCTCGTGTTCCGCGTTTATGACAAGTCCGAAATGAATCTCAAAATCCCTAAGGATGGCAAAATGACCAGATAGTATGGATTTGGAAGGCATGTTGCCGAAGTCTTGTCATTGCTACTCAATGTTGACCTCTCACCGATGGTGCATCCGTTCTGAATTCTTTCATCCAAGACCTCAAAATGTCCAAGACGTGCAATAAAATATATTCATGCCTCCATCAAGACAAGTGACAGCATATAACAATGGCCTTCAATCGTATATTCATTGTCATTGCGATATGTCTAGCATCTCTTGCAAATGCCGTGGCAACCACCGGCCCTGAAGGCGGCGTCAACAATTCCACCGGGCAGAGACCTTTTCGACAAGAGTTTTCTACCTTTAAGGAATCAGGCCCAGCATTTGACCTCTATATTCTCTCTCTACAAAAGTTTCAGCAGCAAAACCAATCTGCTCTCCTGTCTTACTATCAAGTCGGAGGTAACATAACCTCTACCATTGTCCAACGTACGAATACTGACTTGTATTCAAGGCATTCATGGACGCCCCTACATCGCATGGGATGGCGTTCAAGGTCCCTATCAAACAGGTTACTGCACACACAGCTCTATCCTGTTCCCATCATGGCATCGACCCTACATGGCACTCTTCGAGGTAGCATTTCATCATTCCGTCCAATATCTCAGCTCTGTAACTGACGCAAAATAGCAAATCCTTTGGAAATACGCGCAGCAGATCGCCACAACGTACCCAACAGCCCAGCGAAGCACGTATCAAGCCGCCGCCACCACCCTCAGGGTCCCATACTGGGACTGGGTTCTCAACGCTACGATGCCCGATCCAGTCAATAGTCCTATGATCAGTGTGAACTCTCCGCATGGTGTCACGAACATTGTCAATCCATTGTACAATTACACCTTTCATCCTCAGCCTTCTGCTGTAGATTTCCCGCCCAGTGACGGCATGATCGCGGAGTATCGCAGCACCGTGCGCTATCCAAGTTCCAGTGGGCAGAGTCAACCAGGTCTAGCCAACCTGCAGCTCGAGGCCAATGCTCAAGCCATTCACGACGCGACTTATCAATTGATCGCCGACCAGTCCAACTACGCACCGTTCTCGAACACTGGATACACCGACGGCCGAGGCGGATCCTACAACTCCCTCGAGAACATGCACAACGCTATCCACAGCCTGGTCGGAAACGGAGGACACATGGGTTTCATCCCATACGCAGGCTTTGACCCCATCTTCTGGCTGCACCATGCAAACGTCGACAGGCTCTTTGCCATCTGGCAAGCAATGTACCCCGATTCCTACACAACAGCCGAGGCCGACGCCGAAGGCACTTTCACCAACGCTCCTGGCGAGACCGAAGACGTCAACACGTCACTGACACCCTTCCACTCCGACAGCGCAGGCACACTCTACACATCCGCCTCGGTGCGATCGACTCGTCCGTTCGGGTACACCTACCCCGAAGTCGTCGACTGGGGCGTCAACGCCAGCCAGCTGTCCTCCAACACCAGAACAGCTTTCAACAAACTCTACAACCCATCCGGCAGTCTTCCAACACGATCCCTACTCAACAAGCGAGACGACCCCACAGCACCCCACACGAACACCACAGAGTATGAATACTCCATCAACATCCGCGTTCCAAAGTCAGTCCGACCCCCTTCCCTCCCTCCCTCCCTCTCCCCCCCCATCACCACCACCATCCTACACAACCTCAACCGCATCCATCCGCTAACCAAGGCGATCCCCCTCCTTCACCCCAAACAGAGCAGCCCTCAACCGCCCCTTCTTCATCCACTTCTTCCTCGGCCCCGTGCCCCCAACCCCCCTCACCTGGTCCTTCGCCCCCACCCTCATCGCCTCCCAATCCATCCTCTACCACCCCACCACCACCACCACCACCCTCACCTACGGCCAAATCCCCCTCACCCGCGCCCTCCGGCGCTCCCACCCCACGGCCCCGCTCGACCCGCGCGCCGTCGTCCCGCTGCTCGCGCGCCGGCTCCGGTGGGCCGTGCAGGATTTCTCGGACCGGGTTGTGCCGACGGTGGAGGTGGGGGGGTTGAAGGTTTTTGTGGTCGGGAGGGCCGTGGTGGGGGGGAGGGGGGAGGGGGCGGATGGGTTGACTAGGTATGGACCGTATACGATTTATAGGGCCGCGACGAGGGGGAAGGTTGGGGGGTTGCCGGATGGGGAGGGGATGTGAATGGTGCTAAGCTTGTACCTTGCTTACGGAATGGGAGTGGAGGATGCGGATGTGAATGGGGGATATGGCTTTGTGACGAGACGCTCATTATTATATTTCTGACCTTTTACATATGATAAATGATAACCAAAGTGCTCCCTTCCTCCTTTTTTCGGTCCCGACCCAAATGCAAGATCCCGAGCCCAGGATCAGGATACTCGTGCCAGTATGCTCCCAAGCCCGTAACGCCGTGTTATGCCATGCGATTTGTGGTACAATGCAGCGCTGGATGATGATGGAAATGCAGATGCCCAAAACGCAGAACGCTATATGATCCCCTTCGCCTATGCCCTGTTATGGTCGCATCTAGAAGAGGCCCCATTTCTTCTTCCCTTTCTCGTCCCCGCTCTTTTTACTTGTGTTCGACGATGTCTGGAACGAGGATGTGGACGAGCCACCGGAGGCTGCCGCTTGTATAGCTGCGAGTCTATGCTTCGCCCGCTCGTCGCCCGAGTCGGCGGCTTTGACGTACCACTTGTTGGACTCAAGAGGATCGCGTCGGCAGCCGATACCCATCTCTGTGAAGTAGCCGACGGCGTATTCGGCTTTTGGTAGGCCTGCTTAATGTCAGTAACAGACGCGGGGTAGATACATGCAAAGCGGTAAGAACCGAGGGCTCTGGTTCGAGAGATAAAATCGAATCGCGCTCACCAGTCTCAGCGGCTTTCCTAGCCCACTCATACGCTTCGTTCTCATCCTTCTCTAGCACCGGTTCCGCGCCGACCATGTACCATGCACAAAGCGCCATCATTGCCAACGGATGCCCTCTTTGCGCAGCACCTGTATAAAAGTGCACGCTCAGTGCCGGATCTTTCGGACAACTTAGTTTCCCATGCTCGTATGAATCTCCAAGCCTGTAGTTTGCCTCCACATGTCCTAAGTCCGCTGACTGGGTAAAAAGCTGCGCCGCGTACGACTCGTCCTTGAATATATCATCACCAAATCCTGTTTCGTGTAAAAGCCCGAGTTCGTAAGGTGCGGAGTTGTATTGGAAGTCTGCGGATTCCGCAGCGCGTTTGAGCCATTTCACCCCCTCACGGTAGCGGTTCCCTAGGCCCATCTCACCAGTCAAGCAGGCTTTTCCTAACCGTGACATTGCACCCGGGTGATTCTTTGAGGCAGATTGCCGAAAGAATTGAACGGCTTTTTGTGGATCTTTTCGAGAGCCCCAGCCGAACTCGTAGCATAGTGCAGCTCGATAGCCAGCTTCTGCGTGACCATGCTTGCTGGCGGCCACAAAGAGTGGGAATGCGCGGTCGTTGTCTTCGACGCCTTTATTGAAGAGACCTGAGGCGTAGCCGTCGGCTAGGTAATACTGAGCGTATGGATAGCTTCGATCGGAGAGCTTCTGTAGTATTTGTCTGGCTTCGCGGAGGAGGTCCGCCTGCGACCCGCCAGGTGTCGAATTGTCGCGGTGTGGACTCTCCCCATCTCGATTTGGTCTCAGACTAGAGTGTCTCTGACTGTCATTATCCCTCTCGCTGGTCGCAGACTCTTGAGCAGCATTGATCATAAACACAGCGAACTCGTACTGTATAGTAGGGTCGTTCGTTTTCTTCACGTTGGCGCGATACATCTCCAGAGTCTTCTTAGTACTGAGTAACGATGCGTTGTCGCCGATAGCTGAGCGCAGATGTGCATTGTCAAGATTCGATGGAGCTGGAGGAGGTTGTGGGTAGGGGACGTTCAGTAGGTCGACGTACGACATGGGCCGGGAGTCCGGCGAAAGTCTGGAAGGGGACGGCGTCCGAGCATATTGAGGCGAGTGTGTTCGTCCTGGGGCCCCAAGTTCAGACCCCGAGGAGTACGCAGAGGACGGCCGTGGGAGATTCGCACCCAGCCGCGTACTGCTTCCCATGGGCGAGAGATGATGATGATGAGACGGAATTGGAGGCGTATCGTCAGAAAATCGTTGAGTCTTCTTGTTCGAAGCGCTGCTGTCCGCGGAACCCCTGCCATCGCCTGACTGAAAAGGGTGATGATGATATTGTAAGGGCTGAAAGGCGTCTTCGGGGCCTGAGGCGCTCACATAGCTTCCTCCTGATGTATGTCTTGAATCTGAGCCACTACCATTCACGGTTGAGATTATCCCACTCTGCGGTTGCTGCAATGACTGAGATGCTTCCGTAGTAAGCAATTGCCGGTACGGTATTGACTGTGTAAATGGTGCTGATTCACTATCCCTTTCATCTCGTTTTGTAGCAAAGTCTTCTAAAGGCTCCCAATTCTCGGATTCTCGGGCAGGCTTTCTCATGTACACATCATCGCCGGCCTCGTATGAGGACCTTCGCGGAGGAGGAGTTCGCGTGGCGCTGTCAGAAGTATTGGCCATGGAAAATTGCGAGCCTTGAGATCTGCCAGTATTCGGAGACGAAGAAGAGAGCGGTCTTCTCTGCGTCTGCGTAGAGGGACTCGACGGCCCTCCTCTCTCCATGCCTTTGGGGGAGTAGCGAGGGGGTGGGCTTGCAACTGGCGGCTGCGGTGGGGCCAAGGACGGGATTGGAGGTGTCCTGTCTCGATTTGTGTGTGAGAGAGCAGGCCTCGAATAATCTATCGCAGCGTCCGTGGCCATCACTGGGAGATGTAGCTGTTGAGCCGAAGTAATCGTTTCCTTCTGGATGCAGGAATCCTGTGGTCTACCGACTGCCCCTGTGTTTCCAGCACTTGCAGAAGTGCGTGTGTATGCCTTTGGCTTGGATTTGATTGGGCGTGGACTGCTGTGGCTGCTTAGTGATGAGGGATGAGACTGGACTAGAAATGACTGTCGAAGGCGTCCACTCTATGAAGTAATGAAGGCAGCTGAGACGACGATTGGAGCAGCATAGTTGACTGGGAAGGTGGGTCTTAGTGTCGTGGTGGTGTATGCGTTAAGTTTTGAGGCGTGTGAGAATGAGTGGTGATGGTGGTGACTGGTTGATGAATTAGGTAGTCCTGCTTCGATCCAACACCTGTGCCTCGGGAGGTCCGGCCTCCGAGTCCGGGCGGTCAAATTGGCGAGCACCTGAGTCAACAAAGGGGGCCAAACACACTAGATCTCACGCAGCCATGAAAGGTTGCGCAAGCTACACATGCTCGTCACCAATCATTTTTTTGTCATTTTTCCACCAGTGACATCATCAGAGTCCAGCAGAGTAATTACTACGAGTACAGTTCCGCTGCAATGTTTACATATGCATGTGGGATATCTACGCGCGAAGGGCGTCTATTCTGTTCCGCCAACTTTTCCGACTAAGATTGAAGGGTGAAGATCTACAGGGGGGAATGCATGATGCATAATGGAGAAGAAAGGGGCGTGAGACATATTGCATTCGAGTTACTTACTTACCGTACTCTTTACTCATCAGTGGTAAAACACCCTTTTCTTAGGAGTGTGATGAGGATGAGCAAAGCTGGATTTTCAACGGGTGAAGCATGTGGGAGAGATACGTTGCCTAGCGACGATTTTTACTACTTTAGTTTACGAAAACCCGTGTTCGGCTCTCCGGTAGTCCTAAAGCCGAGCAGGGGTATTGCCGCCTTGCAGCTCCTAAAGTATCTTACTTTAGCCTCCTTGGGTTTTGGTATTTTGGTAACGTGTGGCCCAATCAGGTGCTAAGAAGCGAAGCTGACCTTTTTGAGTATCGAGAGATCTTGTGAAGAATCGATTTCCATGCTAGCATTTATTGTAGCAGTAGTCGTAGGAGAAGCTCAAGGAGTTCTTATGAATAAATGATTTCACAGCTGGCAGATCAATCGCAGATGAATAGTAGATCAATCGAAGCATTCATGTACAGCTGACCCCACGGTTCATGGATTATCGTATCCATGCGGCCAGGCAAGCTAAAAGTAAGGGAACAGTAACGCCACTCTCGGGAATCAGTGATGCTAAATTTAATCCCTAAGCTAAGTACTTAGCTGCTGGGACTAAGGTGTACCGTATTTTTTAGGTAACTTAAGCAAGAATCAAAACACCAACCATGAAGCAGTAAGAATTCCATCACTCGCTCTGCTCACACAAGATCTGTTGGAAACAGTACTGCGACTGGTCTTTTGATTGTCATTGCTTCGTCCTTCTTGGCGCGAGCCGCTTCTTCCCTTACTTCGCTCCTTCGAGGAAGCCTCGTCACTGTCGTTTGATTCCATTCACTCGCTTCTCCGTCTTTGTTGTTGACGCCTCAGCCCCCACTCCCCTTGCCAGATCTCAACGCCGACCTTCATACCTATGGAAAGACACCTCTCCTTCGGGTCCTCCGCTTGCTAGCATTGCGCTTGCGCTGTAATACCATCTGACAACCGTCATCTGTTTGGTGGATTTTCGCATAGCGCTCGGGAGTAAGGACCGATTCCGGCGCCGAAGTCGTGAGTAAAAAACGCAGAGGCGAGGATCCTCGTCAGTGTCGGACGTGTTTTCAAATCACCGTGAAACTGAGCTTGCTATAGCACCATGTCTCACCCACGAAGGCCTGCTGCGACCTCGCCCAAGAGAGAAAACAGGGGCTCCCCATACAGAGAATCACCATCAAGACGGGCTCGTCCCAACGACATAGAGGCAGCTCCATACCGTGATGCACCCGGACCCCGAACCCCAAAACACCGACCCAAGCAGCAAGCCTACATGCCCGCGGAGCCTTCACCTTCGAGAACACTGAACGACGACCAGCATGATGGGGCAGGGGCCGATGTCCATAGGAAACGCAGTCTCATTCGACCGGAGCGAGGTCGCATAGACCGAGATCATCCCAACTTTCACTATCGCCAGCACGCTCAGAACATGACCGTTTACCCTTCAACCACTGGTAATGACCCGATTGTTGAGGACGATGATGACGAGGATGAGGCCGAAACCCTGATGACCGATGGGAGAGATGGCAAGAGACTGGCTCGGGACGAGGCAACTGTGGCGGCATCTCCAGAAAGCCCTCAACGTGGACGTACACGAGAACTCGCTCCCGTCGTTGGGAACGGCAATAGGAAATTGAGGCGGAAGTTTGCGCGGAAGGAGACGAAAGTCATGACCGAGGAAGAAAAGAGGATGCAGAAAGAGCTGGATGCGGTGCGGCCACCGAGTCTTTGGAACGTCTACTGCGCAATGGTGACGTTTTGGTGCCCAGGGTTCATCCTCAAGTGTTTTGGAAAACCTGCAAAGGCCCAACAAAGAGCTTGGAGAGAAAAGATGGGACTCATAAGCATCATCTTACAAATCTGCGGCTTTGTCGGATTCCTCACTTTTGGTTTTACGGAAGCTGTGTGTGGCACACAGAGTGTTATGCTCCGAGTCAACCATGTCGACAATGGGTTCATGATCTTCCATGGGAGTGCATACAATCTCGATAATTCCAGGCATCCAGCTGCTCGCGGGATCCTCCTCAATCAGAACGTGCTTTACGATCTGCCAGAGAAATATGGAGGCATGGACGGGAGCTTCATGTTCCAAAATGTGAACGGGGCGTGTAAAGGTCTCATTACACTGGCGCCAGGTTCTGATGTGCCGACAAACTCGCAGGGAGATCTAGCTTGGTACTTCCCGTGCAATGCCTACAATCAAGATGGGTCCAGCAAGCCAAATGACACGATCCCCTACTATCTTGGCTATGGCTGCCATACGACGGTCAATGGCAGAAAGGCTTTCTACAACCTACGCAGTTCTGGAGAAGTATTCTACACCTGGGAAGATATCAAGAATCAGACTCGAAATTTGATGGTTTACTCTGGCAACGTCTTGGACCTGGACCTCCTTGAATGGTTCAATACCACTCAAGTCCAATATCCGGCCAAGTTTGATCAAATTAGAAACAATCCTGCTGTCAGAGGCGTCGATGTCACGCACGCTTTCCAGTCTAGCACTGACAAGCAGCTTGGACAGTGTCTATCACAAATCATCAAGGTCGGATCGATCGATACAGCGACAGTGGGCTGTATTGCGTCAAAGGTCGTTCTCTACGTGTCCCTCGTCTTTATTCTATCAATTGTGATTGCGAAGTTTGTTCTAGCGCTGTCATTTCAATGGTTCTTTAGCAGGCGGTTTGCGGCATCCAAGACCGATCTGGATTCGAAACAGCGGAATCAGCAGATAGAGGATTGGAGCGACGACATCTACCGTCCTCCCCCAAAGATGACCGATTCAGGCGTTGCTCCTTCGGACAAGAGCAACAGACGGAGCAGTGCCTTCCTGCCAACGACCTCACGTTTTACCAGCCCTTACACTTCTGCTGCTCTGTCGAAGAACCGCCCTGCTCCAACCACTATGGCGAGTCAGAGCTCGACAACTAGATTGATTCGACCGACTTCGATGTACCAACTTGGTGATGGAAGCGAACTCACCCTACCAAGCTTTGACCCAACAACAAGACATAGCTACGCGGGCAGCCGCTCAAGTCTAATGATGTCCGGGCAGAACCAAAGACTTTCCAGTGTGATGGCAGATCTTGACACCACGGGACCTGCAGGCTTCATACACGAAGCAGTTGTGCCTCAGCCGCCTCCTGAATGGGAACCCTACGGTTACCCATTGGCCCATGCAATTTGCCTGGTGACGGCCTACTCAGAGGGCTATGAAGGACTCCGGACTACCCTTGATTCAATTGCCATGACGGAGTATCCAAACAGCCACAAGGCAATCTTGGTAGTCTGTGACGGATTGATCAAAGGTGAAGGGGAGGATCTCACCACACCAGAAATCGCCCTGAGTATGATGGGAGACCATGCAATTTTGCCAGAAGAGGTTCAAGCCTTCTCGTACGTTGCCGTCGCTAGCGGGTCGAAACGGCACAACATGGCCAAGGTCTACTCTGGGTTCTACGACTACGGAGAAGGATCTCGGGTACCGTTGAGCAAACAGCAGCGAGTCCCTATGATGGTGGTTGTCAAATGCGGTACGCCAGACGAAGCCAAGGCTCGCAAGCCCGGAAATCGTGGTAAAAGAGACAGCCAGATCATCTTGATGTCTTTCCTGCAGAAGGTCATGTTCGACGAGCGTATGACTGAGTTGGAATTCGAAATGTTCAACGGGCTTTGGAGAGTGACTGGGATTTCGCCCGACTTCTACGAAATCGTGCTTATGGTAGACGCCGATACGAAAGTCTTCCCAGACAGCCTGACTCACATGATCTCTGCAATGGTCAAGGATCCGGAAATTATGGGTCTCTGTGGAGAAACGAAGATTGCAAACAAGCGCGCAAGCTGGGTATCAATGATCCAGGTCTTTGAATATTTCATCTCGCATCACCTTTCGAAATCGTTTGAATCCGTGTTCGGAGGTGTCACCTGCTTGCCCGGTTGCTTCTGCATGTATAGAATCAAAGCACCGAAAGGTGGCCAACATTACTGGGTCCCCATCCTGGCCAATCCGGATGTCGTCGAGCACTACTCAGAGAACGTGGTCGATACACTGCACAAGAAAAACCTGCTCCTCCTTGGTGAAGATCGCTACCTCTCAACACTAATGTTGAAAACCTTCCCCAAGCGAAAACAGGTATTTGTTCCACAGGCTGTATGCAAGACCACGGTGCCGGAACAATTCTCCGTGCTATTGTCTCAGCGACGACGATGGATCAACAGTACTGTCCACAACCTCATGGAGCTTGTATTGGTCCGAGATCTGTGCGGCACTTTCTGCTTCAGTATGCAATTCGTCGTTTTCATCGAGCTTGTCGGTACCTTGGTCCTACCCGCCGCCATCACTTTTACCTTCTACGTTATTATCATCGCGATCGTTAGAAAGCCTGTGCCTGTCATCCCACTTGTACTCTTGGGGTTAATCTTAGGTCTACCGGCTGTGCTCATCGTCTTGACCGCACACCGATGGTCCTACGTTTTGTGGATGATGATCTACCTGCTCTCGCTCCCAATATGGAACTTCGTCCTTCCCACTTATGCCTACTGGAAATTCGATGATTTTAGCTGGGGCGATACCAGAAAGACAGCTGGTGAGAAGACCAAGAAGGCCGGCATCGAGTACGAGGGTGAATTCGACAGCAGCAAGATTACGATGAAGAGATGGGGGGACTTTGAGAAAGGTGAGAATGCCTGCTCCTCGGTCCAAGGTTGAGGCAGCTAACAAAGCGGCAGAGCGACGAGCAAAAGCTCCAAACTCGAATTGGTCACAGTCACAGCGACCTAATTCTGTGGGATGGCCATCACAGCATCGAGATTACGAGAAGCACCAAGGCTATGAGCAGTATTCGGACATTTAGGCCTTGTTCCGTGTGGGGATTTTTGTCTCTTTTTTGTTGATAGTGAGAAAAAGGGAGCTGCATTGCTGGGCGTTTCATCGCATTGAAAACTAATGAACTTGCATACAGCATTGGGGGGACTTGGGGATGCAGGCCAAAGGGGAGTCGTCTTAACGGCAATTTCTTGCCTGCCCCATTCATTGGATTTGTACAATTAAAATTGGAAAAGCGGCGCTGCCGGAATTGAATGGACAGGCCTTTTGTTGTCTATTAGACTTGTATACTTTTATACAGACATTATTTCTATAGGTCGAACATGGAGAACGTACTTGATTACCATAAAATGTACAGTATTCAATTGTGACTTGTGAGGGGGTATCAAAGGTCGCAGATGGGGCCAGTGGAGCGGTGGCGCAAGCACATCCTACTCTACAGGGGACGTTCATGGCTCATGCATATATGCATCCCACCGATTGCGGGGTCCCCTCAAGAAAGTGACCTCTCCACCAAGCGACGAAGCGACAAGGCGACGAAGCGTAGCCTCGCCCATCATCTTCTTCATCTTCATCTTCATCAACATCATCATCATCATTATCATCATTCGGCAATCTTCCTCCCTTGAACCATTGTAATTGCTACCTCCTGACAGCGACCATTGTCAGCCCATAATCGCTATCGTTCCTCGCGCTCTTTTTTTCACGCTGCCGGCAGCTCTACAGGTCACAAAGAGCACTCCCTGCTGCACTTCGGAGCTGCACCCACGCGCCCACATCGCGCCCTCAGATCCAGTAATATCCTCCCGCGGTCCCAGAAATTGCTCCACCCAATAACCTTCCCAGAATTCATTCCTGGAAACGATCGGTTGCAGCGGGCGAACTGCTGAAATCGTTGCTGGGTCCACAAGGCAGCCACACGAACATTTTAATGTTGCAGATCGTAGACGCATGTGAGATAGGAATAAGAACCATACTCGTTGGAGGATCGTCTGCATTGGGACGCGGGGTTTTCCTGCCAACCAGCGAATCAGGCTGGAGGGTTGCTATGTGACCGAGAGGGGCAGGAGGAAGAAAGGCGACCAGGCTCCTTCCACTTGGCTTCTTCTCACACTCATCTCGACACCCCAAACGGTCCAGGAATGCTAAGCTATCCAAGTGCTGGATGCTGCACCCTCATACCTCACTCAGGTCTTCCCTAGAGCACTCGCGCTTGACTTCCTCACATCACTATTCTTGTGACACCACAAAGCCACAGATATCTATACTGCCATCTACATCTCCGTCTTCCTGGAACGGCTTCCCAAGACAAAAGCCTAGCCACTCGACTGCCAGAGGCTACACCTTCATACCTTATTTGAACCCTCCTTTGCGCGCCAACGAGCCACATCCCTCACATCCCTGCTCTTGCGGTACCATAGTGCCATCGCCATCTACGCTCCCGTTTGCGTGGCAATTCGCATCGGGCTGCCGAATGAACAAAGATCTTGGAGTACATGCAAGATGTCGGCAGAATATGATGTACATGCGGAGACGGAAAGCGAGGATGGAGGAGTACCGTTGGCGAAGGTAAAGTCTGATGAAATAGATATAGACACTGGATCGGACACGACGCCTACCTCGCAAGTATCCGGTGGATCTTCTTCCTCGTCAACGAATGCATGGGGCGAGACGCTCCCTTTGTCCTTCGGTGAACTCACCGAGCATGAGGATCACACCGCCGAATATCAACATACTCCAGCTTCCTTGAATGGCATCTTCCATGGCTCGGTGACTCCGCCTTTCAGTGTACCACAAGCTGCTTCGAGCACGACATCGCCTCCGATCTCCGAGGCACCACACAACCTTGAGACTAGCTTCACCGTCGTCGATGCGGGGTCTAGCGCACTAGACACAGTCCAGTATCTTCATTCGACCAATGGAGATTCGCATGAAGAATGGGCGGATCAACCAAATTGGTCGGCGTTCGACTTCTTACTGTCCAATGAAATGCAACCACCCGACCCGTTATCAACACACATTTGGTCTGCACCTCTTCCAGCATCTACCGATCCTCTGCCCGCAGGCGCGGACGACGTCACCCCGATAGAGCATTCAGAGCCACCAGCGGGTACATCTGAGGATGAGACAGCACAGGGCGCCAATCAAAATTTCACAGGAGATCATCCCATCTCAGCTGGAATGGATCATACTGATGGCTCGGACGAGGACTGGCTGGAGCTCTCCGAGGACCCGTACAACATTTTCGACTCTGATATCGCTCAAGTAAACAGTACATTACACACATTGAGCCAGGCAAGCAATATGGTCTCTTACTATGATAATGACGATCTTGAAGATAACAGCAATTTCTTTTCGGTGCCGTTCTTCTTATATTATTGGAAGCAGATGTACATGAACAGGAAGCCTGATTACCCACCCATAAGCCAGCTCGCAAATGACCGTGCAAAGGTACGCCGACCTGACAAGACCACCGCTAACGACCGAGAACAAGGCGACTATCAAGGCATACATTGGTCCAGATATCAGACAACCAAGCAAGAAGCTCGAGAAGTGCGAAGGATGACCTACAGGAATTTGAGAAACATCGGCCCCCCTGAACAAAACTTTGCTACCAAAGCGTTCAAAGCAAATTTTCCTGGTGCGGTCATTCCTAGTTCAGCTTGCTACTTTGATTTCAACCAAATGGACATGAAGAGGAGACCAGACTTCTCCCATTTTCAACTCCGGCACAACCTGTCTGCTACCTCGAAGAATGCCGTTTTCTACACCAATATGCCTCCACACCATGATGCCGTTTCGGTCTGGGATGTCCGGAAATCACAACATAAGACAATTTCGTGTTTCAATCCAGAGACTGGGACAGAAGAATGTGTCATGGACGTCAAGAAGAGATACAACAAGGATGATCCGAAGATCAGCAAGATTCACACTCTGACAGCTGGAAATGGGGTGCTGGTAGCTGGAAGCTTCGAAGGAACCTATGCCATGAAGTCTCTATCAGCCGATTTCGAAAGCGCACCCGTCACTGGCACAATTGCTACTGGTGGCGATGTGAGCACGAACCACGTTCATACTCATCTCGACCGTCAAAGTGGACTGCCTCGAGTGGTATTTGATTCTAACGACATGAGTGTAAGAATCCTGGACTGTACTACAAGCAATTGGGTCACATGCCACACGTACCCCTATCAAGTCAATTGCTCAGTCACAAGCCCTGACGGACGTCTAAGGCTGCTCAACGGTGACGACTGCATGCCCATCATTGCGAATGCAGAGACTGGGGAGACGCTCGCCAAGCTACCAGGTCACAATGATTTTGGCTTTGCATGTGATTGGGCAGCAGATGGTATCACAATGGCAACAGGTCATCAAGACGGCCTAGTGAAGGTTTGGGATGCTCGCAAATTAAATCAATCCATCCAAACGATAGCCATGGAACAGGCGGGCTGTCGGTCCTTGCAGTTCTCGCCACTTGGAAGCGGCAAGCGCGTGCTTGTGCTGGCTGAACCCGCTGACTTTGTTCACATTGTTGACGCTCAGACTTTCAAAAGCAAGCAGACCGTTGAATTCTTCGGTGAAATCTCTGGGATCTCCATGCCACCGGATGGATCGAAGTTGTACATTGCCAACGCTGATGCCAAGTATGGTGGGCTTATGGAGTTTGAAAGGTCCTGGGACAGCAGAGAATACAAGAGACGGCCATTCCGAGTGCCAGACCTTGAGGATGAGCACGAGGAGATGGTAGACTGCATCGTGGATGGGGTGCCGCCAGCGCAACGGTTCCCCAAACTTGGAGACCAGCTCTACCAGCATGTGGAAGCAGTCATGCATGGACAGGGCTTGCCTTTCGTTGCTCAACCGATGATTGAGGACACCATGATTGATTGCCAACGCCTGTTCTTCAGATGCTTAAACATGGGTGGCGGTCAAAGAGTGACGGCATCAGGAGAATGGTCGACGGTTGCGCGGACGTTGGGCATTCCCTGGGAAGAAGCTGTGTCTTTCGGGCACCAGCTCTATGAATATTGGCAAGATAATCTTGCGCCATATGAAACGTCCCTGCCCTTTGCGCCCATGATGCAGGAATGGCAGCGAGCCACTGGAAGGGAAGTCAGGGGATGGGTCGCGAGCCAGGGAGTACGTGGAAGTGAAGGCCTGAAACAGCAAAAGTTTTTGCATTGTGGCGAAGAGCGCCAGTATCGCAGAGATTACGATGATCCTAGAAGAAAAGACTTCAAGATCGGTAGGAAGAGTGAGAATCGGGACTGGCTGTCCGAGTCGGATATAGAGGATGATGCTCGGGTGATGTTTCCTCAGGGGCAGCGTGGGCGTCAATGGGCGTCGAGGCCTGAGGTTGATGATGATTGTTTGCCGGTTTGGTTGAAGATATGATGTGGAACAGGGTGGCGTGAGGGTTTGCTTTAGGGGTTGGGAGACGATGTGGTCATGACTTTCTATGAGGCTATGAGACATGGAAGAAAATCAGGAAGGGGTGACTTCTCGGTGACTTCTGCATAGCAACTGCGGGTAAAGGGTTGTTTGTGCTTTGAAGATGGAGGATGTTTTGGGGGGGGGGGGCATTCTAGAAATACTCTTCCAATTCCCCCATTCTAGCTAGCTTTGCTACCTACGACTCACGAGTTTGGGAAAGGAATACAACAGTAACCCCTTCAATTCCTTTCAATTCAATTCAATTCCAATTGAATCTCTCGTCGTGAAGTAAGGAGCGCAATCAAGTTCACAATCACCCCAAGAGACCCCGATCAAAACATTGACGCTTTTTCTTCCGCCCCCACCACCCAAAGCCCCCACTTTCGGCGTCATCCCGCACTTCCCTTGGCTCATACGCTACCTTCCATCACCAAACCTTCCCCACCTTCCCTTTCTTCCACAATCACCACCTCAATCATAGAAATTCTCTTGATCCCTCTTATTCATACAACAAAACATCTCAAAGCCCCCACCCGTACACTCACACCCCCTCCTTCCCCGACTCCACCTCCCACAATGTCCTACAACGACGACTACAACGACCAAGGCGGCGGCGGTGGCCGTGACGAGTACGGCAACCAAGGCGGTGCCGGCTACGGAGGCGGCGGCGGGCGTGACGACTACGGCGGGCAGCAGCAGGGCGGAGGAGGAGGCGGCTACGGTGGTGGAGGAGGAGGAGGAGGAGGAGGAGGAGGCATGGGTGAAGAAGGCCGCGGGGGGCATCACACGCAACATCGTAGGGAGGAAGGGGAGGGGTACGGTGGCGGTGGTGGAGACGGATATGGTGGGCAGGGAGGTGGGATGGGTGGAAGAGATGGGTATGGTGGGCAGGGAGGCGGGATGGGCGGGAGAGATGGGTATGGTGGGCAGGGAGGCATGGGAGGAGGACGTCAGGAGCAAGGATACGGCGGCGGAGGCTACGGCGACCAAGCCTCCGGCCGCCTCCCCGGCGCCGGCGGCGACGGCCAGGGATACCCGGGCGCCCAAACCTCGTACGGCGGCGGCGACGAGGGCCAGTTCGGCGGCGCCATGGCGCACGCGCAGCTGCACGCCGGCGGCTCCGGCGACCCGGCCCTGTTCCAGAACGCCGTGGGCCATCTGCAGAGCAATCACCAGTCGTACGGCGGACAGGGCGTCGACGAGGGCGCGGCGGTCGGTGCGCATCAGGCCATGTACGGCGGCGGGGGCGGCGGGCAGCAGCAAGGCGGGGCGGGGCATAGCAGCCAGACGGTCGGGGCGGGGGCGGCGATGCAGGCGTTGAAGATGTTCACGGGCGGCGGTGGTGGTGGAGGAGGAGGAGGAGGTATGATGGGCGGGGGCGGTGGTGGCGGTGGTGGCGGTGCGGGCATGGGGGCCGGTAGCCAGGGGCAGGGCGGGGGCGGGGGCCAGAACCAGTTCGTCGGCATGGCCATGGCGCAGGCGAGTAAGCTCTTCGATCAGCAGTCCGGCCAGGGCAACCTGCAGCAGGGCGCCAGCAAGCAGAGCGCCGTCACCCAGGCGGGCGAGATGGCGTTGAAGATGTACATGGGCGGCGGTGGGGGCGGGGGCGGGGGCATGGGTGGCTTGATGGGCATGGCGAGTAAATTCCTGTGAAGGGGGCGTGGTGTGCATGGTGGGATGAAAAGCTGGCATGGGCATGAGCATGAGCATCATGGATGATGATTACGATCTAGCAAATACATCCATGCTATGAAGGTCCACTCTCTCTCTCTCTCTCTCTCTCTCCCAGGACACTTCTCTCCCCAAACACTTCTCTCTCCCGTCGACGTCGCCGCGCACGGTACTAACACGGAAGAACTAACGTCTGATCTGGAAACCTGAACGGTACATACACTCATCGCCAGTAAAGGATCCATACAAATCCACAGTTCGGTGTTGGATTCGCCTCGTTAAGGCTTTCTTTGCTCGAGTTTGTTTCGGTCAGATTACGAGAGTTTGATTCGGTCAGATTGCGAGAGTGATTCGGTCAGATCGCGAGAGAGAGTGCGATCGAAGCAATCAATCAATCAATCATCGAAAGCTCGGGTGGTCGTCGAGGGTATGTGGATAGTATTCGTTGTTAGGGGTTGTGAAAGGATAGGATAGGAGAGGGTAGGGTAGGGTAGGGTAGGGTAGGGTAGGGTAGGAGTGTTGACGGATGTTGGGTTCTATATATCCTCCAGTCGTTTTTTTGCAAAAGAGGCTTTGCGTGGAAGCTTATCTGAATCACTTGGGCTTTTTTGATTCATCTAACTTCGTTGATCGAGTTTACGAATGTAATCTTCCAACCTTCCTTTATGATCGTCGTTCTCTTTAAAACCCCCCCCTCCATCCATCCATCCATCCATCCATCCATCACCCACCCACCCACCCACCAACTCACTCCCCAAAAACATGCCCGCACCCCCAACTCCCCTCGACCCCAAACGCCCCCTCGTCCCTCCACCCCTCGTCCCCGAAGCCCAAGACCACGCTCCGGCCCCCGGCCCCCTCGGCCATGATGCCCGCGACGGCCATCCACTGCTCCAGGTAGCCCGGCACGGCGGCCCCGTTCGGGCGGCCGCGGCTCGGCCACCCGGTCTCCAGGCACACGGCCGGCAGGCCCGGGCACACGGCCGCGAGGCGCGCGAGCTCGGACCGGACGTAGGCGCCGGCGGCGGCGGCGGGCACGGAGGGGTGGAAGAAGGGCTGGATGGTGGCGGCGGCGAGGTCGAGGGCCGGGCAGAGGGTGCGGCGGTGCTGGGCGAGGATGGAGAGGGGTTCGGTGGTCGTGACGGGGCCGGCGTAGCCGGCTGCGCGGAGGGTGACGCGGGAGGTGGTGATGAAGGTTGCGAGGGCGGGGGCGGTGGCGTGGGTGTTGAAGATGGCTTCGTTGCCGACGACGATGAGTTCGATCAGTGACCATTGGTTGTCGGCGGGAGTGCCGGCCCAGGCGATTAGGTCGGAGAGTTGGGTTTCGGCGTCGGCGAGGCCGTCGTCGATGGGGATGCCGATGATGAGTTTCAGGCCGTGGGTGCGGGCGGCGTGGCCGACGTGGCGGAGCGCGGAGCAGTCGATCGAGTAGAGGCGGATGGAGGTGAAGCCTTTGCGGGCTATGGTGGCGACGTCGGAACGGATGGAGGAGGCGGAGAGGCAGGATAGGGTGCTGGTGTAAGGGGTGTAGGCTATGGCCCATTGGGAGGAGGCGGAGCCGATGGTGAAGTTGGATTTTTGGGGCTGGGATGGGTGAAGGGTGGTATCATGGGGTGAGGGGCTTTGGCCTGGGTTCTGGGATGGTGTGTCGTGGGGTCGAGGAGAGTTGGAGGCGAACCTTTGGGCTGGTATCGCTGCTTCGATGTGTTCGGTTGATTCTGCTACAGTACTGGCGGCTTTGTTAAGTCCCTTTGCGGGCTGCAAGATGACCTGGTCTTGGTCATCGTAGTCGTCATGATTCGTGGGAAGGAAAGCAGCAACGGATCTGAGCAGTGCAACCGCTGCTCCAAGGTATATTATGCCCTTCATTATGTGTATTATATTAATCATTAAGAGAGTGTCTGTGTAGCATATGTGGGGTAGTTTGTTTTATTATTGTTGCATTTTTCTTTGTTCATATGCCCTTGAAAGGAAAGAACGGTAGGAGTTGGAAGCAGCAGCAGCACCGCGCGCGCAGAAGAACGAGTGATATGTTATGTCCCTTCATGACAAGTGAGGGGTGGAAATGGCATATATAGAGAAGTGGGAGAGCACAGCAGATTGCAAGAGCCACAGACAAGATGAAAATACTCAATTACGATGCCGTTGAACTTAGGGCGTGAAAGAGATGAGGATATTCGTATTTGGCACACTTGGCGTGCGATCCAGCCGACCCTTGCATTCTTAGTACATATTCATACTCCTTACAAGGCTGTAGCACGGCACAGGCGATGTCTATGAGTATGCGAAGATATGAAAGACAAAGACAAGCGAATAATAGAAGAAATTTAAAAGCCACTATTCACGACTTGATGCGTGCTTGTGGCAAGACCGTGATACGATTGAGCGAAAAATGGTAGTGGGACAAAGGAACGTCGCATCGTTCGGTACCATCGCTCGCTAAAGAATCTTACCTGAATGACCTAACCATCATGGGCTTGGTGGGATATTTGGCCTGAGTACCCCTTAACGTCAAAGTTGCGCCATCCCGGGGAAGGCCAAGACTCAAATCTTGACAGTCCAGAGATCGGACAGCCGTGAAGATGGGGTGACAGTGCGTGGAATGGGAAAGAGGTACGGTAGATACTTGCTACAGTACCTTCGCAGGCTTGTCAGGCCGACGAGACAGTAGTGAATTGGGAGCAACGAGCTTAGACCCTGGAATAGCTTTGCTGTTGTTGGACGAGTCTTACAAGATCGTCTTACACATTAGCATCGAGGCGTACATGCACCAGCCGTGGGCGTGGTGGTTCAAGAGCTCGAGTCTTGCCGAGTCCAGTTGGCTAATATCCACTATCTCACTGAGGATTTTTCAAGGATGTTGCTGGTTCTCTGCTCACTGCAGAGGTTGTCTGCCACGCAATCATTACTTTGGGGCGGTTCAGCGAGCATCGTCTCTTCCACGCACACTTTGTAGGAAAGGCATATACTCTACCCAGTCGAAAACTTATGAATGCGGGCCTGCCAGCCACGTTCCAGAAATGCCCTACAGAGATGTTTGAGACACTTCTTAGGTCAATGAGATTTTGGAAGGAGATCTGCTTTGGCTTTCGAAGAAAGCCACCAACTGGGATTCTTATGGCATGGCCTTGGCCCTCAAGGTGTTCGATTACAGCAGAGGTCAATGTCTCGGCAGACAGACTGTCGTGAATACAAGTCACATCAACGGCGCCGCAAGACCATATAGCGGCGAAGAAGCCGTGGGTTGTTAGACTGGTTGAGCGAGTCCTTCCGATCCTTCCTGCATGTCGAGATTTTCACTACTAGCTCGTAGGTATTTCATCTCTGTTTCGGGCCCGGTAGAGTTCTTGACGCCGTAGGCGCATGCTGTAGACTTGTTGCTTCTGATACGTGGCCAGGTCCAAACTCGGTCCATAGCAATTCAAGTTACACAGCGGCGCGATTGTGCATCATTCGACCTGTCTCTTCGAACAACCGGACGAGCCCCGAATCAACCCCCAATTATTGATGTAGCCAGCCATTCCACTTTATTTTGTTGAGGCTTGGTATCATCAATCGACACACCATCGCTGAGTCCTTGGCACCGTCTCCCTCATACACACATAGTGACCCCAAATCATCATCGTAATAAGGTCCTCCGTCAGTAAAATATCAAATTGGTTTCCAGCAGCCTCAATGGCCTCTTTAGCCTCCTCGTTCGTGGCCATTTGATGGATCTCTGATGCAAGTTCCTCGAGCGCTGTTGTTTGGGATAGGAATGACGATGATGATGATGAATGCTCATCGAGACCATTCTCTATGGCAGCTAAGTTCCGCAAGGCGAGAGAAACAGAGGCGAGTTGGGCGGAAAAGGCAGCGGCGACCGCGAACCAGGCCTGCGTTGATGTCTTTAAGGGGACGATGTTGATGTGGAGCTTTGCATGGGTTTTTTTGACTGCGGTTTCTTCATCTTCATCTTCAGCTTCAGCCTCTGCTTCTGCTTCTACTTCTTCTTCTTCTTCAGGTTCGACTTCAACGATGAGTCCGACCGATACTTGGGCTTTGCTGCCCGGTGGCCGTGGGAACTGAGAATCTGGATATATAACCCATATTTTTTTACCTTCCTCTACTATTTCGGCCAGCGTCTTGTCCGTCAGAAATCTGTCTTGCTCAACGAGGAGGTTGCGACGCATGAGATACCATGACCCGGAATCGTCTTTCATGAATAGCGTGTTCGGTTTCATCAGCTGCGAGGTACCTTTGCGACGAGATGGCAGGCCCTTGGCACGTGAGGCTAATGATAAGCGAAAGCCGTGAAGGCGGACGAGGAGACCGTCCGAAGCGGTCAAGATGCCTTGTTCGTTCTCGCTTTCGCTCGATTGGATGTCTATGTTGGCATCATTGTCAATCAGCAATGTGGCAGGAGCCCATTTGAGTCCAGGCTCCGCCAGTCTTGGTCCTACACGGAATAAGAGATTGCTTGGTATCCTATGCCTTGTTGAAGGTATCATTCGCCAAAGCCGATTTATGCGTAACGCATCTGCGGCGTCACCGCCATTGAGGATCGGGGCTGAGTCAATGCCGAGTAAGTTTCCGATCAGCAGAGGCTCGTCTGAAGGTACGCTGACTGAGCGGTGGTGTAGAGCCTCGATCACCTTCCCGAGATCGGCTCCAGGACGCTCGGAATTGTCCTTTACGAAAATATTGGCGAAGCTGCCCATTCGTTTGAGTATATCGCCCGCGAGACCGCTTCGGCTTATGCTCGAGAGGTACTTTTCGTGTGCGTTCATTCGAAATTCGCGAAGGTTGAGAGCTGTGTGGCTCAGTTGGAACCAGAGCCGGTTGGTCACTGCGGGCAAGGCTCCTTCTTGCAATGTCCAGAGTCGACGCATCCATGGTGAGGTAAGTATTCTCATGCTCACTTCATCTATGTCTAAGCTCTCGACATTATATTGCATGAGGGATGCATCCAAAACGAGAACATGCGTTGCGTTTCGATAAGTCCGGTACATATACTCCAAGGCCAAATGTTTGGCTTTTTTCGGCTGGACCGGGCAGCAGAGCGTGTCGCACCACAAGAGAAGTTCTTCTTCTTCTTCCTCGTGTTCTTCTTCCGCATCTTTTGCTTTGGCGCGATGGTCTCGGGTATCTCGAGAATGGGCTGCTATATTTAATTCTTGGACAAGCTTTCTTAGATTGGATAGCTGGCAACGAGGCAACGCGTTGGCATCAGGGTTCCCAAGCCCATCAGCCCAGACATGGGATAATGCCACATAACGAGACGTTGGTTGTGACGCAACAAGGTCAATGGAGAGCTCTCCCAGCGTTTGGCTCGGCCTCACCCGGATCAAAGGGAGAGCTTTGGTCTTCAAAATATCGTATAAAGCTTCCGCATCTATTGACAGTTCCTCGCAATCACATTCTTTGCCAATGTGTCGTGTCTGATATCCTTCCAGGTCATTCTGGTAGGCCGTACATTGCCGCGTATCACATCCTTGGTGGCTGTGCTCCAAATTGGTTTTATCAAGGCAGGCGAGAAAGTGTAGTGTTTGCAAGGACAACGTAGTATCCAAGATAAGCTTTACCTCAGTCACGCACCATCCATGTGCTAGTAAGCGTCCATTCCAGTAATCATCGTCGATCAGCCGGCGCCATGTTGAAGGACACTTGTTGTTCTTGACTATGTCTGTAATATTGAACGCTTTGTTCGCAGCGTACGTGAAAGTCTGGCCTAACGAGGCAAGGGAGAGCTTGATGTTTGGATCGAAATGGGAGCGGAACGCCTGAATTGACAGCGCGGCGTGAGTCAGGCATAAACATTGGGCGACATGCGCGTATGTTACTGATGAGTCTACCCTGCCAGCCTGAACACGAGCAACCCACTCGTCGAGAGCAGGGGCGAGCATTGACGTGGAAACCGCCTTGGTGTGACCATGTTGGTCCTCGCACGTGTAGATGAGATCTTCGGGTACGTAGAGGCTGCCCAATATCTCATGGATCAACCCGAAGAAAAGCCAGGTTTGATAGAAGGATCGAATCTCCTGTTTCGATAGCGAGGCCAGTTGCATTTGGTGAGAGTCTAGCAGCTGGCCCGGAAAAGGGCCAACTGTGTGAAGATTTGGCAAACTACCCCTTCTCCTACTAGGATAAGTCATGAAATCTCCACCGTCATAGTCTTCCTGACAGACATATGGCACAACTGTTTTCTTTCTGCCATTCGCAGATCCTGGATAAGGAAGATGATCCATGTTGGATAATAAAGCAACGCCGATAAGTTGTTGCTGAGTCTTCGAGTAGCCAATCAATTTGCTGGATGGGTTCCTCGAGATCTATCAATCTAGATTGACAATCTCCGCCGCGCAAGTATGAAAAGATGCGAGGATTGTTATGCCCAAAAGATCCGCATGCGTTGTCCAGGACAAGCAAAAAGCGAGCAGGAGCGAGCAGAACAGGAGTCAGTAGTGCATTGCCCTATAAGCCAGAAGGCCTGTCTCAGTATTTTCTATATGTAGGTATGACTGGCACGTTTGCAGGTCAATGCGAGCAAAGAATCGCAGCTCCATGTGGTTCGCAGGATGCGGTGGTTTCAGGTTCTTCATGGCAGTCGTGCGAGGTGACTGCGGGGCACCTCTAGCGGCTGAGCAAAGTGGTGGCTACTGACCCGTCCGTTGTAAACAAATTAATTGATTGCTTGCAAAGAGTGACAGATCAATATTGTACTTGGGAGAATACGAGGGCGGAAGCTTAGGAGATTGAGTACTCTACGCTTACGTAGTGGATACTTCATGGTATCATTCACGCAGAACTCGCTGATCACAGTGGCTTTGTATAAGGATCACTACTTATAATACCAATCTATCTACCCAACGAACAATTGCATCCTCTCAGCCTCAGGCGACCCATGATGCGATTGCTCGAACCAATTCCGAGCTCCCAGATCAGCGAAGGGGCCAATGTACGGTCCGTAAGTTGCTGGTGCGCTCCAAGCGGAATTTGAAGGAGACATCATTTCTGAAGCCGAGGAGATGGTTTCTGGGGGTGGTATGTGCACGGATTGCGCCTCGGATCCATCTTCCATGAACTCGTCGTCGTCTTCTTGTTGTGGTGGAATCAATCTCGTAAGGGGAAGTACAGGCGCTGGGGGCACCTGTCGCACGTCGAGTTCCTCGATCTTGGGTTTCATTGGCATATCTTTCAGTAGACCTGTAGACGATTCGAGCGATTCGATGGCGAAGTTCAAGAAGCCGGCGCTCTGGGCGCTGACCGAAAGCGTCCACCCATACTCCGCCAACCTGGCTTGGTAGAAATCTGCTTCCTCTTGGCAAGGTGCCGTGGCGAGGAGGAGACTGCCAAAAGTTGCGATGAGGGCGAAGTTGACCCGGGAGGGAAAGTACCAGAAGGCAGTGAGGTGGCTAGGTCGCAGGCGGTTGACGAAGTCCATGGCGGATATCAGGCGAGCTTTGGCGGCCGAGCGGCAGACGTGGGTAAGGTAGATATCGGTAGAAGTGGTACTCAGGGAGCGGATGATGCAGCGGTGAAGGGTTATCTCGGTGGCAAAGTAGGCCAAATGTAGATGTCCTATGAGCGTCAATTACGAATCGTTTTGTCGAGCTAGGGACAACCTACCAATCGTTGCAGGCGCCTGGCCGTTGTCCATCTTCAGGTCCTTCGGTAGGCGTGTGAACCATTCTTTGAGCGAGACCTGGATTGGTTTCGCCCGCTCAAGGATCAGTCGTGTCGCATTCGCCCCAGCAGCGTCAAATTCTTGCATGGCTTTCTGAGTGTAGAGGGTGTTCAAGATGCTTGATAGGATTCCTGTCAGAATGACCATCTGGGAAAAGCACTCTTGCCCCAACCTGGATTCTTCCAGGACCTCCTCTTCGGCGGAAGGATTCACTTCCTCGAAATCATCATCAGAAAGATCTTGTACCGCCCAGTGCTCTTTTGATATCAATGATGGTCGCCCATGCGTCAAGGAGCACCATTGGTCTTCCATGTATAACGCCCATGCTAACCGTTTCCGCAAACCACGTTCCACAGGAGATATGGTCCAATTCGAGCTGTCGAGATGGAGGCCAAGCTCAAAGGCAGCGCCGATCAACTGGGTGTTTAGGAACTTTGAATCAACGTTTGACCTTTGCATCAAAAGCAATCCAGCCTGGAGAGTCGGCAATGTAGGATTCGTGAGACCACCTTCCAACAATTGAAACGCCAGATCCTCCAGCTGAGTGACGTCGGTCTGTTGCCATGTCACATTTCCGAGATTATGGGCGGCCGATGACGCGGAAACGAGGTAGACAGCACATAAGAGAGCAGGGTCCAAGCTGTTCTTCCGACGGCCATTGTATGTCTCGAAGAAGGTATCCTCGACGATTGGTAGGTTGCGATTGATCGTACGAAAATGCTGTACAAGAGAAGGACCGTGTGATCCGATGAGCTTATCGATGGCCTGAATCAAGTTAATCTGGGGCTCCGCATACCGAGGGAGATCCGACTGATGTATAAGAAATGCGTTGCGACCGTCAGGCTTCTGATATCCGGATCCTCCTGCAGGGGAGACGTCAAACAAGATGGGATCCAACTCAGTTGTGTAGCCCATATGTGTGCCTTGATATTGCCAGCTGTTGGTTGCCGTTTCGGAGCGTGATGCTGCTGATCCTCCTGACTCCTCCCGCTTGACTTTGATTGTACCGCGGGACTGGCCCTCGGATTGCGAGTCCGCAACGGACCTGGAGGCGCTGTCAGCAAGTGCGACCATACAGCGTACCGATCTTGACCGTTGTTGACCTTCGCTTCCCACTATCTGCAATTTTGCCTTCCGAGTCAAGCCTTCTCTTTCGCGGCCGAGGATCCTCTAGGAATGTACATTGATTCCCATGCGTATTGCAGGCCACACAGCAGTTGGTCTGACCCTCATTCATCACACATCTGCTCTTCTTCCTTCGACACGCGTCACAGGGACGGTCTCGTCGGCCTCGGGAGGCCTTGGCATTCACAGCCTGCGTTGGCTTGGTTTCTGAGCGCAGACTCTCCGTTGATGGCTGGGACGAAAGGGCAGGGACCGACATAGTGGTTGAAGCTGTTGGTAAAAATGGCTGGCGAAAAGCGACTGCTGCAGCCATGTTCGCGCAGGAACGAAGCGTACACTTCCCAGTAGGATGCCGCTCGTGATAAAGCAGATGGGTAGAGTGGCAATACGATTTGAGAGTCTGAAAAAGCAATGATTCGCTTCCACCTTCCTGTCAGCGTTGCTCACAGGCAGCCACAGATTGCAGTAGGATGACACAGTCTCGAGACCATGCAGTCCTGGGGTTTTGGGATCCGAACGAGCTCGCCACCGACCATGCGCCCACACGGGTGCTCACAGTGACACTGAAGGACTCGTTGGAGGTTGATATAGAAAGAAAGGTAGGTGGGTTTTGCCGCTGCGTGAGCGGATATTCCGGAAGGAATCATGTCGGAAAAGATCTAGAGAGGTCTGGTGGTTGATAACGTCAACTGGTAGGCTCGTAGGCTTTTCAGACCTCGGTGATCGGTTCAAATTATTGGGGGTCCTTGGAACTCCGTGGGATATAGACACGTAAGGAGAATAGGGTCGTGTGCCCAAGGTTGCATGGTGCATCATTCATGCAAGGGCAAATTATAGAACATGTAAATAATAAGAAGGGGTGATCTTGATGAAGTTGCAGTGGGAAGAGGGAGACGTTGATAGGTTAGCAAGGGCGTTTGACGTTTCCCAGGGTCAAGGGTTCGCAACTAAGGTAGCTTTGAAGATAAGCATCATGCTTCTGTATGGGTACAGGGATTTTACCTTACCTAAATCTTATGTCATGGCTTGCTCTAGACATGAAACCTCCAACGCTTAGGGATTATGGAGCTGTGCCATGGTATATGGAAATATCTTCGGCATCTGCGAGATGCGGGAGGAAAATGAGAAACGAGAGATGGGAAAGATGGGAAAATGGGAAAATTCACTTGCTCACGCGACTCGAAGCAAAAGGCTCGTCGTCAATTGCAAAAGTCCGAAGCGGAGAGCGGATAATGTTCAAGAAGGTTACCGTACATTAGTCAGCAGACTTGGCAATGGAGCTGTCCGACTTCGGAGACATACTCCCTTCGGAGCAAGCAACACGGATAGTTGCAGTATCTGCTTGACTCAAAAGCTCTCTTCATGTGTCACGTTTGATGTATAAGGGCCTCTGACGCGAGGTCGCACCGGAGCAATGGTTCCACCAATATTCCAGAGCCAGCCGAGATTTCCCCCAAATCGTCCAAACATTACCACCGAGACTTTCACTGCATCTAAGCAATGCCGGTCCCCGAGGCTCAGAGCTCTCCGCAGGAGTCCAGCAACAATGCAGCTCAAGCATTAAAGCCGAACTTCGATGGTCGAGGCCCAGACCACTGGACCGCCAAGGCCTACTCTGCCTCCGCCTCCTTCGTGCCCCTCCTCACACAAGAGATCGTCCGGTGGCTGGATCCTCAACCCCACGACATAATTCTCGATCTTGGTTGCGGCGACGGCGTACTGACGGCGAAGATACGCTCCAGCTGCTCTCGTGTCGCTGGCTTCGATGCCTCTGCGAACCTCATCAAAGCGGCCGAGAATACCTACGGCACCAATGAAAATCTTACCTGGAACGTGCTCGACTGCCGATACCTTGAAAATTGCAACTCTGTCAAAGAGGCGGAGTATACCAAGATCTTCTCGAACGCCGCACTACATTGGATCCTTCGGGATGCGGCAACGCGAATGTCTGTCTTCCGAGGTGCATACAGAGCGCTACAGCCAGGTGGCACCTTCGTGTTCGAGATGGGTGGAGCCGGGAATATTGCAGATGTCCATACGGCACTTTTGGCCGCTCTAGTACACCAAGGTGTGGGTATTGAGAAGGCTAGGGAGGCATGTCCGTGGTTCTTCCCCTCCGAGAAAATGATGACGGGGATGCTGGAGGAGGCGGGGTTCCGAGTGGAAAAGATGAAGTTGGTGTATAGACCTACGGAGTTGACTGCGGAGAAGGAAGGGGGCTTGAAGGGATGGTTGAGATTGATGGGAGCGAACTTCCTCGATGTGCTGCCTACGAAGGACAAGAAGGAGGCTGTGGTCAGGGAGGTTTGTGATGTGCTCCAGACAGTCCTTACTCACGAGGCAGATGAAAGCATGTGGCTTGGATATGTGAGGCTCAAGGTAGTTGCGAGGAAGTGATCTGATGAGAACGCAGTCGTGACATGGTGGTTCGCCAAGAAGTGAAGGCGTAACACTTGGAAGAACTCGCAATCTTGAAGAGCAATTGTGCAAATCACCTCTGTTGTGACAGAATCTAGCGTAGAAGCACCGTGCCAGTGCTTCGGGCAGATAGCCGCTAAGAACCTGATCCTCCTTTCGCTCTTGATCTCCAACGACGCCACAATGACGACGAGTCCTGTAAAGCCACTGCTGCCGTAAGGGAATCGGACCGAATTCAAGGCCCTGACGATTCCTTTCCCACCCATGCATACTGTAATGCCGGCATCACCCGTTCGTCACCCGCGAGCCATGCACGAATCTCCTCAGTACTGCGATGATCACCGCGGAAAAGTTCTCCGGTCAGAGGACCTGATTGCTCATCCCGGAGCCTCTTGAATAACTTCCCCCGTATCCGTCCGGGTAGGTATCTCACCGTCGAACGGACCGACCTGGCACTCGCCCTCGACGCGATCGTCGTGGCAAAACCGGGCAATCACCTCACCGGCCACTAGTCCAATTGCTTTTCGAACAACACAACCGGGCGGCTTCCCGAGGACCGGGGGCAGAAACGGTCGAACGGAGCCACGGACATCCCGCCCGCTTGCCTTTTTGAAGATCTTCGTCATGGGGATGGTCCTGGGGTCGTCGATGTCGAGGTTGTCGGCGAGCGCGTATAGCTTCACGGGTTTTAGGGATCTCTCACTTTGAGCCTTGGCTTCTTCGGTTCGGGTGGTATCTCGTAGCGCTGGTGAGAGAGAGACAATGTACGAGCGATTTGAATACATCTTCGTCTTCTTCGGGGAGGGCCATTTTCTGTTCGGAGCTCTCCCGGAACCGGCCTTCGAATACTGCTTTGAAGACTGGTGAGGTGTCGCATAGCTGGTCTCGATGGGTTAGGGAGGGTTTTTCGTTCTTGCCGATGAAGATGTTGACGGTGGGAACTTTATAGAATCTATATGCTTTTGACATCTGCGAGATAGGAGAAGGGATATCTTGTTGAGTCTGACTTACTTGGTTGTGGATGGATCCGTGGAAGGCATCGTGGGGCCCTGATTATTCTTGGGTGAGTGTGGGGTCGGAAGGTCGAAGGATGTTGTCAGTAAATGAATATCAAACTGGATTCAACACCTGCAAATTGGAGTCAACATCTCGGACAAGCCGCGGCTACTTCGAAGTGTTTAACGAGTGTCTTGTGTCTAGCAGCATTCAGAAAGCTGTGCGTGAACACAGGTTTGGTTTATGATATCACTACCCTGAAAATGGGCTTTGAAATCTGGACTAGCTTATGCGTGTAATCCAACCGCGAATCACAACAAGTTCCCCTTCTATCAACAGCTGAAGCAGAACGAGAGCCGGAGGAGGCGAGTACCTGGCGAGTCTTTTCAATCTATGCACAATGTTAGCTTTGCTTGATGCTCTATTTGCAGGCTATGAACTTACCCGTCAGTCCTCGATAAAGCACTTCTGGTTGGCGGTAGAGTGCTCATTCTTGCAGCCCTGGGTCCTCTTTGTCTTTGTACTCCTCTGGCATATCTCCCGCGAAAGGATTATTCGATCTCCTATGCCTCCACTTAAGATTCTTGGCAAAACTGAACACGACGTCTGGGGCAAAATCTCCGGTTGCGCTCGCAGGAACGCATTTCTGAATCGCATCTGTGTACTCGAACCACCCGAGATCAATACTTTCCAGGCATACCAGTCTGCTAACAATTTGCGGAGACCTGAATTCGTGAGTGGTATGATTGTACGCGTAGACGACTGCTGCGAGTGGCCGGGTCCCCACATCGGGGTCCACGACCATCGACGAAAAGAGTTTCAATAACGAGGTCTCTTCAGCTTGCAGACGTCGTATTTGTCTGCAAACACAAACAATCGGAAAGGCTGCAGGAACCTCTCATCCACGTGGTCGCCCTCGTCGTCCTCATCATCCCCATCGTCAGGTAACATTTCATAGCGCTGGCAGTAAAGCCAGTCTACGAAAAGCTCGAACGTGCTCTCGTCGTCTTCTTCGGAGGTGCATCTTTGCTTTTCGGAGCCTCTCTTTGAAACTTTCCTGCGAGTGCTGCCTTGAAGAACGGGCGAGGCATCGCATAGAGGTTGACGATGGACGTAGAAGGGCTTCTTGCTCTTGCCGACGAAGAGAGTAACCGTAGAGACCTCACAGAATCTGTACATTATCAGCACTTATTTCGCGAAGATTCAAATTTCTTGAGGTAGTCTTCTCACTTGTGCTTGGCTGGCGCCACGGACACGGTAGGGGTTGGCGTCACGTTTTGGGGTACGGGTGATGTTGCCATCTTCGAACGCCGAGGATATGAGTGTTGATGAAAACACTTTCAGATCAAGTTGGTAGTTGATACACGTCCAGGATTTGAGTACCGATGTAAGATGAGAAGTCGAAGTACTTTGAGATTAAATTGATAGCTGATGAACGTCGAGAATTTGAGTATTGACGTTGGACATGAAGTCGAAGTACTTCGAGTTCAAGTTGATAGCTGATAAACTCTCAGAATCCAAGCGTCCTATCAAGGTGTAAAGACTTTAAGATTGAGTTGATGGTTGGTGAAACTCGCTTGCTTCACAGTAACACACCATGACTACATTGCCACACTGTACTAGTACAAGTGAGTTAATGGCTCTCCCAGATATTTCAGTCATTAAAGTCGCAAGAATGCATCAGATTGCTTCGCGAAATTTATCATCTTACGAATTGGCCTTAACAAAATCCTATCAGCTCCTTTCGTCCTGACCCACCGCAACCCCCATACCCTCCTCAATCCCTCTTCACAACATCCTCCCCATCCCACTGCTCGCCCCCCCAGGCGCCGGTCCATTGACCGCAACAAACAACCCCTTCATATTCCCCACCAGCGACAGTCCCCCCAGACTCGTCTTCGACATCGGCACGCAGTCGTCCAAGATCCTCTGCGCCGCCACTATCACCTCCACCAATCGGAACTCGTCCACCGCGTCCGGTACCCCCGTCGTCAGCAGGATCTGACACCGAAGGTCGTGCCAGTCGGCGGGGATCCAGAAGCTGCCGGGTTCGCGCGCGTGCCAGGAGTAGGTGTGGGGCGTCATGACGCCGCGGGGGTCGTGGAGGATGAGATCGATGGCTTTTAGGCAGTCTTCAGGGTCGAGAGGGTAGGCGAGGTGGCTGGTGGTGTTGAAACAGTCGAGGTCGGGGACGGTTGGTAAAGGGTTCGGGTGGGGGGTGGTTTGGTTGGGTTGGAGAAGGGTGGTGTTGAGGTTGATGTTGGATTGTGAGAGGATTGGGGGGTAGATGGAGGGATGAGGGTATGAGTAGATAGCGGAGACGAGCGAAGGCAAGGAACAGAGATAGATGACGAGAGTGAGGTGGAAAGGAACAAGTTTTGGGTTTCTCATCCTCGCGTTCATTGTGCAAAGGCTCAAGCTTGATCCGGAAGGAGATATCGTGATAGATGCGAGATGGAGGGAATTCAAAAATTCGCATTTTTGCCGCACCGCATCATGTTAGTACTGCGGATCTATGGTCCACAGGCGATTCAATCGCGTGTCACTCTTGGTCGCGCCGGGAATTTCCAACATGAAAGCTAAACTAACCGCTGTCCAGGTCTGATATGGATTCCATTCTGGTGGACTCTCACATTGACAACGACAGAAGCTTTCAGAGAACGAGACTTACTACTATACCGTTCAACCTGACCTAGTCTCCATCGAATAAACATATAAGTCAGAGATAAGAAAAAGTTGCCCATATCACAGAGATGGGCCAGGCTCAGAGAGGCGCGGGGCTTTGAGAAGCCTAGATTTAGCTGCGAAAGGTGATCATGTGGACAAGGCGCGCTTGGTAACTGGGCGCACGTAGAAGCAACCATTGTTCATTACCCTGCTATCGCTAGCTTCGTATCGGATCCTGCCAGCTCAACTAAGTAGCCATTGCACAATCCGGAATGTGAGAATTCTGCTTCGAAACGTAGTGAGGATCCTGACCATTGATTCAAAATATGCAACTTACCCCAGATACTAGACGAACTGTCTTGTTGAGGCTGTCGTGCCTCTATCTCGATACCTGCTAGGCATAACCTTCATCAGCCTTCTTGGGCGGCTCCTCATGATAAAAAGTACTGGGTAGAGTGAATGGGTTAGGTCGCTCCGGGTACTTCTGTCTCACGCCCAGTGCCACAGCCAGATCGATGGCAAGGTCCTGGGAGACTTCTGCAAGCGTGGCCTTGGTGGTATCACAGTCGTACCACTTGAGGTCGATGCGGTAGACATACCAAGCAACCAACAGCTTCCGGAAAGACGATCCTTCGGTGGTGTTATCGTAGACATACTTGGTGACGGATATCTGTGGCGGCTTGAAGTTCCTTGGTGGCTTTGTGAGGTCGAAGAGCTCATCGACGATCTGATTCTTCAAAAGATAGATATCGTACTTGTCGGCCAACGTGTTCAACTTGGCCAGTTGCATATAGCATTCTCCCGAAGTCTCTGAGGAGACCGGAAATGTCAGCTCAAATTTTCTGGTATAGAGCCACTGGATCATGCGCCCGACCGAGTCTTTGTCGTGGTCGGGAAGCGACATCGATCGCTCAGAGGCTTCCCGGAAATTGCCAGAGAACGCAGCCTTGAATACAATTGAGGCATCGCACAGGAGGTTCTGGTGGACCCGGAAGACAACCTTGTTTGGGCCAGCTTCAAACGTAACAACCGTGACGCCTTCGAGCCTGTGAGAAGAAGGAATTCAAGTTAGCTTTACAACATTACTCTTAGCCATAAGTATCATTCGACGGCCAACTTACTTGAGATGTACATGAGCTTCGGCCATCGTGCTGGTGGGACTTGCTCGGTGATTGGGGGACAGCCGCGCGCTTGAATTTGCAGAGGGAAGCTGAGCCGAGAGAGAAATCAAAGTAAGTATCATCAGTCTTGAATCTGAGAATAGGTAGCTTCAAGCTTGAAAGGTGAGGGCAATTCACAGCGTATAATAATCATCTTTGGTGCTTGGATGAGGTCTTTTATAGCGCGAAATGGCCGGGTGTTGACAAAACGCGCCTCTCTACCAAGCAGCTTCATTCACTCCCCACCCAACACAAAACCGCATCGCGTCACTTATCAGCCCTGGCGCGTTCTCTCTAGCAAGTCTACCGGAAAGATGAAACGCAAGGCTATGGACTCAGGCACAGATTCAAAGGCCAAACGTCCAAGAGAGCCCGAAGCAGATTACTGTGATGTGATATCGCGGAAGGATGGCCATGGAAACGCGATATGGCCTGCATCCGAGGAGTCTATCCAACGTGCCGGACAATTTCTTACAGAGTGGTAAGTTCTTCCTTGGGGGGTATGAAGCGGGTTGTTGAACTTCGGTACAGTGCTGCCTCCCGGAGCAAGACGCTCATCGTCCCGGACAAGGACGCAGATGGCCTTGACGCCGGCGTGATTATCCGCACGACGCTCATTGCATTGGGGATGTCTCCAGATCTTATTGGTGTCCATCTAATCAGTAAGAATGCTACTGTACACGATGAAGCTGAGAGAGCAGCCATGCTAGCAAAAGATCCAAAGTACATCATCATCGTGGATCAAGGAAGTCGCGCTGCGCCGGCAGTCGTGGACTCCCTGAACACCAAATCTCTGATCATTGATCATCATCTGAGTGACGAGTTCCCGGAGAATGCTACTGTGAGGCATTCCCTTCTCCCAAATCAACCCAACCAGTTAATGGATTTCTAGGTTGTTTCCGCCTGTCATTATCCTCCTGTGGCGACGTCTGCTCTCCTGACCTACGAGATTTGTAAGCCCCTCGACCAAACCATTGCTTCTGCTTGTGGCTTCTTATGCGCTATGGGTACGCATGGCGATCTCGGCAACACCCTCAAATGGAAGCCTCCATTCCCAGATATGACGGACGTCTTCAAAACGCACACGAAGAAGGCGATCAATGACGCTGTGGCGCTGATAAATGCTCGTCAGTCTGCTCAAGGCATGCGTTGCCTTCCATTGCTGACGAAGAACAGCTAGGAGAACATCGAAATTTGACGTAATTTCGGCATGGGAAGCACTACTCGCTGCAAACGGTCCGAAAGACATCTTGGACAACGAACGGTTGCTCAATGCTCGAGCTGAGATCAACGAAGAGGTCGAGAAGCAGACTCACACGCCGCCGAAGTTTAGCAAAGATGGAAAGATTGCAGTTTTGCGAATCAACAGCGAGATGCAAGTTCACGGTGTCATCGCAACAAGATGGGTAAGCCTCCCTGGCCTTTGCACGTTCCATCTTGGCTTATAGTCGTTTTCAGGCTGGATACCTCAACTCCAAGGCTCTGGAAATCATCATGGTGGCCAATTCCGGCTATCGCCCTGGTTACGTCAACTTCTCCTGTCGCATTGCCCGCTCCGCTCGCTCCAAACATCCCCCAGTCAACATTATTGAATCTTTGAAGGCCGGAGCTGACCTCGATACTGGCGATCTGGTGGAGAGGATGGGCGAAAGCTTTGCTAGAGGGCATAAAGAGGCATCTGGAGGCATCATCCCGGCAGCTGAGTTCGAGGAGCTGATGGCCCTGATGAAAATTGGGGAGAAGCCAGATCCGAAGCCTGAGGATGGTGCGAAGAAGGTCAAGGCATCGCCACAGAAGAATAACCTGATGAACTACTTCACCAAAAAGTGAACCGCCCGAGTCACTGGTTTGCTGAGTCGTGCAAAAACTGGCGCGCGAGGCTGCAGAAGTCTCCTCTTGGGGCCTCAAGGTGCCCCTCCTCCCAAATTGGAACGATTTTGCTGGGTCTCGAAACACAGTGATTTTCGAAATGACTGCATTCTCTGGAATGCAGTGGGCGACTTGAAACTCAATTCAACATGGCCAATTGAACTATAACAACCTTGCCGCCTGGTGATACGGCATATGATTGAACATATGAACAGTATAAATGCCCGTTCAGCCAAAATTCCCAAACCTCACTTCACTTCTATTAGGTGATATGCCCGCTAAGAACAGCTACTTTTCACGGGCGCTACTCTCACTTTCTCACGCCATTTCCCTCTTTACAAGTTCCAATCAACACTTCGATCCGCTTTTTGAGAGTACTCTTCAATTATTCAACAAGTGTGCGAATCCAAGGCATGTTTGCTGAGCTTTAATCATCAAGGCGGTGAGTCTCTCTCTGGACCGAGTCTGATGACAAGGCCCTTCCAGCTGACGATCTTTGATTCTAAGTCACAAGCTCCTCGCAACATAACCTCATCATGGCAAGTCAGACTCAGACAGGAACAGACCGCTCTGCCGCTGCATCTGGCTTGGGCTACAAGCAGTGGACTCGCAAAGATCTAGCCGTTATTCTCAGCCACTACGGCGTGCGTTTCGGAGAAAGAGATAGCAACAATGTGTTGATAGGCTTGTTGAATGAGCTCGCTGCGCAGCGTGGATTGACACGTGAAGATCGCTTGACCATCATCAACGCTCATAAAGCCGGTACACGCCTCCCCTCTCGTAAGCCTGTAATTCGAGCTCCGACAGTTCGATCCACTATCACTCAGCCTGTTGTCGCTCATCCTGTCATCACTCAAACGGAGGAACACTCTTCAGGCACCAGTGATGGTAGCGACGTCGGAATGTCTAAGGACGAGCTTGCGGAAGAATTGCGATCCCTGTCTGAGGAAGAGCGGGAATACACTGCTACAATGAGTATGCCAAACAGCACTGGACAACGTCGGACTCGTGGGCTACGTTTAACCGCATCTGAGGTTGCCAACCGCCCACTGCTTGTGAGCCGCCCTGTGGTGGGAAACCGACCGGCCACTGTCAACAGCAGAGCTCCAATTCGTCGCTCAAATCCAGCATCTGCCAATCGCCAAAGATCTACGATTCATTCGGGATTGAACCATCTTGCTCGTCCACGAGCTACCAGAGCAGCCACAACCATTCCACCGAGAAGCGAGCCAGCAGCCCCACAAGCCATCAAGGCTTTAAACCATGAGTGTCTCATATGCTACGATCCATTCGACCCAGTCAAGACTCTTGTACGCCAGCCTACGTTATCTTGTGTGCATGAGGTGAACATTTGCAGACCATGCCTGGCTGCTTCGATCTCTTCGCAACTGGAGACCAAATTGTGGACCCACGTCGGCTGCCCCACCCCGGCTTGTGAAGAGCTTCTTGAATATGGTGATGTCCAGAAGTTTGCAGAGCCTCACATATTTTCAAGGTGAGCAACAGTAGTGTACCGAACTGGTGACACTCTAGCTAATGCGAGGGCTGATTAGATACTTTGAGTTCACCTTCCAGGCAGCGCAAGTTGACAGCCACTTTCAGCGCTGCCGTACACCGGGATGCAAGTCCGGCCAGCAATGCTTCCCGGAGGACACCATCATGAATTGTCAAGAATGCCATCGCAAAACCTGTATTACTTGCGATACCGAAATGCATCCCGGTATCTCATGCGGCAACAAAGAAAAGGAGCGCCAAGCTGCCCAGCAAACCCACGAAGAAGCTACCACAGGATACCTAAAGACGCAAGCTAAGATGTGCCCGGGGTGTCAGGCTCCTTCTCAAAAAACAGGAGGATGTGATCATATGACCTGTAAGGCTTTGAAATTAAGATCTGCGTAATAGCACTGTGCTGACCTCTGTGGTAGGTAAGATCTGTGGTTATGAGTACTGTTGGCGCTGCCTTGCGGATCACGGACCGATCAACGAAGAAGGGAACCACCATCATGCCCCATATTGTAGACACCACTCCAACAATCCATGAGCAGCGCCTGAATGAGTCGGGTCATGGCTTTGTGAAGTCATAGCCAACAGGGCAGTCCGGAGACCTTCAATCGCCAGACGTCCCAAAACTCCTGTTACAGTCTTTCTCCTTTTTCTTATTCAACGCCGGATGAATCCATGGTTTTTTCCGGTTCCGCTGTACGAACTGGACTCTTCCCTGTTATGTGCCGCACTTCGGTGTTCACTATACCGTTCATGAGATGTATCGGAAGCTGCCGAGAGAAGCACTGTCACAGCGTGGACGAGCTTCCTCACCAGTTGTACCTACAGAAACCAGCACTCCTGCACCTCAATGTATCTAAGACCAGAGCGAAAAGTGTCGTCTTCGCAAAAGCATAGTGTCATAGCCTACTTAGCAAATACATGAACGCTGTGAGCCATTGCCACACCTGCTTTCTTCGAAAGCCAATAGTGGAGCAGTGCAATTGTCGTCCCATTCACGCACGGGCAGATTTCGTAGCCGCCCTCTCCACTGTCCCTATCGTCCGAGACCGCCCACGTAAACACGCTCGCACTGACGGCGAACGGTAGCCGTCAGCGGATGGCGGAGTCCACCTTTCTAAGTAGATTGTATCAGCGGACTAGTGTCGTTAGCTGAGGTTGACGTACGATACAGGTTCAGCCATATCGGAACCAGTACGCAAGGGATGCCGATATAGTTGGTCAGGAATATGCGTCCAAAGAATCTTCCCTGATGGTGTGCATCCGAGACCTCGCTGCTTTATGTAGGAGCAATGCAATTGGAGTGAGGAACATTGATGTCGGTGATGACTCTGGCGCAGATCTGCCATTTGCCGTTCTGCGCTGATGTATGGAGCAAAGGACCCAAGGTGCACCACAAACAGCCAAGCTGAAGGCCGTGAACGCGACTAATCTTGTTAGCGAACCGGCGGGCAAGGAATCCTCCCCAGGATGATCCAAAGCGATAGACGGCGACGATGACTTTGAGTTTGGTTTGAGGTGTCACGACTGATGCGTTTCCTGCAGACAGTCCCATGAGGTTAATATAGATGGGGGCTGACATTGAAGGCTGCAATGAAGCCTTGACTGTAGCCTTCAAAGAAGATGGCGAGAGCATTTGTCCGATGGATGAGTAGAAGAAGGAGGTGGTGGCCGCCTGGAACACGAGTCCACGCTTTGGTGCGTAAGAAAGCCATGCTCAGATACTACCGCTTGCGTTCAAAAGAGCACACGAGCCTTAGAAAGGTGATTGGATGCTTTTCGGGCTCAGAAAGAGTGTTCCTGCAGAGAGTGCGGGAGGGAACGCGATCTGACAGAAAGATAAAGAGAAGGAATACAAGAGCTTCAGTTGAAGCTTCCACACAAAGTTTTGACGCAGATCTACTGAATGGCATAGCACGAGTTTATCAAGCTCTGCGCGAATCAATTGTCACTCTCTCCGCGGGCACAGCACGTTTGAAGGCGTAAAATTGGGGATCTTTGGGGCAGTAGGGCCCTTTCCGGCGAAGCTCCACCTTGCACATCGCACGGCGACGGGCATGAGAGAAACCCGAACCATGGGGGATCTGGTTAAGATCGGAGACTAAGCAATAGGATCATACTCTGCTGTGAAAAGTTGCAAGCGACCATGCTGGTCAAAAATTGGTGGGCTGAGGTGTGAATCTCAGGCCACGCCATTGAGGCTAAAAGCGACTCGAGCAGGGCAAGACTCACACTCGCATCGTTATGGCTTAGCATCCCAGTAGCTCACCATTGCGTACTTCCCATGCCGCGTCCAACCCTCCTCAAAGTTCGCGTCCTGACCTGGCTTGAGTCCTACACAGACATCGGCCTTGGCGGTCCGCAGTACCAAACTTCTGACCCCTTGGCCGTCGTGTTTCTTGGCAAGAGGTCCGAGGGCTTCGCTGAACGGTGTTGAATGTGGCCACATGCCGTCGTAGGTGAGCTTCCTGTAGTTGAGATCCCCTTTGTATACCACAAGATCAGCATCAGCAAGGTCCTCGAACAAAGCAGGTTCCACAACGGGCATTCGCCCGAAGGGATGTTGCGTAGTCCAGAATAGCTCGGCTCGGAATTCCATTTTCCCCGACTGGATCAGGCCTCGCCAGTATTTCCCAGCTTCCTGGAGCTCCTCTTTGTCTGGAGACTTGATGTCCTCGTAAATCGTGCCATCGGCAAAGCCCTCGATCAAGTACTTCAAGTCTTCTGGGTTGACGTCTGACACGAACCATGGCATTCGTTTGCCGTGGAGCACAATCTTCTTAGCGTAGCCACTTTCGATAAGATATCCGGCGAGGACCAAGTCCGTAAGCAACTCAAAGCCAGCATTGTCTAGGACTATGTGCATGTCTCTAGGAGACCCCAATGATCGTAGCCTTGACAAAAGACTCCAGACTTGCTCCGTATCGTCAACAACGATGTTTTCCTTATTGCTGTCTCTGACCGCTTTCCCTTGTCGACTGTTCAGCTCCTCCACTGAGAGAGATGTAAGCAATGCCAGGTCTGTAGCATTTCCCCAAAGACTGATCTGTACCATCTCTTCGAATATCGCCTTCTGCGTCTCTTCATCCACAGCTTGCTTTTCAGCGATAGTTTGAAGCACTGCCCGGAATCTCTTGACCAGCTCAATCGTTCCTTTCTTGCTGCCAATGAGGGACGATCTTTTGCTGGTCGCAAACATGTCGAACGAATGCCAAAACGGAGTGGAGAGCGTAAAGTATGTGTGGATGAGGCGGTACATATAGCACTCTGTGTATAGCCAAGGCGCAGCTAGCCATTTGAGGTCTTTGAATGTTTTGAACTCCTCGTTGTAGGCTTCAGTATCGGGTCTCCCATCTCGTGGTATTGGCTCCAGCACAGCATTTCCCAGCATACTTGTCTTCAGCGACGTCAGCTTGGCCTGTATAGCCCTCCCAGCTTCCACATCCTCCTTCGATAAGCCATTATGTCCAGATATTGTGGAGGCGATCTCATCGATCGCTGAGGAGAGGATCTTCGGCCAACGCTCGCGTGCAGTGGAGTAGGCGAATGACTCTGGGTCGCCGCTGTTCGAAGTTGCTGTCCACCGTAAGCTCTTGCATTGCTGTGGGGAAAGAAGACTCTACCAATCGATGGGTCTGTGGATTGAAAATTCGCCATTACACACGAGAATGCAGGTGTGCGGTGACACTCACTTGGATGAGTCGACTTCAAGCAGTATTTTCGAGACGTCAGCGGTGACCTGTGATCCCGTACATTACCATGGCCGTTCTCAAGACTTCAGGGAATGAAACTTGCACCCGTTGTATGCCCAATGGCTGTATAGGCCAACAAATGAGAGCAGGGGAAGGCTTGGCGCGGAGAAAGCTGTCCGACTCCGCGGCTCTGGTCTTTCTCTTTCCTCATCTTCAACGTCAGTGATCATCCCAGGCAAATTAATCTGCTTCACGTCCCTCTCAGGATTGACCAGTAATCATGAGAGCAGCTAGTTCGGTAGGAGCCGATCCGTCGGCAGCAGGATTTGCGGCCTGCCAGCCGAGCCAGCCTCCATGAGCTACGAATAGCTCCTCGGGTCTTTGATTAGACATTTTTCCTACAATTTACCATCAGTCCCTGTGTGATACCGACAAGAACCTCTTGTCGGCCAGCCCATTTGGTCCTTCAGTTAGGGATCACAACTCGAAAGCCTTTGACAAGCTCAAGGGTGTCTTTCGACGGGCTCTAACGGCATTAATGGCACACGTGATCGAAATTCTCTGGACATGGTCGTGCTTGGGCTGAACAGTGGAACTGCTGAGGACGGCATGGATTGTGCCATTTGTCACTCCAAGCAGCAGTCTCCAAGCTCTCCCCTTGAATTGAAGATTTTCCAAGTATGACGCCGATGCTTCGAGTTGCACAAAAGACTGACGTGTGCTTCGCAGCACGACGAGCTATCTGTACCAGAAAATTTGAAGAATTAAGTGCTTCGAATGCTTCGAGAAGCTGCTACAACCCCGTCCGCGATGGCACAGCTCAATATTCAATTGGGTGAAATGTTCGGCCAGTCCATATCAGACTTCTGCGAAGAATACAATATTGACATCAACATGCTGGATTTGATGGGTAGTCATGGTCCGGCGATCTGACTGTTGCTTATGCGCAAGGCCTCAAGATCATCTCCATGGCGAGGGAGCTATCATCAGCGGTATGACAGGGATCACTACAGTCACCGAATTCAGGACTTGCGAAAAGGCTGTGGGGAGACAAGGCGCAATCCTAGTCGCACTATTGGACGGTATTCTTTCACACCACCCTACGAAGTGGCAGATATACTCGGAGGCATTGCCAATGTCTGCTTCATCCCTCCAGATAGTGAAGTCGGCATACACAAGATGATTGACTGGGATTGCGGACATTGAAATGTGTTTATCGATGCAGCCATTAGGTGTTTTTACGAATGTCAGCTGAAACATGGCAAGCATGCTGAATGGGCACGTCAATGCAATGTCGATCAAGTGGTGTTTGACAAATTTTGGGACAACCATCCCTGTGTCAACCAACCACGCGCCAGAGACGACGGGCTAAGAAGTGTTCGGCGATGGAGAAGCTCAAGCTTTGATTGACGAGTGTCTCCAAAGGCGCGTCAAAGTATGACACTGTTGCTACCATCACCCGCATCACAGCCCAGAACATCGTACGACAATACCACACCTTTGGTCCAAAGATAGCCTTCGAGAGATCCGTGGACATCCACATCTGTGGTGGAGGCTCTCTCAACCCTGCAATCATTCATTCATTCACTGTTGAGACTTGACCACCGTCATCGTCTTGCACCAGTTTGCCTTCTTACACCCTCCACCTTCTTTACATCCTCCACCTTCCCACATCCTTCGTCCACATCCGTGAGAGGTTGAGGCTTGACAGGCCGTAATTTATCACCAAGGACTTTGAGCAAAATTCTGGGACTGACAGGCTCCTTGTCCAAGAGATACCTCACTCCTGACGTCAGATGACGGTGCTTCTCTTCAGTCTTGGCTTTCTGGACAACAGAAACTCGCAGTTCACACGCCTATGATAACCGAAGTGAATCGATTACTTGTTTTCCAAACATATCCTTAACATGGCCGCTTGGAAGTCCCCGCGTGTAGCTTTTTGCAATGCTTTTGGCACTAGTATTTTGTTTATTGGAGACTCACCCGTACTTTGCTTGCCGCTGAATAGGTTGCCGACCGCTTCTCTTAAGGACACTTCTAATCGAGGGCCCTGATTATTGGACAGAATTGTAATAGACTCTCCGAGATCCAGAAGCGCCTTTTCCTGCCTTCGGATCAGAAGAAGGCAAAGATCCAGATTTGGGCTGATCCAGGCTTGTGAGACGGCTGCGCTGGGGTTACGGTGAAAGACGTACACAGCCGATAACCAGTATCATGAATGAAAATTGCTCTGGCGCCTTTTTTGCATCGAGACCGCTACGTCTCGATATCCCATCGTTCTTTCGCCAGCGTCATACAATCTATCGAGTCCGGCTGGATCAAATGCTGCCGTGTATGGCCTGAGAATATGCCTCCTCAAGTCAGAAACAAAGACCCCACATTGTATTGCATTGCTCAATTCGAGTCATTCACTTCTCAAGTACAACCAATCAGGATGCCAGAGTGACGATGGATGGGTGGACAAATCCGACCTGACAGAATTATCAGCGGCCAGCCTGAACAGACAGTTGAATAGACAAAGAAGGCTACTCAAGTGGCCTGGCACGAATTGGAATACCCTAGATCTGGGCCAAGTCCTATCAACGGCGTCAATGGTTACAAAACAGAGGTGAACGGAAAGTTGAATGAATCGAAAACGAACAAAAGCGGTCGATAGCGCAGCGTTCCAGCGGATGAGGAGCACATGAGGAAGAAAGCAAAACGTCTATTGGTTCCCACGCCCGATCTCGCCTCTTCGGAAGCGATGAAGAAGACCTTTGAGGATCTTCTGAGTCGTGAAGCTGCTGAACCTTCTAAGCGTGGAGCTCGCGCTTGATTTTGCATTTACACAAAGCGAGATTATGGCAGGTATGCAACCTGCTCTAACACTGCATTCAGTGTGAGGGCAGTACATACATATCTTGATGGAACGAGGAAGGGACTTGCGATTGAAGCGTTTGGAGGTCATACTGCTTACTACGTTAGATACCCTTAACCCATATCAACACTTCCAATAAGCCGAGACCATTGGATATTCTAATCTCTCCGTGTCGACTTATCGTCGGTGAAGTTGACAATCGTGGCACATCGCCTTCTTAATCATCAAACGTTGGTTCAACTAAGTCTTGCAGGGACTCACGGTGTAACAGCTTCACGTGAGAAACTCCTTCTACAACATGCGATTTATATCAACTCGAGGGCCGGTCTACTTGACTGCTTTGATCGATCTAAGCGTGTACAAAGTCTACTCAGTCCTCTTAAAGGCCTCGTGGGGAGTGTACTTCTTCATGCGGCTGTAACACCCATGGTCATTAATAGCATGTACCTTCCCCTGAAAACATCTTCATGCTCATAAGGGTGAAAGAAGATTACAATCAATTGCCACAACTTTCATACTCCCCCCCCCGGAACCTTTGCTTGTCCCCGTGCTTAACTTCCTGCAGCATCACGTCGCTGTCGCTTGTTCTGACAGTCAGGAATGTTGTTCTGATTCTTTCCATACTCCGGAGGTGGTGGCCTCCCGTTACCTTTCGGAGGCCGTGATACGCTCGGGAGCTTGATCCTTGCGACTGTCCAGCATACGATGAAAAGCCCATGATCCACATACTACCTGCAGGCTGAGCTACTAGATACCTGTTTCATCTCTATCGACGAATTCGGCGTTCCTTCGCCAGGAAAGGAGCTGGTGACTTTCGCCTTGCAGGGAATGGAGGCGGTACTTGGAAGACCGGTCGCTGTACCCATCGACTCTGATATCTTGACGCCGCCGTTCATCGCTGGAAAAGTTGCGCTGGGGAAGGAGTGGAGGCGGTTGATGACAAGAGCGTGGGGCTTTGGTAATGGGAAGGATCTGCCGATGGTTGAGGAGCTCATATTGACGGAGAAGTACTACATGTGAAAGGCCTATCAACGCACATTCAAGTATACCGTGGTGATCGGAGTACGATGAGAGGCAAACACAATAATATGCCGCATTTAGAACAAAACTGGGACTGCTTTACAGTTCTAGAGTCCATACTGATTTCTTGACCGTTGTCGAAGTCTTGGTGGACTTGCATGCACCCTCTGTTCGAATAAGTTTCGACCCTGAAATACCTTAAAACATTGTACGCATCATGCCGCCGCTATTTGCAACGACATGACTTTCAATATCTTAGATTCTTTGCGGCTACTCCTATCTCGAACGACATTAAAGATCTGTTCAAAGGCTCCGCCGATCTCAATACATTCTCACCTTGGCATCACCTCACAAAGCAAAGCGCATTCGCGCCTAAGCCTAGCTCGCCTTTGAAAACGGGGCAGTGAAACAAGTGAAATGCAGGCTTGAAGAGTAGATATACACTCATACGTTCCAGTATCCTCGAGCTATAGCTTATCTCACCTTCTGTCCATCACACACCTGCTGCGCTGTCGACCACCATGGCGAGTTCGAGCAGCGCCAGCATCCAGGTGCTCAACCGGATGTACCGCGAAGCGGGTGTACCAGGAACTATCCTTGACAAGCATCACACTTCATGGACTATGGAACAAATCCGGGATATTCTCCACTTCTACGGTGTGGGGGGGCGTGTTGTTGCTGCAAGCACGAATCTAACAAAGCTGGAGCTGATGCGTAGGCTCGCTCCACTCGTTGAGGAACGCGGACTCACACGTTTCGATCGCCTGGAGATCGCGCGCTACAGTCGCGGAGGTGGCGGTCGTGCAGGTGGTCCACGTCCACCTCAGAAGCCCGTTGTTTTGCGGACGACAGCCTCGGGAGGTAATCATGATACTCGCATCCTTGCAGAAGTCAAACAGAGTCCACCTACCACGCCAAGCAATGACGAGACAGCACAGCAGCTTGCACAGCCTACGTGGTCCACAAACGAGCCACCCGAAGCTGTATCGGCTCGAGATGTTACGGGCGCGGAAGCCTCTAATCCTCCCTGCGCCGTCTGCTTCGAGGACTTAAGCACGCAAACTTCTCCAGACCGGAAGATCACTAATTCTTGTAGCCACGAGCTGGATGTCTGCAGACCTTGCCTATCCAGATCGATCTCTACACAGTTTACTAGCAAAGTCTGGAATCAAATCGATTGCCCAACCTGTGGCGAGAGGCTAGACTTCCATGACGTGAAAGATTTTGCCGAATCCGAAATTTTCGAGAGGTAGGATCTACAAAAGCGATTTCCTAAGAGTTTCCCAACTGACAGGTGCAGATACGACAATCATTCGCTACGAGCGTTCTTATCGGAGCACCAGGAGGGTCAATTTCAACAGTGTCGTTCACCGGGCTGCCAGTCGGGCCAGCAGTGTTTTCCCGAGCAAGACAGCTACATGATCTGCCAGACTTGCAAGGGTCAGACATGCATTAACTGCGATACTCTGTGGCATCCTGGTATGACTTGCGTTGAGACTGAGGCTGCAAGAAAACGCATAGAACATAATGCCGAGGAAATCTCTGCAAAAGAATACCTTGCAGTCAACTCAAAGCTATGCCCCAAGTGTGAAGTTCGTGGTCAGAAGGTTGAAGGCTGTGATCATATGAGGTGTAAGTATAGCTCATCCGCTCCATAGTCATGGTCATTCTCTAAATAGAATCAACTCGCAGGCCCAAGATGCCACCACGAATACTGTTGGGTCTGCCTGGTTGATTATGGCGTAATACGGCAGCGCGGCAATGGACAACACCTCACCGATTGCCGCTACCACACCAACAATCTAAATCAAGGCTTAGGACATTGAACCAAGGAGCCAAAATACAGGACATTTGGCAGAGAGGCTAGATCATACTAGCTTGCTAATTGCAGGCTCCGAATCTAGATAGAAGTCACAGAAAGAGCTTTCTGAAATTGGACTGGCTTGCTGGTACCCATCGTGGTGCTCAAGCTCAACACAATTCTGGGCACAGGTGTTGTTATCTTTTTCCAGCGGCTAATAGATAATAGTACTATTGCGAGTGAAGGAAATTCTCAATCATACTCTTTAATCTCAGCAGCGAGAGTTGCGGCTTTCGGTGCGGAACAGAGATAGATAGAAATGCGTTAGATAGGAATGGAGCGCTTTGTGCGCTGGAACCTTGCCTCCCCAAGATGTCTCGTTGCTCCATCGAATCGCATAACAGAGACTTCTTTGCGCAGTTGCTAAGCATGGAGGATAACAATGTGAGCGGGGCATCTTCGAAGTCATGGTTGTCCGTAAGATTAAGATGACCTTCGCACGCCAAATACGCTTATCGTCTCCTGACTCGGCGTCCTGTCCACGGTCCAGACTTTCCCTGATGTCACTTCCTTGGACCTTCAAAACTCATGCAAGTCTCGTTAGTTACGATTGCGTTCCAAAACCCTCCGTGAAACACATGTCCAGTTTAAACACGTCGAGAACACCTGCATGAATCATGTCGTGTGGAATCTATGATACAGAGGAGTGAGCTCTCACTATATCAATTTCTACTTCCTTCGTGGTGGTCCTTTGAACTTTTGCTGATGGAAGCCCTAGAGCTCCCTGTCTGGAAAAGTGCGTTCCGGAAACACGTTGTAAGTCTTGTCTCCTGGATATCCGCAGAGTAAGCACCTGCATGAATCATTATGAATGTTCCACAAAGAGAGCTTTTCGTGGGCAAATGAAGATGCATCAGGAACAGCTCGAAATAGACAGCGACTGACTTTCTGCACGGCAAAAAGATTGCATAAGAATGGCCATCGTTGGACCGTTTGGAAACCAGGTGCTCCGAACAGGAGATAAAAGCACTGTTCACGATAGTCGTGATCCAACCACCATCTCCCTTGTAACATCATGGCTGAACATGGATTGATAGTCTTCTGTACAAACACAGATGTGATTTACGAAATGGACCTAGGGTTTGTCCACGGGCTTCATGGCGACAGGGTGAAAACTTGGAGTAAAAAGGGGATCCTTTGGGCCCGAGATCTTCTCCCAGATGATATTTTAAATGCGAGACTGGTTACATGGAAGTACCTCGCATGCGTCATAACTGTTACCGTCTTGACGACCGGTCATCTTTACCGTACATAGCTTGGGCGGTATTGTGATGAACAAGGTACGTAATGCTCCGATCAATCATCCGGCAACCATATCTAGAGAGCTAACTAACGAAAGTGATCTCTCCCAAGGCATCGATCAAAGCTTTTGAATATCACAACTATGGACACCATCCCGAAGCAGCATGGATACTTGCGTGCCCCAAAGGCATAATTTTCATAGAAACGCCACACGGAGGGAGCAAAAAGAGCAACATCACGGATTTCGTTGCCAAAATCGCCGATTGGATGTAGAGGAGCCGAATGTAAAGCTATTTTGGGACTCTTAACCAAGAGTCTGATGTACTTGAGCACCAGCAAATATCATTCTCCAACATTAGGCAATGAACTCCGCATTGTCTGCTTCTACGAGGATAAAAATAGGCTTTCCTCATCCGTTAGGGTAAGTAGTCAATGTTCTTCATCAAGGCTCGCTATCTGTACTCAGTACAGATCTGCTTGATATGCATCCTAAGTTGCAGTCAATGAGAAACTTAGCATCCAAGATCGCGTGAAGATGTGCATGAACTACAGGTCCTCGTCATCTTTTTCATATCTCGTTACACAGATCGTACCACGGTACTCAGCTGTCACGGACGAGTCTTCAATTAGATCCTTTGGGATCTTCCAAGATCGTTTGGACATGTGTAAGTTCGCCGGTTCATAAGACACAGAATATAGACATGGGTATTACCAAACAAATCAGATTCTGGAGCAAGATGTGAACGCTGGATCGCTAGGTGTATAATCTGTCACAATGAATCCGCAAGCGCTTACGGATGGAAGTCCAGAACTCAAGACCTCATCATACTGGAGAGTAGAGTACGTTTCCCTACCTAGGAAAGGCGAGCTTTCACACTACTGACTGGAGCTGAAGAGGGCAAGAGGCTAAGATCAAAAATATCGACTTACAAGGCATTTGCGACCGTTACCGACATATCGCTGAAGCACGCGAGAGTACTTTCGAATGCATCTTTGGCAGCGCCCAGCACAACCTTACAAAATTGGCGACAAGGCTGTAAAGGAATCTTCTGGATCAGTGACAAGGCAAGATTGGGAAAAACCACGCTCACAGAACATATTATCAAGGACAAGCAAACGACGGCCATGCTCAACGACAAATCTGAAGACAGGGACATTTGTTGAGATTGTCTTGCAAGGTTTTTCTTCGAACTCCACGCGGAACCCATGTTTGGGCCTGCTCCAGTTCATCTTGAGGCAAACCCCACGGCATCTTCCAGGGTTGGTATCCGTGGTCCTGCCTTATAGCGATGATGGCAGTCTTACCAGCACAGGGAACCGGACAAGGTCTCGGCCTGATCTTGAGTCAGCTTTCACGACTCTCGTTCAACAAACAAAGGCCAAGGCCCGTGTTTAGGAATTTATTGACGCTCTCGATGAATGTGCAGATTGCGGAAGATACGATACCTTTATCATCTTTTACAAAAGAGTAGCGACTTCCTTCGAAGACAAGCAGTTCCGCATTATGGTCTGTATCTCAAGCCGAACCTTGCCTGAATTCAAACCCCACTTCCCAGATATCAGTGTTGAACGCGCTTACTGATAGGAACACCAAACACTAGGTACGAGATACCGTTTATCGATCCATCTATCTTGAGCACAACTTCTGTGCGAAGGTAGAGTTCACGTTTAGCCGGCATTATCATACTTAGTGTCTCTCGCGAGGTGGTATGTAGTCACGACGTCCAAAATTGACTGGATTCAGAATCCTCCTCAGTTGGGAACAAGTAGTAATCAGACCTCAAAATTCGATAGGGTTCAGCCCGCTTGCCTGGCATATTAGGTGCCATGCAAGGGACATCTTCTAATCAGGAAACGCTGTGGCCCCTTGATGCATTAAATCCGAAAAAGTTCCCAGATGAAATGGAAAATCCTCCACCTTCATGACCAATGACACCCTCTCACCCCTCCACACAGATCAAAACCCCATGGCGCTGGCTCACCACCAAGACCCAGAAGAAAAACAGTGACAACAACAATAACAACAACAATAAAAAGCGCGCCACAGCCACCCCCCAGCCTACCAGCACCAAAAGAAATTCCTTCACCAACCACACAATCCTCCCTAAACCCCAAGCGGCCGTCCATCGACTGCAGGAGCTCAAAAGCCCGCCTCCGAATCCCATACCACAGTCGCAGTCTTCGTCCGGCCCCGACGGCCTTGGCTTCAAGTCTCGACCCCTGTACAGACGAACTCGATCCTGTCCTGCGACGACGGCTGAAGACGACGGGACCACGGGCGGTGCGCGTGGTGGGAAGATGGCGCGAGCGGAGGCGGTGGTGGGGGAGGTGGGGGAGGCGTCTGGTGCGGGTCGTGCTGGACTGAAAGGTGAGGGTGGGGGATGGAGGATGGATTTCGCAAGAGGGAGGGCCGGTGAGGGCGGAGGAGATGCTGGTGGTGGAGGTGGTGGAGGGGGTTCTGGGGGTGGAGGAGAGGATTCTAGGGCTGGGAGAGGGGGCTCTTCTGGTGGTGGCTGTGGATAGGGACCCTCGGAGGGGAGTTCTTGGCTGGGCTCACTTTCAGTCTTGCTACGAAGTAAGCTTGGAGAGTGCTGTGGATGGTTCCGTGTCACCGAATTTGGTTTCGAGGCCGCCTTTACTGTATGTAATGAGCGTCACCCGGTGGCCTTTAAAGACACTCTATCCGCAAGGTTAGCATGGAGAGAGGCGACAGACTGTTGGGGTATGGGCTCAATCCAGTAAAGAGATGCACGGTGGAGTCGTAGCAGACGTTTACTCAGGTATAGAACGTTGATCCTTTTTCGGAAGGATCTGAACTGCGAAAAAGACGGACTTCGTTTCATTCATTTCAGAGCGGCAATGTCTATTTCTATAGCTTTCCGCGACTTTTTCTTCTCTTTGGCCTACACTGGCTTATGCTTCAGCATTATCGTCGTATATCTGTGCCCCGAGTGTTAGCATGGAATATCCGATTGCCGTGCCAGTGGTAGACGAAGCACACTAGATCGTCGGAACGAAGAACAAGCAAATGAACTTACGTGATAATTCCAACAATAGCAAGCAGAAACCCAACAACGCTCCCGTCAGCCGCGGTATTACCACCAACAACCCAACCAAGCGTAACAATGGAGACAGTCTTGACGTGCCCGACCACTGTACTGCTCACAGCGCCAGCCTCGTTGATGATGTAGAACTGCGATATGTTGATCACGCACGCACAGAGTCCGCTCTGTTTCCGCCATCAGCCCTCGTCATCGCCCGAAATTCCGCATTTGCAAGCAAAGCTCACCAGAAGCACCAACATCCACCCATTCAGCGGCACTTCCTGGAAGACGGGAAAGCTGTCAGTCCAAGGGATGATGTACAGCAGCAAGGCCGATCCGATCGGCGCCTGGTTCGACAGCAGCTGCATGCTGTTCATGCCGAACTTGGCATGGTACACGCCCACCCAGACCGTGTAGACGGCGCTGCTCAGGACGCCGCCGAAGGCGAACACCACCCCGGGCAACGACGTCGTTTGGCCGTCGTCACCCTCGCGGGCCCTCGCGTTGAAGTAGGTCGCCATGCCCACGCCGGCGCAGATGGGCAGGAGCGCGAGGACGGCGGTCCGGGGCAGCGTCTTCTGGTACAGGAAGAAGTTGAGCGCGGCGACGGTGGGCGTGAGGAGGACGCGGCAGATTTGGTAGAAGGGGATGGAGGAATAGGCCAGGGAGAAGTTTTGCAGTATCACGTTCAGGCACATGGCGGCGGCCAGAGGGAGCATTTCGAGGATCTTGGCCCGTTTGGGCTCGAAGAAGCCGAAGCGGGGGCGGGAGAGGAGGTAGAGGAGCGTTGCGGTCATGAAGAAGTGGTAGGATGCGAAGGTTAGTTGGGCGTGTTTGAAGAGGGTTGACGTGAAGAGGGATTTGTTGGTGAAGACCTGGGATCCCGATTAGAAATGAGTTGCTCTGCGATCAATTGCGGTGTTAGAACAATACGGTTCCCTACTGTACATACAATACCAATGGTAGCGAGGGCGTTTGCCAGCATCCATAAAAGCAATTTGGCCCGGCTAGCGCTGGGTGGATGCTGATCTTCTTGTTGACTCGGCGGGCTCGGTGGGAGTAAAGCTTCTTCGTCGCCGGGCTTCTCACTTGCAGCTGGTTCAAACGAGGATCGGGGTTCAGAGCCTGATGACGAAAAGGGCAGATCTTTGGGGTCAGCCAAGTCCCCAGGTTGGATCGTGATTGTCGCCATGATTTGTAACAACTTAGATTTAAGAGCTGCGAGTGTTGCTGAGATGTTGTAGAAGATGTGGTCACTTCAATTGCTTTCAGTTTCCGCCAATCATTGAGGTATGTGGCGATGAGCAAGGGACCCCCAGGGATCATCCCTTCCTCTTTCATTTTCACTCAGCCAATCACGGTGCAATACAATTCGTGCATAAGTGAGGGGCAGCGTGCAGGTAGGAAAATCTGGAAACCAATCAGTCTCGACTTCGATGACTGATCGTCGGAGATAAGCTGTTCAGTGGCTCAGTGTGGGTGCTCAAGGTGAACTGGCGCAGAGAGAAGATACCTTTGAACTTCCCAAGCAAAACAACCTCTTAAGAATTCACCAAATGTCCTTACGTTAAAGTGGTTACAATTGAATCCTGAACGTGGCTCTTTCTGGTGTGACTCGTCACTCGTTGACACCTGGTGCTGGTGGTGTCGAAGATTGTTGGCTCGTGAGCTGAATCATTACCTCTAAGTCTGTTCGACGCACGGCGATCCTAAAATCCTGTAAGCGTCTCTATTGGTCAATGACATAATGTAGGTAGAAGTGTGTGCAGGATCGAATGCGCGACTTTGTGTCTTAGTGCCGCTCATTCTGCTCGACGATGTAAGCTGCAATTGAGATACCGATAACGGATTTCGGTTTCGCTTCAAACTTTGGCTGCATCGTTAGTTCCCAGACCCGATTGTGTAGAGTGTGAAGAGCGGGTACTATTCTCTTCTATATCTCTATGTTGTACAGTAACGCGAATCCTCGTGACGCCGAGAAATAAACAATGCGAAGAAGATTGGGGGACTTGATTCTGGTACATCGTGGATGCGTTTTATGGTTTTGGTGTTTTACAGTGTTTGTGAGTATACTCAAATGTTGTTGACAAGAATGGATTATGCAGCCTTGCAGAATGAATGGCGAACGAATCCAGAGTACGACGTGCAAGGACTAACCAAGATCCTTGCCGAAGCCCCCAAATCCAGCTTGGTCTGGGCGCTCGAGAACCCCCAAGCAGTGCTTCTGTTAAGGTATAAGGGTTTCGGCGAATGAATCTCGTTTGCATGATAAGACCCTCGTCAACTTGTCTAGGCGAACGACCTATGACAAGGGCAAATCAGAGACACGCAACTTCTAGAAACCCCAAAGAAGATCTCAGGTACCGTTAGTAGGAGCCTGATGTTCCCAGCTTAGCAAATGTCACCCAGCCTGGAATGTCACAGCTAGCTCATTGGCGCCCCTTGCCATTGTTGGGAACCCCTGAGGTCACGATTCATTATGCAGGCTTGCATATTCGATCTTTGTTAACAACAGCAAATGCGTCACGAGGACAAATCAGAGAGATAATTGAAAGCGGAAGCGGAAGACCACACCAAGCTGTATCAGGAGTTTGGTATTGCTTTACCCTAATCAAGGCTTCTGACGCTACTCTCTTTGAGTCGTTACCTTCATACAGCTCTATCACATCAACATCGTGCCAGAAACTACATACCTTATTTCCTTCTTATCTCCGGTACCTGCAAACGCTTTCGGTGATGAAGGGGGCGCTTATCCTGGACATGATAGCTACTGCGTCTCCGTCCACGTCACGTCTCGCAAGAGAGGGGACACGTGAGATGCTCCTTCAGCGCCCTCCGCATTCAAGTGCGGCGAAAAGGCAGGATTGTCAAAATAGGGCATGTCGATGACAGCATTTGAGATGATACAAAAGAATCAAAGGGACAAGCCCCAGCCAGAAGAGCCGGCATTGGGTTTTGCGCTATTGATATGGAGGTATGAGTGGATGTCCTTCCCCGAGAACGCAGGCTATTACTGCATCTGTGCGGTGACCAAGAAGTATGTGAAAAGAAGCAGTGGATGAGTGTGGGGGGAGTTAACGAAAATCACGATGGCGCGGTCATCCGACCTATTCATCCGAACCGTCCAAAGATCCCTCCAGATTGTATTGGCTGAAGACTTTGAGCTTAAGAATGTTCCCGTAGCCCTAAGTGTCTGTAACTTGGTTTCATAGTCTTTTCATCAGCGATACAAGCATTTACACGAACCCTCTTCCAAAAGCCACGTTGATTATGGAATTCCCGGCTGTTGAGGGTATTAACGTGACTGCCAACACTCGTAGGTAGTCTCTGAAGCATACATTGGACGGTTGCAGTTCCCAAATTCTCTAGATGGGACACACATTCCAGCTACTGCTACCGCAGCACCCCAAACTTCATACCATATAAATGGAGCGGGCGGTCCGTCCATCAGCAGTGCAATGGAACAGTCTCCACTAGCTGTGGGTACAGGCAGTCTCGTCAGTATGTCGGCAGCTTTGGAGTTGGTTTGAAGGGGCAGCTTACCGGACGAGGGGCGCTGTGTAAGGGGTACTTCAACGCCAGGAGCTCCGCGCTCTCCGAAGATCTGAGATGATGTCGTCGTGAGCATTCCATCCAGTAGGATCTGACAAGCTTTAGCATTCAAGGCTCTACTTCGCCTCGAGGGAAGCCAGCACTCTACTGTGGGTTAATAGTGCTGCATTGTTACGTGAGTCTGCCTTGTGCACCTAAACGTGATCAGCTGCTGCTCAGGATGAAAATCCCCCCTTTCGACTTACCTAAACCAGCTGCAATTCCTCCGTGGTGTACACCCTCTGGCTCAAATACACAATCGAAGATAATCAGCTCTGCCATCCCTATTTCTTTGTACGTCTCGAGGTCGGGTTTTCCACGCCTCCGACGTAGTCGATATCAATGATACAATTTCCGTCAGCTATGGTCGCATTAGATGTGTCTTGTACATGAAAAGACCTCATAAAAACAGCAGCACGGAGCTGTGACTTACAGCTTATATACCTTTAAAGGAGCCCATGGGTCCCCTGTATTGCTGTTCCTCTATTGCCGAAGGTCTGAAGACTTGTACTTTTGGGTATGTTTTCCAATGCACCTGCACAGCTCATAAGCTCTGGACTTCCGTATTGATGGCAGGCGCCTATTTCACAGTGGATGGACGCCGTGTTTTGTTCAGACCGATTCACGATTGCGGTGAGGTTCAGACCTGACGCACTGAATACTGAATTTAGGGATGAGTTGGCCGTTGCCATTGTTAGATCTTGGGGAGTACTCAAGATCAGTGCTGAAGCAGCAGGCAACCAAAGAAGGTTCCGAGCCGGCGAGTGAAAGGCGTTGTGTTTCGTACAGATGAAATAGTGTGTTACTGTGGAAGGCAGATATGGAGATTGTGAAATGGTTTCGCAAGGACTGAAAGCTGCTCTTGTCGCTAAAATTTGATATGTTACTGCCGACGCGAGTTAAGCTCAGACTTTTGGAGGCCATCGGATGAGAACCAAGGTGTCGGAGTTTCTGTGGGTTTGCCAGTCGAAGTCAAAGCGTTTCCTGCGTTGTTTGCTGCTTAGTGTTGGTTTGCTACTGCCAATAATGGTCAAAACCTTGAAAGCCATTTGCGGAAAACCATGGCAGCAGGGAAGCTGCCACTAGGGACTTTTGCTGTGAACTAAACGGTGTACTTGGGCTATAGGAAGCACAACAGGGGACTTCATTTATTCATGCACATCTCGAAGCGGGAAGAAGAATGGAAAGGTACTCGTATCTTCGTTCCTATCCCATAAGATTAGGCACTTGTACGATAGTCCTGTGCCATGAAGACCCCATGATTACCGTTGATGTAGCTATGATGAGATAATGTCTCAGAGATCGGGTCTTTCAGTTGGCCCAGTGGAGCATCCTTCGACTTCCACATTTGCTTTCGTTCAGCCCATAAACATTACCATCATTCCTTGAAGTTGATAACCTCTGTAAGACGCAGAGCGGCAAATTTTTGGGGACACGGGGGTCCGAAGCAAAGTGAATACTTCTTTGCGGTGTATCAAGGTAGATTACCCTCCATATATTACATCCAGGGCTCAAGGTGCCTCATAGACCACAGTTCCTTAGGTTCTGAATCCGAGTACTTCTGCGACTTTCGAAAAGCCATCTCGGTGATTCTGTGTCTTTTGATTTGTTGCAATCCCACAAAGATCCTTCTCAAAATAAGGAGATGGGTTTTTGTTGCATTCTCGGGATGATGTATCTTTGTTATTGTGAGGTGGCGAAGGTCGAGACGGATGTTCGACTTCACGTATGGTTTATAGGCCGCTAACAGAGTATTAATCTGAAGCCCATCGCCCACTTTTCATTACGTCCGTGAAGAACTGATGTGACGCTCTGTGTTTGTGCCTCAAACGCAGTAGACTAGGTAGAGATTTTGCAATTTCCACTCTTGACGGATTGCTGCAAACCCGTTCCACCACTGAAAAAAAGTTCGCAGACTCAAGAAATCCTCTCGAGACTGACGCTGATGTTGCAATGCTGGAGGTGGATCGGTCTAAGGTAAAGTCTGGTCAGGCATTGGTGATTGGTAAACAATTTATTGCTGACTAAACAAAGTTGCCAAGACAGCTAAAGACCGACTCGGCCGAGCTCCAGGAGCCAGGCAAGCAGAATCATTCACTTCTTCAACCTTTCCATCATGGCATCACTCCTTGAGACATGCTACCATGTTCGCTCGTCCTACTCGCATCCTCACCATCATCCTAGCAGCATCCGGCCTCTTCATCACCACCACCTTCCTCCACCGCCTCCTCAATGGCAGCCACCGACTCTCCATCTTCACCATCTCTCCATCTGAAGCCAACCCACCCACACCTCAAATACTCGCATTTTGGGAAACATGGGCTAAGGTTATTGATACCGCAAGGCCAAAAATTCCAGCTATAGAGTTGAAAGAGGTGGCGCAGCCAGCGGGCATAGAGCCAGAGAATGAAAGAGAAAGGAAGCCTTTCAACTTCGCCATTGGTATATCGGACAAGGACATCGAGTCGCTACGCCAATCGCACGAGAAGTTAGTCGGGCACGCAAACTTCTCAAGGATCAACGACCAAGCCACCCGCCTGTTCTCAGGCACAGGAATAGTGACAGTAGCAGGAGGCTTCTATTTTGCCCCCGCCATCCTCAGCATACGGATGCTTCGCAAGACCAACTCCACTTTACCGGTGCAAGTATTCCTACGGAACAAGTCAGAGTACGAGAAGAAGATTTGTCAAGAAGTGCTGCCTGCGCTTAATGCTGAATGCTTCGTCATTCAAGACCACCTACGAAAAGACAACCCTGTTCAAGTGGAGCACTACCAGCTGAAAGTCCTCGCCATCCTCTTCTCATCCTTCGAATCAGTTCTGTACCTCGACAGCGACTGCATGACCCTGCTTGACCCAGCCGAGCTATTCCTTTCCGAGCCCTTCCTTTCGACGGGCCTCGTGTCATGGCCGGACTATTGGATCGCGACCGAAGATCCCGTATTTTACAAGATTGCAGGCCTGCCATCCTTCCCAAAGGGGTTGCCAGCAAGGTCTAGCGAAGCAGGCCAGCTCCTGATATCTAAGCAGACGCATCTCACTACCCTTCTACTAGCAGCTTACTACAACATCTACGGTCCTGGTATATACTACCCGATCCTCAGTCAAGGTGCTGCAGGAGAAGGTGATAAAGAGACGTTCCTTGCGGCTGCGGTCGTCCTGGAAAACCCCGATTATAGAGTTCGCCATCGTTTAGGCACCGTAGGTTATCATGAAGCGGACCGGAAGTTCCATGGCACTGCTATGGTGCAGTACCATCCAGGAGATGATTATGCTCCTCGAGACCCCACATCCCTGAAGCAGACGCGACCACTCTTTTTGCATGCTAATTCGCCAAAAATGAACATTGCGCATCTGCTCGCTGACGATAGGGTGTTCTACCAAGGTACTGAGGACAGATTACGGCTATGGGGTCCCAAGGAGTCTATGAGCAAGATGGTTGGATATGACATCGAAGAAATAGTCTGGGGAGAGATCGTGGACATGGCCTGCCAGCTCGACAATACCTTGAAGGATTTTCGCGGGGCGTGGCAGATTTGCGAGAGAGCGCAACGACATTATAGAAAAACTTTCCAGCCGCATGCCACGGCGCTTCTCACCTGAGTGGCTCAATAGAAACTGGCACAGTCTAAAACTTCTGGCAGCAGCAGACATAGAAAAGACAATCGAACGAGCGGCTGCACACTAAAACCTGCAGGAGATTCAAGTAACCTTTTCAGGAAATTCTGAATGAGGAAAATCCACGATGATGGGGTTTGATGGCACGGGCCGGGGGGAAGGTAAACGGCACAGAAGAGGCAAGCAGTGGTTGTAGAGGTCACAAGAAGCCATCGAAAATTGGGCAACATAGGAAGATGAACTGTGAAGAATGACGACAATGTATATATAGGCAATGATAGCATGATAGAGTAATAACAGCGAACTAGTTCCCGCAAACTCCATCATGGCCTTTTCTCTTCGCCCGCCTCCGCCCGCTCTTCCCCTTTCTACAGATCCGTCAATCTCAGTGGCTTCCTCATCCGCTTAGATCTTTTCACCTTGCTTGCCTCTTGCCTCCGACGCCAGTTTGCCCACCAATCACCATCAACGCTCGTCATGTGAGGGAACAGCGTACCTAGCCTCATCCGGCGGCGCCGCGTAGGGGGCAAGGAGAGCGAGATGAATGAAGGGTTATGCGGCTAGGTGGATAGGTGGATGGATGATCACCGGCTGCTGGTTTGTTTGTGTGTGTGTGTGTGTGTGTGTGTATGATCCAGGGTTATGTAGATGCAGCGCAGCAGTATGGCATCGGAGAGGGCGAAACGATCGGAATCCGGAGTCGGCTTTCAGTAGGCGAGGGATGAGCGGATTGAGGATGGAGGATGAGATGAGGAGGGAGGCAGTGGGAGAGTGTGTTTGGGCAGGGTGTTCCGATCAAGGAAAAGGAGACAAGGTTTGGCCGAGGAAGGGAGCCGGAATAGGCTGGCTTTGAGGGTGGGAATGAGTGGGATGTTAAGGGCTTGCGGCAGAGCTTCCTGAGGATGCTATGCTAAATTTGTCGTGGAGGGTTTTTGGGGCCGTTGATGGGCGCAGTAGGATGAGTCCACCTCAAGCCGGAGATGAAAGGGGCGCAAAGGACGAAGACTCGGGGGTTTGCCCGCCCGTTTACTTAGTCCGAAGGGTACCTACCCAGGGACTCGAGTCTGGCCATGATCCCAGGGCGGTAGAGAGCCCATGCCCCCATGAATGTCACTTAGTTACAGTGAACACTTGAACACGTAAACGTGCATATGAATGATGTATAAGAGATGTATAAGAGATGCGAAACGAATTGCCTCCGTCACATGCTGCAGATGGCCATTAGCACGAACCGGAGTACCGGACACCATGATCTAACCAGGTGATTCAAGGTAGTGATAAGTTGTGCGGAACGGGGGTGGTGGTTTTGAGTCTTTGCTTGGACTTGTTTACATTTCCTGAGCCGGAGATATGTTGCTAAGATCGCTCGGAAACTTCGGAAACTTCGGATACCTACCACTTTCAATGGAATCTGATCCATCCAACCCATATACATCAATTTGTACAATCAAGGAATAACGCATCCTATCCCATCTCCCGTAGAAGCATACTCAACCATCCGTCAGTATATTTTTGTGCCACTGGCGCTGCGGGAATGACAGAAGACGGCATCAGCCTCGCTGATCGACCTCTCAACCGCGGCCATCAAGGACTCATGCCTCAGCCTTCGCCTGTAGTCTGCCCACCGCTGCGATAGAGCGATTACCTGCAGTATGGTGCGAACCGTCATGGCGTACCAAAGGCTCATAAATGCTTCGCCAGTCATTCATTGCCATAGGTCTCCATGTTCAGCAAAAGCAGTGACGACAATGTCCTTCTCCCCCTCCTATGTCACTTCCAAGCCTCATCGTCCGGAACCAAGAAAAACCCCTGAAAAGCTCCTTGAACGAACCTCAAGTTACCAATGCCAATGGATGCTATATCGCTGTCCGACCAGATGCTCGACCACCTACCACGGCACAGAGTGATCAGGTGTATACCCCGCCAATATGCCATTCCTCCTTCTGCGATCCCACGGCACATGAAAGACCTACATCACTTCTACTGTGAAAGAAGACAAGCACTGCTGTTGTATGTTGCGGGGTTGGATCTCGCAGACCCCGATTTTTTGATTTTTTTCATGAAAGCTTGACTTCATAGAATTACGGCGAGCGAGACTGAGTTTCCTGCATATTTAGCGTGGCCTTCGCTAACTTCCCACGGATGATCCTACAGCATATTTGGGCGTATTTTCGCACCACCACCATAATACCAGATTGAAAGATAGAAATATCCGTCCTAGCTCAGGACAGATTTGTCTGAAAATTCCGATTATTTTATTTTTATGTCGATGTCGTTGTTGACACTGCTTTTATGAGGCATTTGTTCCAAAGACTAGAATCCATTCACTTTCCAGTTTCCTTCAACACATTGTCACCATCTGCCACTCTCTTATCAAACGCGTCACAACCAACAAGACACACATTTACCAAATCTTCAACTCAAGGTGCCATCATCATAACTTCAGTCCAATACCTCTCAATTCCCATCATGGCCGAGATCTGCTCCAACCCCTCCTGTTCGGAACCAGGCTCTCGCAAATGTGGCCGATGCAAGAGCGCCAACTATTGCAGCCAGGACTGTCAAAAGATCCACTGGGGCGCCCACAAAGGGGCCTGTAAAGCAAACAGCCAATCCAGCGCCCCAAAAGCCAATTGCTATATCCTCCGCGCCACGCCTCAAAACCCAGACGCGCCCGTCCTCGACAACATCGCCAACCAGATCGAGCCCTTCAATCTTTCTAATCTTGGCAACGAGGTCGCAGAAAAGCGACAGCTCGAACGACATCTCGGCTGGAAACACTCTATCGAAGCTGGCAAGTTCTATGACCATACTGGCTCCGATAAGTGGTATTATTACGTCTACGGCGATGCACGCGCTTTCAACACTAAGTCGGGCTTGCCGGCCAACGAAGCCGCCGGACTGATATGCCACCAGAAAAAAGTCTACGGGGACATTGGCATAGTTAGGTCGGGTCCTGTGGGTTCCGAGTACGCGGAGGAGTTCGAAAAGATGGAGTTGGTCAAGGCGGTGCAGTTCTATAAGACGAATGATAAGGACAAGGTCTTTTCCCAGCGAGAGATGAGTCGGGCTATGCGAGGGTTTGGCATGCCGGGCGCTGGGTTTGGGTCCTCGCATGTCCATGTCTGATGTTGATGTTGAAAATGATGATGAATGGGTGGCGGCTTCTCTGTTGAGACTGTGTTGCCATGCTGCGAAGATGGGTTCTTGCTTGTCATCAGAGATGTGCGCTTGAAGGGTGCGTTCTTTCGGGGAGCTGTGATTGTTCATGCCATTACTCTACTCTACTCCACTCTACTGAGTGCGGCGATCAGTCCCTTAAACCACTTCAACCCCGCCGGCTGAAATTCTCCTTCAATATTCGTTCATGGCATAAGCCTCTTTCTCTCATTCCGAACCATCTCCCAAGTCCGATAGGTTTTGAATACGCTAATATCGTAAGCTACTCTCTCTATCCTTTTCTTCCGCCCCCCCCCAGACCTTCTCCTGCCCTTTACCGCTTCAAAAACGTAAAATAAACTAGGCTTCTACTTCGTGCATCATTGGCACCTCCCCGTTCCCGTGGTCCTGTCAATAGAATTGATTAGTTCGGAAGAGAGGTGCGGCTGCTAAGACTTCTTGGCCCGGAGACTCGGAGTGATGGGATAGCACTGAGCGCTGACCGTGCGTACGCTCGTCGCATGAAGTAGGCACGTAATGCGTAGAATAGGTATTTTGAATCCGATGGTCAGGATTGGAAAGTGACATATCTACATGCAAGAACGGCATCTGCATATTGGTTCGGGGGCTATGTATGGCAATTTGTGCGACGCTGCCGATGGGTCCGCGAGCGGGGCCCCCACGGATGGGGGGGACGGCGGAAGTTGGGAGGATTGGGATTGGTATGGTCACATGGTGGATAATAGGAGGAGGAAGTTTTATTAGTTAGGGATTGAACTGCAATCGTGATGTTGTTTATCGAGAAGTGGGATGGCATTTCAATTTGCCCATACGCTGTATCAGTACTCTGTAGGTACTTTTAAGTGTCGAGAGCGGAGAGCGCTTAGGCGGCAGTTCTCTCGGCATTCATTCTTTTGCTCCAAACTGTTACACCTCCGCCTCGTTCTCCTCCTTTCCTTTTCTCGAGCTTGCCAATCCACCTACCAAGCCACTCCCAGTCATCATGGCCACAGCCCTCCTCGTCATCGACATGCAACACTTCTTCCTCGACATGACCGCCACCGCCCTCCCCAACATCCTCACCCTCTGCGCCCACTTCCAATCCTCCCACCTCCCCCTCCTCTTCACCCAGCACGGCCACTCCAAGCAGCAGCTCACCCCGCCCTACAAGAACCAACTCGTCCGCAGATGGGGCCCCAACGGCTCAATCGCCACGGGCAGCAAGGACTGGCGGCTGCTGCCGGAGATCGCGCACGTAGCAAAGGATCACGATGTCGTGGCCAAGGACACCTACGATGCGTTCGTCGGCACGGATCTCGGCGCGAGGTTGGAACGGGGTGGGATCGAGAGGGTGGTGTTGTGTGGCGTCATGACGGATTGCTGCGTCGATACGTCGGCGAGGAGCGCGTTCGACAGGGGCTTTGAGACTTGGCTCGTCAAGGATGCGTGTGGGAGCGCGAATGAGACGCAGCATGAGGCGGGGCTGAGGGGCTTCGGGTTCGCGTTCGGAGAGGTGCTGACAACGGGGGAGGTCGTGAGGAGGCTGAGGTGAGAATGTGAAGGGGCTACTGGCCACGCTTCTGATGTACACGGATACATGTTTAACGATGTCATGACGAAATGATGGTATGCATGGGCTGTAGGTCTATAGCGACACAACGCGTACGGGTGTACCGCAGCATTGGGACTGCTGGGGGCAATGGCGAAACAGGCGGATTTCGCGCATTTTGCAAGCACGCTACATACATCCTCGCAAGTATGCAAGGTGTCTTCCTCCTAGCCCGCTTACAAATAGAGGGTAGCTTTGCTCAAAGCACTAACACTCACCGTCCGATCTGTCAGAAATCAGTACTTTGCACAAACTCTTCGATCTCAGGACTCTCCTGGGCCATCTCTGATACCCCACTGAACAAGTGGTTGATCCGACAGCTCGCTGGGAGGATGCTGGGGATCCTTCTATCAACAGATCGAATTAGTAGCCTTGGGCCTGCTTCGAGCTTCGGACTGGCTATTGCCTTCTGCAGACATCAACTGTCACTGATGGTGCCTGTCAGCCTACCTACTCATGTCCTGTTCTGCCGACAAGATCGTACACAACCATTCCTATTCTGCAAGGAAGCTCGTTGGTAGGTCCTGGTCGGCTCCATGGCTTACCGTCGAAGTTAGTACGTACTGTTACAAATTACTCTTCTGCCTTGGTCCCAGACTCTGTTGCGAGGCCTTTTGGAAAATGGGGCTGGCTACGGGTACAAAGGGTGAAGGATCAAAGCTACAAAACCTACCCATGCACTGTTCGCTTGGTTTTCTTCTCACTTCCCGCCTCATCGAATACTTTATCAATGCACCTTTCGCACGCTCCATCCCGGCGTTCATGCACCCAAAACCAGAACTCTTCCATCTCACGCTCCATGGAACCTGCACGAGGTCGATCAATCGACTGCATCACCCTAAATCGGCACCCCGAGGACTGCCAGTCTGTCGGCACCATTCGCGCACTTGCAGGTGCATAGTGAACCCTATGGTAAATTGGCAATACTCGTAAAATGGGTATATGATTTCTACTGCCTACGGTAGACTCCACCCTTATCGTCACCCGCGCATGTGCGAACTCCACCGGTATGACTGCCTCCCTCTGGCCATCACTTGGTGTACGCATGATGCATGGAGTTTCGGGCTATGTGCTCCGCTTTGGCCAGACAAGCGCTTAGGCGAGACGGTCAGTGCGTTCGGCGTGCAAGAGCTCAGACCCGCTGTAATACACGAGTCCATGCTTGAGCCCGGCAGGTTGGGTACAGTCCAGTATTCAGGTTGTATGTAGGTGTGAAGAGTATGCTGTCAGCTGTTTTGAGGAAATCATCTTATTGAAATGTAATAGCAATGCTGGGAGTGGTCTCAAGGACGGCGCGGATTCGAGGATCTGAAGCGGTCTTTAACTACAAGGTACAATTCAGGCGAATTCGGTCAGTGTTTTTCAATCATGAATCTCAGAAACTAGTCAGAATTAGCTTGTGGAATCGACTGCTCCCCTCGATGACAGAATTGCGATGTAAGTGATCAGCTCGTGGCGACGGTGCCTAAAACGGCGTCGTCCACGTAGAACACCATATACGAACGTCCTTCGTCACCCATTCAAAGTCTGCACCACTGCTGCTCTACATAGTGGCCTTTTGCTCCTCGGTGTAGAGGTGGCGGAGAAATTCGGTGTCGCACGCGCGTTTGGCGGGAGCGAGGGCTGCTTGTGATCTGTGTTCGTTCTCGTCAGTATGAGATTCCTGTGGATGCAGACACTTTGTGATAGGGGGCTTCTGCAAAGAGACGTGTTGGACAGCTGGCCAAGTCCCAGAGCATCGGAATTGAATTGGTATGTTTCGTATGCCCAGATCAGCGTTCCCAGGCTTCCCTTTTTGATCAACGAGAACAGCGCAACAGCAGCCTTGGGCACACCGATTGTAACCCATTGTTTCACGAAAAACTCGCGTAGGCGCTTGTTGAGAGCTCGTCGCTGCTCTAATGTTTGACAGTCTGGCTGGCTGGTCAGATAATTCCAGAGGTAGCCAGATTTGAGGGGTCGGAGGTAAGTGATGAGGGCGGATGCCTGGAGATGAAGTCATTGATTAGGGTGCTTGCAGAACAGAGGCTGGTGCGGGGAAGAGCAGAGTCTTTACGGCGACGAGGTGCCATCTGTCGGGTCCCAGTGACGAGGGGAATTTGGCTTTGACAGCATCAAAGAGTCGAGGAAATGATTCGGCTTTGGTTGCCATGGCTGGACGACTGAGCTCGGAGACCTGGCGTCTAGAGGCTGCAGCTCTGACGACTTGACCGTGTGTTCGTGCAGTCGTCAGTGAGGTGTTATGAAGACGGATCTGATCAAAGGAAGAGTGATTGGAACACGAGGACTCGTTTGTTAACAGCAGTCAGACCGTGGCGGTGAAGTTGATGGGGAAGGAAGGTGGAAGTTTTCTGCGATACACTAAAATACAATCCACTTCGTAGCCTTCCTCGGATGCTGCATCATTGTGCATGCAGGATCATTGTAGGGCTTCAAAAGTATGATGTCTATTCCGGGATTCAACTCTTCCCGTCATCTAGGCCGTCAAGCAGGATCTATCACGGTACACTTGCAGTTTTGAAGACTCAGCGATAGCCCGGATGTCGGTTTAACAATTCGACGGAGATCGATGTGTCGGGAAGGTGAAATGATCGTACTGTTAGAAGGAGACGAAGCGCAACTGGCGGTTGCAAAATGGACAGACTGAGGGTGCACGGCAAATGGAATACGTATATTTCTAGACGATATGATTCAATTGGTTTACCATTTCACCACTTCACCACTTGATGTATGTAGGAATATTTAGAATTGATAGAGATGACTCTAATGGGTCTGAAACCTGAATAGAAAGATTGACTGACGTGCCTATTTTGAAGATGTACTTGTAGGATTTTGCTCGATGACAGGAAATTGTTCATGTTCTTCCGCAATCGACATAAGAAACGTTCAATTTGCATGAAGGGTCGACTGGAAGATTCAGTGTTGGCATTGACCCTGGCAGAAATTACTGCGCGTACACGCAAGAGATGAGGTCTTGAAGATCTTCTCTGTCGACCAATAGTTTCCCAATACAACAGTAGATATTAGTGAAGCAGTTGCCGCACGAGCGACGGTATTGGCATCGAGTAGCCTCTCTTCATAAAAAAGAAAATACTAGCATCGAATCGAAAACATCTAAAGTAACGGATTCGGTAAATGCAGCGAGAAAAGATAGAGACGAATGATGCCGCCAATGAGAACGACAACTGTCCTACCATCCGAGACAGCATTATAAGACGGTGGAAAGATGGGAACTGATAGTCAAGACTTGTGGCCTATCTATCTTTGCTGAATGTGCTGGAAATTTTCAACTTCCGAAGCTCGAATTGGGCCGTTCCTAGTTGTATCATGGCGCCGTTCCGGTGCGCCAACCTACCTTCATGATTGTCTCACACTTGTCGTTTGTAGAGTTTCCCACGAGATCCTCGTCAAGCACCACCTCACCCTTGGGGTAAAGCACAATTACGGTACTCCCTCCGTAGTAGAAGGCACCCAAGCACTGCCCTCTCCTGACATTTGCACCGAACTCAACACCCTCGTTGTACTTGATCGTTCCCACGAGCATAGCACCAACGGCTATGATCGCGATTGGAGATCCAGTAGAAGACCTCTTGAGAAGCATCACGGACCTCTTATTCTCGCAGAAGACGTCCAATGTACCAGGCTCATTGATGGCTTGCGGATTGACGGTGTAGTAGGCGCCGGGGATATCCTTGATGGACTCCACTGTCCCAGAGACCGGTGCGTGCCAGCGATGGTAGTCCTGAGGAGCCAGGCGAGCGATGACGATGGACCCTCCATCAAATCGGTTTGCCAAGGCTGGGTCCCCCAGCAGCCTTGAAATTGTGAAGCCTCGCCCTTTGATCCAGTACTCTGTGGCGAGATCAATGGTCGGGTAAGCGGTCAATCTGCAATCGGCAGGGCTCGAAGTCACAAACTCGTCTTCTGGCTCAGCAATCGGTCGTGCGGACTCCTTGATCTCACGGGCGAAGAAGTCGTTGAAAGTCGCATACTTGGTGGGATCCGGCTGCACCATCTCCACGAGAGAGTCTTGTAGATCGAAGCTCTTGATGAATGGCTCAATGTGTGCCCTACTTTCAGGTGTATCATACTCCCGACCCATCTTCAGACTTTGTTCTTTGAGGAGTTCGAGCGTTCTCTGCCAGTGTAGTGCTTTCTCTTGCTCCGAGCCGTAGTAGAGCAGGTGCATGCCCAGACGAACGTAGATACTCATGGCTTCGAAGCTCTTCTCCCCAGTCTGTCTATCGATAACATAGTTACCCATATGGAATCGGGTCTCCAAATTGTCGAGGGTTGAGGCAGGTAGAATCTTGCCGAGCCATGTGTGGGCGGATTCATGGTTTGCGGGGCGATGTAGATGGGTAACTGGGGTATTGGGATGGTTTTCGGCGGCGGTGGTAAGGCTGTTGAGTGCCTTTGCACTGGCATCGAAGCCTTCTTGGGTTTCTGACATTATGGATAGCAGCAATCGAAGCTGTGGTCTGTCTGGTTGTTTCAATTTTGAAGGACGTGGGGGGATGAAGACTTGGCAGGCACAAAGAAAAACCTTGGCAGAAACCCCGCACTATCTGTCTAGTAGATCCCGTCCACCGTAGGAAATACGGCAATTCAAGATTGAGTACGGTGCAAGCGATAAGAAACCTGGAGACCTGCAACATTTTTGCACGACCTGCCTGAAGTGGTCGGGATCCCCGCGACCTCGGACGCTCCTTCGTTCTAGAGCCTGTGAATATGCAGTCGCCCGCACGATACGCAGGCGAGGGCCGGATGATGATATCTGACATGTATATCATCATGTCCAGTCCTCGAGTCCTCGAATACAAAATTGGCCCCGCAGCAACGTCCATCCACAAGCATGGCTTCACACGAATTTGCAGACGAGAAAGGCGGAAAAACGACTGTTATTTCCTCCACCCCCTCCGACTTTGTTCCCTCGGAAACCGAAAGTGCAGAATTCGACACCGCCCCTCCTCCACCTCCCAGCGGTATCCTCGCTCGACTGCGCCATTATGAAGCCCTCTTAGACGATAAGCTTGGTGTAGAAAAAAATGGCCCCGCGAGAATACTGCCAGAGGAACGCAACCCTCCCCATCAGGCTATTATGGCGCTGATGTGGGCGAGTGGGACGATGAATTTGAGCTGCTTTGCTACAGGGTTCTTGGGGTGGGAGTTTGGGCTGGACTTGAAACAGAGCATCTTGACAGTGATATTTGGGACGTTGCTTGGTAGCATGGTTACGGTGAGGAACCCCAGCTACGCTGAAGATCTACGCGAGCCCAGGTGATCTGACTGTATGCTGCTCACAGGGTTGGTGCGCAACACTCGGTCCCGGGACTGGTCTCCGTCAAGTTGCCATCGCACGCTACAGCTTCGGCTGGTGGCCTTCCAAGATCATCGCTGCTCTTAATGTCGTCGAGCAGTTGGGATGGTCCTCTGTTGGCAGCATCACTGGGGGTCTCGCTCTCTCCGCCGTCTCCGATGGTAGGGTCTCACTCGTCCTGGGCGTCATAATCGTTGCAATCCTTGGTCTGATCTTCAGCTTCATCGGACTTCGAGCCGTCCTTTGGTATGAGTCATGGGCATGGGCGATCTTCTTCGTCATTTTCATGATCATGTACGGCGAAGCCGCCAGTTTCGCAGACGTCAAAACGCCTTCGGCCCTAGAAGGACAAACGCTCTCAGGTACGGTGATGACTCTACTTGCTATCGTCTATGGCTCGAGCTCCTCATGGTCTTCGATTGTGTCGGACTATTATGTGCATTACCCTGTCAACACATCCAAGACGAAGGTCTTCCTCCTCACGAGCATGGGCATTACCATTCCTACCTGTATCGGTATGGTCATGGGCTGCTGTGTTGGGTCTACAATGGGAGTAAATACCGAGTGGACGAATGCATACGACGATGGACTCGGATACTTGATTCAGACGATCCTGTTTCCCAGGGGCTTCGCCAAGTTCTTGCTTGTGGTGCTGGTCCTTTCTGGTATTGGCATCAACTGCATAGCCATCTACTCCGCTGCTTTGTCTATCCAGCTCTTTGCAAGACCGCTGCAGGTAGTCCCACGCGCTTTCTGGACTCTCATAATCTTCGTTGGCATTCTGCTCCTCGGAGTCGCTGGCCGCAATCACCTCCTCGCTGTTCTTCAAAACTTCCTGTCACTTCTGGGTTACTGGAATACAGCATTCTTCGTCATACTTTTCACCGAGCACTACATTTTCCGCAAGGGCAGTCTTGAGAATTATAATCTCGAGGTCTGGAACACGGAGTCGAAGATGCCGATCGGAATTGCAGGCTTGATTGCCTTCTTGTTAGGCATCGTTGGATGCATTCTGGGCATGGTGCAGACCTGGTACATTGGTGTAATCGCTGCCATGATTGGAGAGACTGGCGGAGATATTGGGAATCAGTTGGCTTTTGCGTTTACGCTTATCTCTTATTTGCCGTTGCGATACTGGGAAAGGGGTCGATTCCCTGGGCGGTAGACAGCACATGACCTTGGTTCTTCGGCGTGACTTAAGACACCATAAAGAACAACAAATGTGAATGAGGTTCGATCTTGTCCATTCACTCCATCATGCTTCATCTTACTTCATACACATATCCCCACCTCAACTTGATTCATGATTGCACCCACAAAGTCGCAGACTTGGTGTAGCATGGTATGAACGCTGCTTCTCAACACCATATGTTACATGCGACCTCATATCTTCACCATTGATTCCTTTCACTCCATCAGTCGGGCTCACTTCATCAATCTTCTCAGATCAGCAGTCAGTCCCTCAGTATCAGTCAATCCCTCTACGCCAGCCATACTCTCACCACAAGCGGGTCTCCCAGAAGCAGTCAGACTCTTCTCATCAGCCCTCTCTCACTTCCGCCGAGTACCACTCCACGTTCGCGTCCTCGCAACCCGCACAAATCGTCACTACTGCCATAAAAAGACAATTGGCTGGGTCCAATACAGCAACGTATTTCGAGGCGAGTGAAGAATTCACCATCAAAGGTGAGACCTCTCCACATCAATTCAAATCCGTCCACCGACACTGTTACACAGGCCTCAAAACCCAATGGAGACTTCTGTACCATCCGCTGAGTGCAAACGGCATTCGCTTAAGGTGAACATCCTCATTGTCCTTATCATTGACGAAGCAATCGAACTACCTCATCATTGGGTCTCACTGACCAGTACTATACAATAGGCCATGGCTCCATCTTTTCTCTCGCTCCCGCCAGAATTGCGCCTTCAGATATACCGATATCTCCTCTGCCACAGCTCATGGATTCAGGCGCGAACATTTGAGACTCCGAGGTGGCCTATTATCAACCGAGCCCAAAAACTTCTACCCGACTGTGAACGGGAGGCGCTAAGGGTGTTCTCGCTGGAGAGCGCCGTCTTACGGACGTGTCGCACGGTCTATTCAGAAGCCAAGCCCGTCCTCTACGGACAAAACACCTTTCTTTATTCTTGCGTCGCGTCAAAGTTCGTTACGGAATACGGCATGATAGGGTTCCTAGACAAGAGACTGAAACATATACAGCATCTAAAGCTCGAAATTGAAGATATTACCTGGTGTGGAGTGTCCACTGCGGAGAGTGTTGCTCGCGCAATTCAGTACTTCGTCGAGCGTGGTTGTGAACTGGGGACTTTCGAGCTTATTTTGAATCAGCTATGGGACAGACCTGGAGGATATTATGAAGACAGACACCATCTGCTCAGAGAAATTGCTGCCAGCCAGGAAGTTATGGCAGCACTGGTTGAGCTGGAAGTTTCCAAGACCTTGACCGTTTCAATTTGGTTTCTGCACGAAGCCGAAGCCTCTGAGCATGAGCTTCAAAAGTCATCAGCTGACAAGATCGAGGATTTTGTGGACCGTTTGGCGTCCGAAAAGGGGATGACTGCCACGCGAATTGTTATCGAGGATACTAAGGGAGACGGAGCCGAAGATGACTCCGAAGGGGAATATAATCGTGATGATGATTGGGCTTTCATCCCGTACAAGCTGTCCTGGTGCCTTCGCTCGCAGCGCTCCGAGCAGCAGAGCGCCGAAGGGGCCAGTACAAGCGATTGAAGCGGCGGGAGGTACCTTCTTTTGCTTTGAGGATCGGAGGTCGCGCTCGCTGAGTTGAGGTTTTATCAAGGAATCTCGAGCAGTCTCAGGAAGTAGCAATGGTGGTCTTGATAGGTTCCAAGCCTCAAAAGATAGAAGTGGCCACAGTATGCTGCGCTCGCAGATGTTACCCTTGCAATCTGCGACCACTTAGACAGAAGCACAGCTTTAGGTTTTCTCAATCAACTGACACAACCACTTCCGTCGCTTGATGGCACAGCCCTTCGAAGCCATGCTCTCGAAGCGCAGATACCCAGCATAAGGCAGATTAACGGCAAGATACTATTGCATCCGGGAGAATGGGAGCAATGTAATCATGACGGGCATTCAATCAAAATTGTTGTACCAATGGGCGAGTATGTAGTTCTCGCCTAGAAATGTTCTAGCCTTGACGTCTGGGCTTGGGGCATGCCACAGCCTCACTTTTGCATTTGTAAACCCTTCCCGGGGGATACGTATCTCTGTGGGAGATATGCGTCTTCTCATAGTCTGGTGCAGGCCTTGAAGCTGGCCTCTTATTGCGGAGGTAAATTCGCCGCCTACCATCTGTGACCTTTATCGCCATCAAACCATGTCGGTAGGCGGGGCCTTTTATCTCATCCAATGCAAGTCAGCTCAAAGGTGGGGGAAGATCGAGTTTCAGTATTCAGGAGAAAATCTGGGGCAGAAACAAGAAAGCATCGCTGCATCAGGTCTCTAGGCAAGGCATTGCATCTTACATTGGCATTTTAGCGTCAGCTTACAGACAGCAGGCCATGTACAAGGAAGAGAAGTCACGTTGTTATGCCACGGAAACCTCGGTCACGTGATCTGCATCCACACACCACTTCTGTTGTCACTACCCCTCTATTGCTAGCCAGCCTTGGCCTCACTGAGCCTAAAAAAAAGCTTTGATTACTGTCCAATCAAACAATATGATTCATCGGCGGTACCAAGAGCGTCAACGAGGCCATGCTGACTTCTCCCCAATGAAGTTTTGTGTGTAGCTGTTGGAATTAAATCTAGGCAAAGAAATCGATCTAGTTCGGCATGTGGCTAAGTGGCAGTGTTATGGAATGATATTATTGGTTGAACCTACATCATGTGATTACTACCAGACCCATAGACCAGTCATCAGCGAGGTGGCCCGAGCGGAGTTGCCGTTGCAAGGCTTCTCGTGTCACCACAGCCTCTCTTCTCAACAAGCCTTCCAGACTCATGATAATCTGCAAAGAGATTCACCATTTATACTACATCCATCCCACGATGTCGCTTTGCTGGTTTTGTCAGGAAATACCCGATCATTTTTTCCAACCAAATCCAAACCACAAAAGTAACCCTCACTCATCTTCCAATCTACTATCTGCAGAACTCCGCGGCTTCTGGATGCCCTCTCTGCAAGATTCTTGCCTCGGGTAGTGGCGGCGACCTCCCTCTTGAGATCCAAGCCACTCACCCAACTCATCTACGCTTAGCAATGATAGACCCGCACCAAGCTTTTGATGTCTGCGTTGATATTGACGATTACAAACATGTGTTTTACTACCATATACCGCCTTCATTCAGTGAGTTCGGCAATTCTGTTAACCTTTTGTAGCTTCGCCCCACTAACCTTTGTGAGGTCGACACCTTCCGATCGCTCAATTGAGTAAACCAATAGACGAATTGATCCTCATGAAAATGTGGTTGCGAGAGTGTCAGGAGACACACCCATTATGTTCAGCTTCCCATGAGCCGTTTGCACCAAAAAGACTTCTAGACTTGGGTCCCACTGGAAAGACGTGCGACCTAAAACTGGTCCAATCCCGAGATATTCCGTCAGTGAGGCCAGTATATGTGACGTTGAGCCATTGCTGGGGCTCTTCACCCAATCCATCAGTAAAGACTACGTCATCAAATCTAAAAGAAAGAACGAGAGAGATCTTGTTTGCGAGCCTACCCTTGACCTTCCAAGACGCCGTTCAGATCACTCGTCACTTGCAGGTGCGCTATCTATGGATTGACTCATTGTGTATCATCCAAGATTCGCCTGAAGATTGGGAGGAAGAGGTCGCCATCATGGGCCAAGTCTACGCCCGATCACTCATTACGCTTACAGCTTCAATGTCCAGGAACAGCGATGGAGGGTGTCGTGTCGGGAAGCGCCCAGCTGCCGAGAACAATCAGCCTCTGGATATTCTCAAAGGCTCGAAAAGAATTAGGATTTTTCAGAATACTCCGCTCGATTGGAACAACGCGTGGAACAGAGGCCCACTTCGTAAGAGAGCGTGGACATTACAAGAACGGCAACTCTCCACGCGTAGTCTTCACTTCTCCGAGACTTTACTTCTCTGGGAGTGTAAGACTTCTAAAGCTTCGAGCGAGCTACCGTGGATGCAGATGAGAATTGAGGATCCACCGTCTCTTCTGATGCTGAACGATGCTGCTGAGAACATAGAGAATTCCGGTTCACTATCCATGAGAGACCACTGGTTTAGTATTGTGGAAGACTATTCGCAGCGAAGTCTGACCTACGAAGCGGACAAGTTGCCAGCTCTGTCTGGACTGGCCCAAGTTTTGACACAGTCACACGGGACCTATTTTGCTGGTTTATTTCGGATGGACCTGCCATCTGCCCTTCTTTGGAGGAGTAAAATTGCACAGTTCCCCCACGAGCTTCAACCTCGAAGACCATGCCATTATCGAGCGCCAACTTGGTCCTGGGCTGCCGTGGAAGGTGCCATTATCTATGATAGCCAGAGACTTGACGAAGCAGTAGGCGAAGACAGATCTGGGCTCATCGAGCACGACTTCGGGCATTTTTCAATCAGGGATCTTGCTGTAAAGCCCGTGGGCAACGACACATTTGGCGCAGTTTCAGGTGGCTCGATACGTTTAGCTGGCCGTCTGACAGCCAGTATTGCTGATCTACAGGTCTCCGAAGAGGGTACTATGAGCTTCTACGAAGGGTGGAGGGCATTGTCAAATCGTGAAAGTGAGAGAGTAGGCGTTATCTACCCCGATGTCCTGTCGGATTTGAAGGATGGCCAAATTATATTCTGCATGGAAGTGCGGAAGGAAAGGTACTGGTCAGAGGTTGGAATGCCGTCCACGATATACGATCGGAACCCTGAGCCGAAAGACGAGGAAAATTCGAGGGCAATGGTCATGGGCTTGGCACTGGTGAAAGACGACGAGCATACCGGTGGGTATAAACGAGTGGGACTGGTGCGCTGGATGAAGAGACCGTGTTTTTCGGATGTGGAAGCCTGCGAAATCACCATTTACTGACGACGCTGGGTGCGATACATTTCATGACTTTGTTGATCGCTTGGTAACCACTCAAGGACAGGTTGCGGGATGCTTAAAAAAGCACGGGTGAATTTTTACTCATAGCTTCAACATGATCTATAAAGACCCACGGAATTGGTAAGGATGTGAAAGATAGCGGTTCCAGGTGTTTCGCCAGCGGAATTTATCCAGCTACGCTCAGTTATTGCTTCCAATCTTACGGGGCTTAAATATATAATTGAAGTGGGACGGGCAAGGGTGGTGAGAGATGTGGCACCCTCTGTATATGCTTGGTAGCACTAGTATCTCTCGAGATACAAGCATAAAGCAGCTGGGTTTGAGGGTGCATGAGATTAGGTGGTAGAGCAAAGGGGCAATTGGTCTCTCGTCTCCATACATAGCTGTGTAAGCTTCGGGACATTTGTTGTTGGATTGCGATTTAGCATAAAGAATCGGTTCTTTGCGTTGCGTCCTATTGTTATGATGTATGTGACGCCCTGAATTTAGAGGCGACTGGTGAAGCCGCTTTTGTCAATCTTGACCAGATACTCCTTTGTTATGTCCTCTACCTTCACCGTCCCCGCTAACCCCATACACAGCCTGAATTCATCGCTCAGCAATCTCAAGCAGAGCTCGACCCCTTCTTGCCCTTTATACGCCAGCCCCCACAGCACCGGCCGACCCACCCACACGAAATCCGCACCCAAGGCCAGTGCCTTGAAGACATCGGTACCGTGTCGTATTCCTCCGTCCACATGTACGGGTATCTTTCCTCTAGCCGCCTCCACGACATCCGGTAGGGCATCCAGCGTCGCCAATGTACCATTGAGTTGTCTTCCCCCGTGATTCGAAACAACGATCCCATCAACGCCGTGATGTACAGCCAAGTGCGCATCTTCTGCCGTAGCAATCCCCTTCACCCACACCTCCATCTCCGGCGAACATTGCTCCTTCAACCAACCGATATCACGCTCCCAGCTCAGTGTCGGATTGGGCGCATGTGTATGGAATGACACCGGCCCTGTAGGCGCTTGCCGTCTCTTGCCATCATGGTATCCTTTTGTGCCGTTGCTTTTCTTTTCCTCTCCCTGCTCTGACTTCGGCGTCGATCCATCCATGACCGTCTCTGACGCAGAGGAACCGGAGTCCTCGGCAAAGTTGGCAAGCTTGTATGGTTTGGGCAATTTGAACTGGTTGCGTATCTCCATGTTTCGGCGGCCTAGCATGGGGGTGTCGACGGTCAGGAAGATTGCCTTGTAGCCGGCTTTCTTGGCGCGTTGTATCAGCTTCCGAGAGTGTTCACGCTCTTCGAAGAGGTAGAGTTGGAAGATCAGAGGATGGCCGTCAATGTTTGAGGCGACGTCTTCGATGGTTGAGGTCGCGAAGGAGGACAGACCCATTGCTATGCCTGCCTCTTTGCACGCTTTGGCCGTGGCGATCTCTCCGTCTGGATGGGCCAAACACTGCATGGCGGTTGGAGCAACGCCAATGGGTACCGAGTTGCAAGCACCCCATATTGAGACGGAACTGTCGATGAGAGATATGTCCCGCAGGACTCGGGGCCTTATGCGGTACTTGCCGTAGGCGGTGGTGTTCTCTCTGAGAGTGGATCCGGAGTCGGCGCCTTCGTTGTAGTAGTCGCGTGTCTGCTTGTTCATGCGGAGTTCAGCGTGCTTTTCGAGCTCGGCAATGGTGAGGCAGTTTAGGTCGTGAGGCTTTTCGCCTTTCACTTGGGCGGCCATGGTGGAGGAATCGTGTGCTGTTGCTGGGGCAGGAGGACGAAGAGCATATGGGACCCCAGAGGAAGAGGCAACATGGGATTGAGAAAGTGCATGACGATTGAGATGATGGTGACTGGTTGCTGATAGTCTGTACTATGCCACATTGGTAGATACTAAGCCGATAGTGGCATCATACCTCCAACCATTTCGGAGATGTGGAAGGTGTTTTGCTTTTTTGAGGTGACCCCAGTGTGGGGCTGACACTATACTACTTAGAGAGTAGCTCCATTCGCGCTTTGCTGCTCGCCGCGCCAAGTCCAGTGCCAAGCCTTGTCCAATTACTTTCTTACTGGCATAGATGATGCTCTACTTGATACACATACTCATATGGTGTGCAAAAGCGCTCTAAGGAGGGCATTATCTGTCAAGTCAACAGTGCAACACCTATCATCGAGATGATTACCATGTCACTTGCGAATAAGTGTATGCGACCATGGAGCCTCGCTCTATGTCCATGATCATGTCGTTTCTCCTCCTTTCACTCCAAGATTTTGGAACTCCTCCATCCTGGTTAAGCGATAATTTCAGGATCTTAGAACGCGGCGTGCATGCATGCAGGCCGGCCGCTCTTCTGTTGAACAAAGACACCGCGGGAGCTCTACTCATGGGCAAGCAAGTCAGCGGGGTTAGTTAATTGAGCGTTGACTTCTATGCCTCCATCAAAAGCCCACTCACTACACAATGATACTGTGTCTCGATTGGAAGAGAGACAGAGTGGCAATGAGTTCGATGTTAGATACACCTTGCCAAAAGCAGCTAACCGCTCTAATTGCGACGCTGTGCAGGTCAAGTGGGAATAATCGAGACCAGTATCTCCAAAGTCCGTCGACCGTACAGACTTTCTATGCTTTTGTCACGACGTCACACCTCGATGTGTCCGGGTGCCTTTCAACGACGACAATAAGACAAATCAATCCTGTGGCGCGGTCGCTGTCTCAATCGTTGAAAGTGATTGTGTCAAAGTCCAGATCTGATAATTCTGCCGAACTGTATGGACGCATTCTGGGCGCGTCATCTAGGACTATCGACAGGCGTGGCGAAGCCAGGAACATAGATCTCGAACTCGGATCGCCGGTTCAGGGGCTTGGTCTGTCGAATATCAGTCTAAGCTCAGAAGAGGATGAAATGGGCCGGGTTTTAGTGCGAGATCATGGCACTGGTACTCGTGGCTTGTTCCTATCCGTTGCGGGCCATGAAGGGCATGGCGAGGAACCCTGGGTACCGAAGGAGTTGCATCGACAATATCGCTGAAATGGTAGTCCGGTCGTCGGTCTGCGCAACAAGGTCTGGCTCTGGAAATCTTTATAGAGAGCTCAAGGCCAGTGGGATCTGGTGACACTGGATTGCAAGGATACTTCCTTACCGGAGGCCAAGATTTCCCTAAGGGGTGATCTGCAGGTTACCTCAGCACCTGCCGATAACTTCTTTGTGGTGACTTTGCCACTGAGGTTGCCATGGTAGGGTGGGCGAATCGCCCTCCGACGGGCGATGACCAACATCCCAATCTGTCGTGACTCCAATTCCGTTGTCTTTCCTCATTTCCGACGGGTCATGCTCCCATTCTGCCCTGGGAAGATAATACCTGGACAATGGTCGCCATGAAAAGGTCGGTAGTGGAATCGATGGTGCTCGAACATCTAGTGGCAGATCTGAAGAGAACATAAGAAGTGATTCTTTGTGCACTATCTGCCTAGGCGGACTGATATGCGGATACTTTCCTCCTCGAGACGACACATGATTCTTGCGACCCGCTCGCAGAGACTTATTGTGTATGCTTGAGTTGACGGTTGATGTCCTGGTCCGAAATGAGCTGAAGATGCTGATCGCTCCCAGCTTGCTGAAAATGGGCTTCATCACTGGCAGGCAGGCGTTAACGATGCCAAGCAGGGCTTCGAGGCATGTTAGAAGGGCGATTATCGCGTACTGCTGCTGCGTATTCTGCGCATTAATGCCCGTTGTTATTATAATCCGGACCACAGTGATGGCGCAGATTCTATACGAGATATCAGCATGGCATTTCCTCGCTCCCTTACATCTTTTGTTGAGGGGTACTCACACTACTCCCATCGAGAACATGCCGGTTATGACGAGCTTCTGCCTCATCCGCATTTGAAGACCCCACAGAACGGGCATCGGGAGCGCAACAGTCGTGACGTCCATCATGAGGTTGAATACTCCGATGAACAGATCGAGAGACTTCTGATCACCACAGAAGCCATCGATGGACTGATTCCAGAGAAATGCAAACGGCCGGCATATCAAACAGCAAGCTAGGACTACGGCACCAAAATAGGCCAGATTGATGCCTTGGATCACGTAGCAGGTTGTACGAAAAGACAGCGTCCGGAAAATTCGGATATAGAGAGTCAGGACAGAGGCCCGGATAAATGTCACGGATGTAACCCAGAGGAGCTGTCCCACGAGCAACGCTTTGTCGCCCCAGTTTATGTCGGGGTTGGCTGGGTCCAGGACCGGGAAAATGGTGGAATGCATTGTGAAGATTGTCAATGCTAAGGTAAAGACCTAGTGTCCGATCAGCATTTGGCAGGCACTCGGGTGGTCGAGAGCATACTAAGCCGGCTATGCACAGATAGTCATTCAGCTCCAGCCTAAATTTCTGAAGCTTGCGCGCTGACAATCGGAGAACGACAGAGGTAAGAGCAGCAAACGAGAAGGCGGATAATACGCAGACGTGCATGACTCGCGCGGAGTCACACGTGAAACAGTCTGCCATTTTGAATTGTGGATTAGACTATTACCGAGGACTCCTTTCTATTCGTTGAACATAGGCTTGACAGAGCGCATTGTCAGGGCCTGCAGGGTCAAAAGCTGCCTTTGCAGTGTATGAAGACATCAAATAAATGAAGTGGAAGAGTGCGCCATTATAAGAGATCCAGTGGCCCTTCTCTCCAACGCCGTAATCCCGCATCGATGTTTTCGTCTATCACAGCACACCACCATCGAATGATACCGCCCTTGAAAATGTTCCGTTTTGTGTGGCAAGTGAGGCCTGAAGACATGTCCGATCAATCAATCCGCATACCAGAACCAATGAACACTGGACGCAGATTTTCTTGGCGATGTGAGTCGCAAGGTGCGACGAATGCGGCCACGCTTACGCCTCATCTCTAGCGTGTGTCAAGATTTCGATGGTGTTGTGGCAAAGAAACGGTAATCACAGTTGATCCTCAAACCTCCACAATTTTACGCATTGCGTGGCCCTGGTCCTTTCCTACGTGCAAAGACATGCGGGTGGATTCTTCGATGGGGCTATGCTTACGGCGGGGGAAGCAGGGCGTCCGCTGACTCAAATACCGGTACGGGCCTCAGGAACGGGTAACTCCCAAGAACGACAATAGAACGTACTTCAGGTAAGACGGGAATAGGGAGTAGACATCTCTTATTGAATGTATATGAGCAGACGGAGGGATTTCCTTGTATGGATGATATTCAGAGGAAAGCAAGTACCACGGGTGTGGATGGAAGAGTTGAAGGAATTCGCCCGTGGTGTTCAGATACCATATAACTTCACCGGTAACTTCAACCGAAAACGGTTGCCTGTAAGGTTTGTAGAGCCCTTCTCAATTTGTAGATTATACCCTCGCGGTCCTGCTGCGGATTCGTACGTTGTTGAGCTATAACAGACTGTGAGCTACGAGTCGAAATGCGCTTTAAACCTCCGTCTCAATGTCTCGCACACTGCATGACATCCGCCAGTCAAAGCATGCATCAGGTAGGTGCATTGGTCTAGAGAAGATGTGGCCTCGAGAAGAAGGGCAGTCGTCCGTCTTCATGCATCTCTTGACGGCTTTTAATCCCACACCTTGCTGTGCCTGCTCCCCAAGTATCTTGACCGCCAACAGTCCATTACAATTTCGAGCCCAAAGTTCTAAAGGGTCAATTAATCCGTTCTGATATCCTAGCCAGATCCCCATGCTAGGCTACGCCTTATGTTATTTATACGTGCACATGTAGCAAAACGCCCTAATGCACGGTAAATCTGGCCATCTCCCTACTCTAGCGCTTCGCTTAAATCTCTAAGTGCCTGACGCTGCATGCAGAGACCGAAATCTGCCCTTTCTACACTTTGGTCTAAGAGCTATGGCCGCTATGAAACTTGTCGCACTTTTCGTCCCTCGCTCCTAGACAAACAGCATACAATTTTAGCACCGTGGTTCGAAGATATCAAACCCAGCCGAGGTCTATCCCTGCCCTCGTCGTGACGTTCGTAGCGCAGATTTGACCAGCTGAAGGTGCTGCACTTCGACAATGCCAGAGCTCGTCACAGCTGTCATAGGAGAAAACGTCACGGGGTCATTGCAGATTATCTTCTAGTCTCTGCAAATGGTGGCTCTGGATTCTGGGGACCTGGCGGATAATATCCTTATCAGATTGTGCTCTTCATAGAGTTTCTCAGCCCTATTCGTTGGTCGATGTTGAGAGGGAAGTCAGAGGCTCGGATGTGCTTGCTGGGCTTCAAGGTCATATGATGCAGAGAGAGGGGTGGGCTGTTTTATGTTACGAACCGGGCATGGTGTTTGAAACGAGGGAGGAATGCTGGGTAGACTGGCTTCAGACAAGTTTCGAGAAAAAACGTCGAAGATGGAAATGTAAAGATAGAAGAAGGCAGACACCAGAGTGGAAGAGCTATCGTATAGACCGGGCACAAGAAAGAGGGTTTGCGTGTCTATGGCTGTGTTTCATTGGGACAGCTCTGATTCGCAGTCACATCCGATGCCGAAACAGATTGAATCCTTTGTCGGCTGTGTTTACAGCACCGGCTGAGATGGCAAATCGGCTCCCGATAGCATAAGTGACCTTTGTCACACTGTTAACACATTTGCTTGCAAGACAGTGCGACGTATCCTACTCACAACAGTATAAGAACCTGCATCAACGGTATCGCTTTCACAATCATACCCGACCAACGCTGCCTATTCATGGACTATGAACTCGTTCCCCATCATGCCGCCTACATCGTAAGCAGTGTACAACTCGACCTAGATACCTCCATGCACATCCGCAGTCACAGTAGCGGCCTCCCTTCTGCTCGAACTGCCTATGGCGCTACGTAACCGCATCATTTCTCTGGTGGTGGTCAAAAATTTCTACGGAAACCCCATCATCTTCAACCGAGAGACAGGCCCCTACTTCCCCGAATCAAAGGACGAGCACCTGCCACCGTGCCTGTCTCGAGTCTGTCGCCAGCTCCGCGACGAGGTCCTCTCGATCTACTACGGCGAGAAACTCTTTGGCGTACATATCCGCAGAAATTCCCACGTCGTCGAGCAGGACCGTGCGCTTTCCGTCGCTGGCTTGACACGGTGGGAGGAAAACACGTGAAACGTTTCGCTAGTCTTAAGTTCGACGTCCAGGTCTGCGGCGCGGCTGTTCAGCTCCATCTGCTGAACGGGCCGCGGGGATACCACGTTCGGAGGATCGCGGCGAAGACGGAGGATCGGAAGGCGAAGGTGAAGAAGAGGGTCGAGGCTTTTCTGGAACCGGCGAATGAGCGGAGGGTTGGGGGTGGTATCTGCGTGGAGGATATTAAGGGGGTTGAGGAGAAGCTCCAGAAGATGTCGAAGTCTCGGAGTTGAGTGGAGTAACCCCAATATGAGTTAAACCTGGAAATCAAGTCGCGAATCAATTATTACTGTGAAGGTTCTGCTTGTGCATCGCCTCCAGGGTCGAACTTGTCATGTATCCGAATCTCGATTCACGTAGCCAGTCCCATATCCACACTGCTCTGGATCCGCTCTACACAACCTATCGGTAAATTCCTTCCTTTACCCTACGATCGCGGGCTCGCAAGCGCACATCAGGTCTTACACAATTTCAAATGATTGCTTAGGGGCCTTTGGGCGGAATTCCACCATCCCAACTTCTAGTAATGCGCAGTGATTCATTGATGTCCCTAAGGCAGGCTTCAACGCCTCGGCGGGCTAGCTCTGGCGCTCCGAGTCCCCCCCTTAAGCGCTGTGCCCTACTTGTTCTTGGAATCGACTTGATTCCATGGTTTGGAATGCCTCGTGACTTCCCAAGGTCTGGGACGCAGAAATAACGTGTAAAAACAGCCATCGAAAGGGGTTGCGTAGAGAGTACGAGAAGGTGACAAAGGCATGTTCTGCGCTTGATGCTCGGATCGACGAGAACCATAAAGGACTGAAATCCGTGGCTTGCTGTCTTAGAAGTAATGCATCGTCGGTATTGGGGATTTTGAAGAGAATATAGGTATTATAGTTTATCTTTTCGAGACGGAGTCTGATCGGTATTGAATGTTTGCGTCCTGGGTATCCGGCGTTCATTCGGTAGATGCTTTCCGCATGAACTGGTTCTATAGCATCTTTGGAAATGCTTTCGAATGTGCGGAGTAGACTGACATGGCCACTGTTGATGAGGAAATCGTAGACGAGGTCGGTTAATTCTGGTGGACAGAGGAAAGATGGTGGCGACTATCTGGTCCCTAGTTTCAGAGACGGTGCTTCCGGCCTCTCTGTGGCGGCCATCCGAGACGGCATAAGGTGCCACGAGCACTGGAGTACTAAGGGGCGCTTCTAAATGCGCCCCGACTGCCTCTTCGTCGGTAGATCGTAGACGTATTGCTTTGCAGGGCTGAATTTGTTTGGCCATTTTCTATTTCTAGGTATCCTGATGCAAATTGGGTCAACTTGAGCTTTTAGGCGTACGAGTCGCCATTCTGAGCTCGTACAGGATTCGAGGGAGCCGAACTAGATGCTCCGATTGTGTCCCGAGACAACGTCAAGCGGCCTCTGGTCAGATGTATCCATCAGGCGGAGATGATACATCGTAGAAGCAAAGGTAGCTGAGGCTTCAATACGTTGTCGGGCTTCCGATCACGTCCACAAAGCGTGTAAGAGTGTGATTTTTTTTCGTTAAATTTTTCTAAAAAAAAAAAATTTTTTTTTTTTTTTTAATTTTTTTTAACCTAAATTAATTTTAATTTTTTTTTTTTTTATTGTTGAGAATAAGAACTCCTCAATCCTTAGGTATGTCGCAGGTATGTCGACGTTTTCCCTACTTCCTCTAGTTGTTGCCTCCCAAGCACATGATAGGCCAACGCTCGAGCTGACTAATCAGATCCTTATCTGCAATGGTAAATTACAATTGGTACGGAGTACCGCGGAAAGCTACATGTATGAAGGATTCCAGCGCCTCGATCCTTTCATTTGTGATTGATGATCCGTCTCCATTCTTCGCTTCCCGTCTCGAGTCGGAATGAGGCGGGTAACAAAGACTTTTGGAAGAATGAGCATCCGGGTATTCATACCAGCAGCATGAGTATCGAAAATCGGGTCCCAAAGTCTCAAATTTGTGATGGAAACCGCTAAGAGACTATGGGATTTCCTCTCAATAGTAAGGTGAAGGGGAACGTCTGAATAGATGTCTAGGCTTCTTCACAACGATCCCAAGGGATCATCACTGTCAGCACCCTTGATGACGCTCCATAGAGAGGAGAAGGGCCTACATTTCAATGCTAGAGCTTAGCTACATCGTCAAGCAACTTGGATTCTCAGCCTTCTACCGCTGAAAATTGAGATCGCTCTCGCAAAACTTGCCTGTTTCTGCCTCTTGCATTCAGCTGCAGTCATTAGCCGGCCGTTGGCGCGTTTGTCCAGCCCGCTTATCTTAAGTAGCGATGCGTCGCCAATGATTTTCTTCTTGTCTGCTCTTTTCTTGAGGCCGAAATAAGGTCTCAAAGTCCTCAGATATGCCGAAACTGACAAATACAGTGTTCGCGCCGCCAGTGGAGACGAAAAGCAGAGACGCAAGCAACGATGCAAGCAGGCTCGGGCTAGAAGGATATCGAGACAAGCGAAGCGAGCGGAGTCTATTACGGAAAATCGATGTCCACCTCGTTCTACCCTTATGGATCATCTTTACCCTCGGCTTCATGGACCGCATCAATCTAGGTAACGTCCGGGTCCTGGGAATCCTACCAGACCTCCATCTCGTCGGTAACGCGTACAACATCGCCCTACAGGTCTTCTTCGTCCCATATATCCTCATTGAGATTAATAATTTAGCTCGTAAAGATATTTATAATTACTAAAAAAAGAGATTAAATCTTTATTAATACGTAATAGATCGTATAGGATCTTATTAAAATTATATATATCTTTTTAATTTTAATAGTAAACCTCTATTAGAGAAGTTATATAATCTCTTAAGATAGTATAATTTAATTATATTAATATTCTAATAAATCTTATTCTATTTTAATAGAGATATAAGATCTTTTAGCTATAAATATATATTAGTAATTTTTCGATATTAAAAATATAATAGATTATTAATTAGCTAATTAGTCTTTATAGATATTTAAATAAATATTATTATAATATTATAAGTAATTATTAATATAGCTATATCGCGTAATAAGACTATAACTAATCTATATATAAAGAATTTATATAATCTATTAATATATATATTATTATTATAATAGAGAATTAAGCGAGATTCTTATAACTAATATAATTATAGCTTTATCGCGTAATAAACGATCTTTATTTCTTTAAATTATATATCTTTAAAACGATAATATATAAGTATTTTAATATTAAAAACGTCTTTAAATTAAATTAATTAAATATAATTAAGATAATTAAGAATATTATTAGAATTAGTATAGATATAATACTAATATAAATAAGATAGAATAAAAATAATAAGACTATTAAACTATATAGATGAAAAGAAGATATAATATAATAGAAGATATCTTCTATTAAGATACTAGATTATAAAGCTAAATAATATATTAAGAGTATATTTATAATATTATCTCTCTCTTTTAAAGAGCTATAGTCTTTATAGCTAATAGATTTAAGATATATATTTATTACTTATCTTATATCTTTAGATATTTATAATTTTTATAAATCTTAATTAAAGAAGATTCGTTTAAATATAATAATAATATCGAGTTATATAATAATTTTAACTATATTATATCTATATTATTCTTTAAAGATCTTAAAGATATTTAACTATATCTTATCTACGTATTAGTAAGATTCTTTAAATTCTTCTTCTTATTTAATCTTCTTATTATAATTCTTTCTATTATAATTCTTCTATAAAATTAAAGAAAATTTAATATATATATTTATCTCTAATATCTTTTAATAGTCTAGTCTAAGAGATTTACTATAGATTTATCTTATATCTTCTATACTCTTATTATTAAGTCTATTCTTTATTTTATTCTTTATCTTAACTTATAATTATCTTACTTTATAATATTATTTATTATATTTATTTATCTTATAAATCTATCGCTTTAACTATTAATATCTTATAGATTTATTTATTTTAAACTATTATAGCGAGTATTTAATAGCTAATAATCTAATTAATATAGACTACTTTTATAAACTTATATACTTATAATCTTATCGATTTATAAATATAATAGAGAGATAGATAATAAGAATTAAATATATTAAAGTAATAAGCTTATTATATATATTATCGATATACTTAATAAAGAGATTAATATATATTATTTTAAGACTATTCCCGTCGCCTTATAGTAGACTTACTATAGAATATTTTAATAAGTTCTTTTTAATTCGCTAATTCTACGAATGGTCTAGCGATACTTTATTTCTTCTACTATTTAAAGACTATTTCGTTATATTAAAATAAATTACTTATTTAATAAACTAATTTAAAAATATAATATCTTAAGTTTTTATCTTAATCTTAATTAATTATAATATCTTAGTCTTAAGTTAATATCTTAATAAAGCCTTTATTAACGCGTTTATTTATTAACTATTTATTCGCTAATTCGAATAGATATAAATATATATTAATTAATCTATATATATTTTTTTTTATTAAATATATAAAGAAGCTTTATTATAATATTAGAATTAGTATAAGTATATTATTAATATAAATAAGATAGAATAAGAATAATAAAGCTATCGAATTATATAGATAAGAAGAAGATATAATATAATAGAGAATATCTTCGATTAAGATATTAGATTATAGAGTTAAATAATATATTAAAAATATATTTATAATAAATATAATCTCTTATATCGAATTTTCTAAATATATTAATTTATATATATTATATAACTTAACTATTAATATAATATATTAAAATAATATTATTTTAATATTTTAGAAAGATATTCTACTATAAATATAATAAATCTATTTTTATATTATCTATAATTTATATAATTATTATAAATCTTTAAAGAGTATTAAAAAGTCGTTTTAAAAATACTCTTTTTAAAATTATAATTTTAATAATAAAAGAGAGGAAGTTAATCGCTAACTCGAGCTTTTAATATAAGATA